ACAGAAATGGGGAGGCAATGCTTCTGCAGAGATGAGGTTGAAAACATACCTTGTATGAGAGGGGTAAGGCAACTAGTTCCCTGTCGCGAGTCACGGTCTCAGCCCATTGCACAGCGGATGGAGCATGTGAAATCGACCCTATTTTGGTTCTGGCTAATAGACCTGGGGCCATGTTTTTATTGGGTCAGGCACCGAGCCAGGCGCAGGCTTAGGGGGATCACCGCCGTAGACAATGACCTGACCTGCCCAGCAAAGTGAGAGTGTGGGCGGGCGAAAAGAGGAAATCACGATCTGCTGAAGGCGGTGACTCTGGCCGCCCCTTCCCTTCCCCTCGCGCTGATTCACCTCCGCTAGGTACCGCCCAGGCAGGTGCTGCTGAGGCTTCCGGCACGAAGAGCAGAAGGTCTGAGGTACCAGACCACTGAACGACGCTGCTCTGCGGGTGCCCCACAGCTAATCGATCCCGGCATCGGCTCGACGTCACCACCCTCCCTGCATCCCCCTCACACATGCACCAACCTTTAGCTTTCAGTGGCTCCATCCCCACTTCGCTAGGCAGGTTCCTAAAGCTTCATTGAGCTTCCAGCTGTCACCGCGACTTGACCAGGCAAGGAGGAGCAATGGCCCAAAGCTTCCTTCTCCTTTCGTCGTCCATGCCTTTAGAAAGGAGGGGTTTAGGTAGGCCATTGCGCCTGGTACGTACCTACACAATAAATCGGTAAAGCGCAGTTGCGACATAGTGGCGATCTGGTGTCACTGCCAGACAGATCGCCATAACTCCTCTCTACCTTCCGTTAACATGAGATCGGCGAATTCCCCGTCACAGCCTACGTACGGACGCACTCTCTGGGAATGTTTGGGCCAGACCATCCCTGTGGCGGACTACTCGGATCTCAGCATCACCCCACTTTTGTGTGGCCGGCGCCGTTGCTTTCAGGGTCCCCCAAACCGCTGGGGTCAATCCGTGCTTGTCGCCCTGTCTGCCCACTAAAAAGCAGGCGCGGCCTAGCAGCCAAGCTCCTGCTTCTGGCTCTCCGCCCCGTCCTCGGTCTACAACTCTACTGACTTTCTTGCCATCTGGCACCACTTTCCACGAGTCTCGACAACACCCTCCTGGCCACATCCTCGACCATTGGAAGCGTGCCCTCTCCTGCTGCGTTGCCGCCGGAACGCCAGCCCTCGTCTTGTCTGTCCGTGCTCGCTACTGGTGGGCTTGATCCATCCTGGTACCGCCATCCGCATCCGCACCACAGAATACCTGTCAATGTTATAGAACGACTTCAACACCGATCTCGTAATTGCCCTCCTTTGTTGTTGATTCGTGGCTTTCTCCCACCACTTCCCCTAGCTGCTGCGTGTCTGCCGCACTGCAGTAGTTTCAGCTCCCACCCCCGACCGCCCGCACATCCTGGATGCACCCTTTCAATCTTGCATTCATACCAAGCGCAACCACACCTACTCTTTCACCAACTAGGATTACTCAGTCACCACTATAAAGCCACCTCCCCACACGCGTCTCACTAGTCCAATCCCCTCTACCTCGAGCTACACTACCCCAGCTTTATTCATCTTTCTCTCCTCTCATCTCTTCTTGTCTTTCTTTTCCTCTCTCCTTCAACAACAATTTGACATCTTTCCATCGACGCCTTGCTCTCATCCAACCTACGAATCTAAATCGCAAACCGACTGCTCATTTTCAATCACCGAAATCAATCCAACCCCATTCTACGTATACTCCCGGTTCCATTGTGTCAACACCCTCGCAGTCATGTCGACCGATGGCTCTTTCCCAGGGCCTTCCGGCTCTGGCGATGCGAATCCACGAAACCGCCGCGGCTCAATTACACAAGCCGCCTTGTCCAATCTCTTTCAGCGCTCTGGCCCCAGTGTCACTGGCCCGCCATTTCCTGGCCAGCCAAACCCAGCTGTCACAGACCCTCAACGTCGTAGACTATCTGTCTCGACTCTAGGACTCTCGGGGGCTTCACCAAATGTCTCTTCTGGTTTCGGCATGCGCCGGGGAAGCATGTCGACCAATTCAAACAACTCGGACTCAATCGACGAGAGCGCTATTGAGGACGACGATTTCGGACCGAAAACAGCGCCAACCACGCCGTTCACAAGGCGTATGAGTTTTGGTAACTCCTCAATGAGGGGCTATCGCCCTGGTGGGAGCCCAGGTCATGGTAATACCAGCCCAAGTTCTCCCCCACCTCTATCTGGTCGCAGATTCAGTAGACCTGCGGCCCAGACCAAGCATTCTGCCCTCTCTGCAGCACTCGCAGGGCGCCGAGCAAGCGTCGAAGTGTCTGCCTCTTCCCCTTCGCAAGCAAGCCATGCCCAGCATATAAGATTTACTTCTGACACTGTCCCTCGCTTAGACCAGCAAGGCTTCAATTGGCCTGAGCAACTTAGGTCCCGAGCGGAGAGCCATGTAGCCGGAGGTCAGCGACCTTCATTTTCTCTGGCAACTTCGCCACCTCAACATGCAAGCTTCCACCACGACCGCGCCAAGTCTGTCTCCGACATGCCACCACCCCCGAACAATGCACCCACCCCTAAGCCTGTGCAAGAGAGACCCAAGCCAGATGCTTTCCAGGAACGCATCCTCAAGGGTGATTTCTACATGGATTAAGATCAAACTTACTCCAGAAGCATATTTGAGCTCAGCTACGATATGATCAAGATTTAGTATGACATTTAAACGAGTCAAGAAGAGCGCGAGGGTGAAATCCCTCTGAAGACCGCTCTCTGATGAAATTATATCCCTACCTTTGCTATGGGAATGGGAAACAATCTATGTTAGCATTTGGAATGAACCAAGTAGCAACTAAGGATGTTGAGACTTAGCTTATGTTTTGTTATTTTGGGGGAGGAGCGATGAACGCAAATGGGAGTTTGATACAGGCGATAGGACTCGAATGCTGACTTTATAGCGGCTACATGGACCATGGACTTGCTTATTTCCAAGATGATGGGATTGCGCAGGCGCTAGCATTTGTTTAACAAGCAGACTGAAAGAGCACTGGCAGGGTTAAGGGCACATCATATTTTGTAGGTTAATCAGGAGTTATATATGGATTTCTTTGCCAGATAGCACAAAGCCGGGTGGCACATTGAGAGAATACGAAATGCCGTGCCCGTGACATGAATGGATGAGGGAAATCATCCTAGCTTTCTCTACAGAAGAGCCAAATTCAAATTCAGGCAGAGAGTGACCATCAAGTTTCACAGAACTCAAAGAATTCCGTGTTGTGGGCGGTTGAGCAAAACACACCTTCAGATCCTTCGACCTGCCTCCCGCCATCCATAAGAGCATATGAGCAGGCAAAGGCAGCGCGTAGCAACGATGCTGAATAGATCGCCGCTCTTCTGCCGGTGTGACTCCCAGTGAGCTGCCAACGATGGAAAAGCACAACAGCACGGAATAATATGAATCACATAAGGTCAATAACGTAACACTTGCTTTATAGTGTATACTTCTCTTCCCCTCCCCTTTACTTCTCATCTAAAGAACATCGAAGATTGGTGTCTCCTTCACTGTCCTCCAAAGTCGTACCATCTGAGTCTTCCTCACTTTCTCCACTTTCTGTGGTATCTTCTTCTGAGCTTGGAGAATCCTCATAATCATCATTGCTGTCATCCATATCACTGTCCGATTTGGAAATAAATTGTTCAAGGTAGGCGGCTTCGAGTGCGGCCCGTAACCTGTATTCTCTACCTCGTGCTTTCGACTTCTGGCGTTTCTTTGGGTGATCGTCATCGTGCTCCGTTAAGTTTTTGCGTTTCTTCATGTGTTCATCATCGAATCTAGCGCTTGAATTTTGGCCAGGTGCACTCCTCACGGCGTGGCGTTTGGTTTGTTTTTATATCTGATGATCATTGTTTTATTGTTTTATTGTTTATTTTGTGTTTATTTAGGGGCAGTTTGCAGGAGCATGCCTTTAGAATCGTATCTACCTTACTAGGCCTTGTTTATTGTACCCTCTCGCATTTCTTTCTCCCCTTTTCTTTCATGCTCTCACCTCACCCTGTCGCCTTTCTATCGTCGCAACATCTTCCCTTCCTCGCCTCTGCGTCCAGACAAAATCTTACCTCACCATGACTAACCTCAAGAAGATCACCAAGAAACGGAATCGGGCGTTCGCCAAACACATCCGCGAGAATCAAACGAGCCCTCGAGATGCTCAACGGTCTCATAGATAAGATTGCCCTTCGCCAAGGGCTCGCTCCAACGACTGGCATAGAACAAACCGGTACTGCACACAAATACAAAGCTCGTACCTTTGGAGCGAGCTCAATCTCGGAAGATGGCCTTGTTCAGCAAATGGAATCCATGAACTTAGAAGGCTCGCCTATCCCAGAAGCATATGAAGCAAAAGTGTCCGAGTCTGGAGAGCCTAAGACGAAATCGCCTTGACCGAGGCCAGCAAGACATCCATGGTTCTGCATGACATATCGAAGGGTCCGGCTAGGTGGGCTTATTTCAATAATGCAGATAGGTAGGATACTAAATCCCTCCTGATGTATTGAATGCTCGCTAAAAAGGCCTAGATAGAATGAGATATCTTTCAACCTAAGGCGTATTTCAATCTCCCCATAAAAGGGATATAGGTTGCCATTTGATGGTATAACATCCGACGGCAAACGAGACGCTACCAACTAAGATACATCACAACTGCTAAAACAATAAATGCGTACGCGGTCCCCTAGCTAAGATCAGTGTAGCTAGTTGCATATATTGGCTGCATGTGGAATTGAAAAGTTTTTCGAGTCGATACCGGTTCACTTTTTCGGTTTTTCTTGATGTCTGAGCTAAACACGTACTCGCGATATTAGACATCAAACTCGAAATAGAAAATTCCAAGTCCTGTAAATTTATAACATTTCTGTAACTACTTTATTAGATCGTCCTAAATCCCAAATTATTTAAGAGCACATAGAAACAAAATTTCAGTCATCAAACATTCCCGTCCCGTCAAGATTGAGACACCGCAGTCTCACCACTGGGCCATTGGAAGTTCCAGCTCTAGGCTATATCTCTCGAATGTGCCGGGGAACGTTTGTCTATCGCCCTTCATAATTTCTTGGGTGAAAAGCGTTCCCTCAGGCATCCGCCTGGTACCCTGCCAAAAGTAGGGGAAGTCGCAGAGGATACATATACGTTGAAGATGTGGTAGAGCTTCTCCTAATCTCCGGAGACAGTCCTGGTACCAGTCCTTGTACCACTCGTGCTTATTCAGTAGAAATCGTTGAGTGTGGTTAAGAATTTGTAAAGGCACACTCTTCCATACACAGATTGCTAGCTGCTTCAAATTTGGTAGTTGGCTCAATTCCTCGACAGCTTCGTAGAAAGTATCTTTCTGTATTAGGAGATGATTAGCACGTGTCACTCACTACCTAGTTATAAGCTGAATCATGCACTAGAGAACTTTTACTTACGAAAAGCTCATCCAACCCCCTTCCGTCTTCAATCGCAGAACGATCAAAGGGCGAAAAATTCTTCTCGGAATCGCGCAGGATAAGTTCCTCAAGGCCACTATTGAGCCTTACAATATGACGGATGTTCTCAACACAGAGCGATGGGATCCAGACCATGGAATTGTTCGTATCAAGATGCAGAGTCACGGCCAGGCGCTTGACTGATGGCGGAATGTTTTGAAGCTGTTCCAGTGTAACAGCATGGTCGATATCTAGTGTTGTGAGCGCAGGGCATGATCCGAGTAATTTTTCCATGACACGCATCGAGGAGTCGATTCGCAGGTATTGGACTTCGGTATCTCCCGCCTTCTGCATTCCGTCATACAGTTCAAGTTCCTGTAAAGGGTCCAGGAACTTCAGGTGCAGGCTCAATGATCGTAGGTTAGGCATAGCCTGGAGAACTTCGGAAATTGGCAGCGTCCGCCTGGTCTCGAGAAGAGTAGGGCGGGAATTGGCACCTGCATACAGACCCGCCCATATAATGTTCTCCTCAGGCTTCTCGAAAACAGATATGGTTGCAGATCTTTGTCTATGGTTAGTTATAGGGAAACCCTCGTAAGACTCGTTCGGGGATTTACCTAATTGTGCTTGTGCTACATACACGAGGCTTGATGGGGGTGTGGTGCTCCAAGAAGTCGTTAAGTTGTCCTTCCAGTGAATTCTGGTGACCTGTGAGCCGTATTTTCCTGTGAATACGCAGTAGGACCTTTAATCGAATGTGGGAAGAGGTGGCCGCTAGAGCTGCAATAGTCTTATGATTGCAGAGCGAGGCGATCATCCAGATGGTCTCGGTCGGAAGTTCTTCGAAATACGAAGGGAGGCTTTCTGTTATGCCATTTCTGGACATGATGTTACATATAGTCGAGATGGGATGCAGGAGTTAGACTCAGTTGTTGATGAGTGAGATGGCAGTGAGGTGGGGAGAGGTGGAAAGTGAGTGCTGTTGACGGTGGGAAGTTTATCTAAAAATGTGACAGTTTGTTAAGGAATACGTAACAGAACTGGAGAGTTACGTACATTGTGCCCTTTAACCATAAAGTCACAATAGTCATAAACCTAGTACATACAGTTGTTTCATTGTTTCAAATAAGATCCCCAAACAACATAGACAAAGACAAAGTCAATAACAGATACTGTCAATAAGTCATGAAAGACCCATATAGTAAATCTAAACAATTCCAGATCGACCTAAGGTTTACAGTACGGAAAGAAGCTAAAGCTCTGATGAAAACGCGACGACCTTAATAACTGAATTATATTTGAAAAATTCTAGGGAAAACAAAATGAGTCCGCTCGCCAGTGTAAACGCCAACAATGCCACCCTGAGTCTATGTGTCATAGAATCATGCTAAGTTTCCATTTGCCGTGAAAATTTAAACTCCTCTTTCGCTTCGACGTTTGCAATAGCGCTCTGCAGCGCGCTCGTCAAATCCACGTGGAACAGAGGTTTGTTCACGCTGTGGATGGCCAAGCCTCCTCCCACCCCTCGGTTCCGCCTTGGAGAGGCTGCCCCAGTCTTCTCCATGCCAATGTCGCCCTCTCTCTCCGCAAGTGGGCTTATTCCCTCTATACTTGAGGCTTCCTCATCGTCTCTGAGCGCGAACGAGCTCATGCGAGACTCTTCTGCAACAGCTGCCGCTGAATTTCGTCCGCCAATGTCAGCGATGCTGAAAATCGACTTCCATCTATGATGCATTTCTTCATTGTGATTGGACGGTACCCCGAACCCAGCTGCGTCCAAAGCTCGCTTCGTCCATCTGTTGTTGATGCAGGCGATGTGCCAATCCACCACGTCGGGGGTGGAATAGGCATCCAACTGATTTCTCACGTCTATCAGTCTTTGCACAGACGTGACATCGACATTATTCACGGAACTGAAATCAAGAATAATAGCTTTGAGGCAGGGCAGCCGGTCGTGTAAGGGATTCGCGAGCGATTTGGCAGATCGTCTTGGTCCGGGATCATTCCAGGGCCTGTCTCCCGGCCGCTCAAAGAACACCGGGCTGGTCTGCTTTGTATTGTCGTAGATGAACTCTGTCAAGTAATCGAGCGATGCGTTCGCGTTGGTAAAATTGAAGCCGTCGGAAAACCGGTAGATGAAAATCCCTGGATAAGGGGTCTCGATGTTAAGCTCGGGGTTTGAGCCATCACCGTGATTGAGAGGTAAATACACATTCCGGGCCCGGGCCGAGTTTTCGGTTGTGTCTTGATCGAAAGTGCCGTATTGGGCCACCACCTCTCTATGGCTATCGCCGATGATGTGGTCTCCCAATACCGAGTGTACTTTGACTCGCCCAAGGAAGTCGCCACGGGCTTGCAGAAGACGGAAAAGAAGGATCGCAATGGAGAGCCCGATCGTGGTGTAGAGGCCGTCTTCTATTCCAGCAAAGAAGCTGACCAGCACCCCGACCACGAAGACGAAAAACTCGATAGGCGACACACGCCAGAACTGAGTGGCGGTAGAGGGCGATGTAACCAAATCACCCACAGCGTGGATGATCACGGCAGACAGAGCAGCGCTGGGGATGAAAAAGAATATTTCTGTTAGGAAGTAGGTCGCCAGTAGAACAATGCCACCAGTAAAGAGCCCTGCTGCCGGCGTGCGAACTCCGGCTTTGGAGTTGATCGCGGTGCGGCTAAATGAGCCTGTAGAAGAATATCCGCCAAACACGGGGCCAAGCATATTTGTGATCCCAATAGCGACCATTTCCTGAGAAGGGTCGATCGTATAGTTGTTTACTCTGCCAAAGCTTTTCGCAATAGCCATGTGTTCGACCACCATCACGATGACAGTTGCGGGGATAAGAGAAGAGAAGCGATGAACAAGGTTAAAATCAACCTGAGGCACACCAATGTGTCGAAAGCCTAGTCTCTAGTCAGAATGAAAGCGAGGTAAGTCTGTTGACTAATAAACTTACCTTGAGGGATGTGACCCAAGATATCAAAAAGGGGATCCTGTGGTCTATCTGCGTTGATCAAATAACTCGCCGTTGTAAACATCACCAAGACGGCAACTGTCCGCATAGTGCTGAGAAAGAAGATGAAACGCTTGTGCCTAGGAAAGCGTTCAGCCGCCTTGGCCAGCGAGTGTCGGATCAAATACAATATGACGAGGGCAGTGATTCCCAATACAGCATCCGTCTTCGCTTCTGCAAGATGCTTCACGGTATTTAGGATGACCTGGTATGGCGGGTCTCGGTTTGAGAAACCTTTAACTCCCAAAAGTGCTGGGAGTTGGCTGGCGGCAATAGTTACCGCAGATCCAGTCATGAAAGCAGACAAGGAGGTGAGGGGTATAATGTCAACGATCCAACCCCAACGAAGCAGGCCAATAGCGAGAACAATACTACCAGAAACTACTGATAGAGTGAAGGCAATAATTTGGGGTGGAGTATCAAGTCCCGAAGTGCGAACTGCCTCGATCACGTTACCGACAACTGTGGAAAGAACCGCCACGGGCCCGATGGAGATATCTTTGGAGGTACCGAATATCCAGTACAGCATTACCCCCACGAAGGAGGAGTATAAGCCGTACTCGGGGGGTAGCTTTGCCAAAAGGGCGTAGGCCATGCCTTGGGGAACCACGACAGCACCAATGGTGACGCCAGCAACCACGTCTGACGCCAACCACTGTATATTGTTGTAATGGCTAACCCATGAGACGAAAGGAAACAATGAGGCAGTGTAACTTGCAGCTTCTCCCGCAGATGGTAGCTGTTCTCGAAGCCATTCGACGGATGTGGGGAGCCCCTCGATGTACATATCGGGGCTGGACGCCAGTTGTGATACTGTGTCACCCCTAACTCTGTCCTCGGGTTCCGGAGAACCAGTTTTAGGAAGGGACATGTTGAGGATGGGAGGTCGACTCCGCGTTGTGGCACGGTAATGGCTGGCTATCAGCCCCTGAGCACCAACACAGTTGAATTCAACATGAAGATGCCACAGATGTGGGCACAGTCAGGCTACGCTTGGGGAGCAGAGAGGGTTTATCATCTTCGAGAGGAGAGCCAGCACATTACGGCGGGGGAAAGCAGGCGCTATAACCGGGTTCTAACATGACACAAATTGCAGGTCTCCATGGCCTGGGAGGCTTGCGTCGCCTCGTGTGTCGTTTCGAGAGGCATGATCACTATAGTTGATCACCCACCGTTTGGCGTCAAACTGTGGGACAATCACGCAATTTAGACGCCCACCCTTCCTGTCGTGTGATGACCAAGCTGAGATGGGGGCGCGGTCTATGAATGGAGGGAGCACTGGGCCGCGAAAACATAATCGGTAAGACTCATAGTGATCTTCTTCGGGCAACTACGATCTGGAAAGCCATTTGCTGAAGCAGATCTGGTAGATCATCCCATTTGAGAACGTGCATGACAAACGAGCCAGTGTGCATGGAGCCGCCCTACCCTAAAGAGCCATCGGTATCGAGTAGGTACGCTGACGTACCATCTCCTCACCCCCACGGGACCCCTACCTCAGATGTGGGGAGTAATAATACTGTCTTCGCGTGTATTCCATGCACACGTATTATTAAATAGCGGTTGGTAAGAAATCCTTATTAATTTTGTCGTTGGTGTCATGGAATTCTGCAGTCGATCATGGTGCCTATTCAGAGTCACCAACCTAACCTGCCCCATACCATAGGTAAAGGGCAGGCACAAGGACCTTACGCTAAGCACTGACCGTACAATGGCCCAGCTTCTGTCAATGACAAGTACTGGCAGTGTTAGTGCTCGTAGCAGGTACCCGTGGAGCGCTAGCCACCCAATTCCTGCTGCACAGGTGCCCGGTCTCAGTGTGCTCCATCAATCGCCTCCCAGCCTCTCTAGGCCTGATCTTGACATGGATGCCAGCCACTGCATTCTGAAGCTCACTCACTCGGGCTCGTCGATTCAACAAAACCAACTGCAGCGTTTCGACGACAACCCAACCCGTGCTTCAATCCCCTCGCCAACAACCTCCTCATTAGACCGGATCGCCAAAGGTTGACAATGCCCAGCCCTGACCGGGAGCCGATCCCGCAATTGCATCCTCCCCAGCTTCCTCTACTTCAACCCCCACCATCACCGCGCACGCATCGAACCCTACGACGGCTGCAGTCTGCGCATACCCTGGGCTCCGCAAACAGAGGCAGCATCTTCTCAGCTCATGCGTCCCTGATATCGCAGCAGCGCCAGGACCAGCAGCAGCGCAATGCCTCGCCCACGCGCTCGTCCAACGTTATCCAGCGCGTCAGAGCCAACAGCGATGCGACGTCGCCCATGGTCCATCAGATGAACGCTGTGACAGCAGCCAAGCGCGCCGGGGTTAACAAACCCGTGTTTTCGCATGGCCATCTGTCGCTGCAGCAGATATTGCGCGATGGTCCGAACGATGGAGACTATGTTGGCGCATTGGAGAGTGCCAGGTGGAAAGTCATTGACGAGGGCGTCAAGAGCGCCGAGGATGGAATGGTGGGAATTTGCCTTCCTGCGCACCTACCAAGACCTGCCCGGGCGCAGTTAACTAACCGGTCTATCTGATAGTCAACCGTGAGAATATATGTCTGGCTCCTCCTCCTGGATGCCCCGATCATGTCAACCGACGACTATCTTGCACTCGTTCACCGGGGGGCTTCGCCAGCATATTCGAAAATCAGGAACGACACCTTCCGAACACTGACAACTGATCCGCTCTTCCGACGGCGCGTAAGCGAAGCGAGTCTCATCCGTCTTCTTAATGCGATTGCATGGAAGTTATCTGATGCCATGGAGGAGGAGAGGCAATCAAGACCAAATAGCCGTGGAAGAACTTCCATGGGCAGACTCAGTCTTGCCAGCAATGCATCTGAGAGCTCGCAAGGCAGTACGTTTGAATCCTAGTTTCATTCTTTAACAAGAAACCCCCCTCCCCGCAACGATCAACTCAGCTCCAAGCCGGAAGCTCACACAATATTGCAGAATCAAGTGCCGAGGCGGGAATTTACGTTCAAGGCATGAATGTCCTTGCCGCCCCCTTTCTATACGCGGCTCGCAGTGAGGCAGAGGCGTTTGTTGCCTTTCACTCTCTTCTCACACGTGAGTGTCCGGGCTATATTCGAGGAGCAATGGACGGAGTTCATCGAGGTCTTGCCTTGGTCGACAAGGTGTTAGCCATCGTTGACCCCAAACTGGCCATGTACCTCACTGCCAAGGGGCTGGCCGCAGAGATATACGCCTTCCCCTCTGTTCTGACGCTTTGTGCTTGCACACCGCCACTGCCCGAGGTGCTACGGCTCTGGGACTTCCTATTCGCCTATGGCCCGCACTTGAATATTGTCTGCATTGTCGCCCAATTGACAATCATGAGGACACAAATTTTGCAGTCACCGAGGTGAGTTCAGCAACCCCCAAAGGACAAACACGTTCGAAATGAATGCTGACCTAAACTGTGTAGCCCGAACAAGGTTCTGCGGTCTTTCCCTTCACTGAACGCGGAGCTTGTGAAAAATGTGACAATTGGGATTATAAAGAAGATCCCAGATGACGTATACTCGGAGATTGTTTCACACGCGCTATGATCATGAAGATATGAAATGAGAAAAGGACAAACAAAAAACCATCATCGTCTGGACGAAAAGCGAGCATCACACTTGACAGCGCACCGGGCATAGTATGAGACCGGGAACACAAACAGCATATTTGTTTTAATAATACTCCATGAAGTACGCGCGACAAAATGGTAGGCATAGCGGTCGCCAAACACATCGGGTCAACCCATCATCGCTTTTTGCGATGGGTTCCTTGGCCATGCATGGGCGGCCTGTCTAACTGCCAACTTTGCTCGCAGTAGGCGATTGGAGTCTGCGTACGCACGCCTGTTCTGCTTTATTTTGGAATTTCACAGGAGTTTTTATACTCACGTCTGGCCGTTCACCTACTGGATGGTGTTTGGTCAAGGCGTCGCATTGCTTTTCGAGGAGTTAGGCATGGCTTTAAAGCCTGGCATTAACGAGGGGAACACTAGAAACGGGCATCGCGTGGTAATGATATTTTGCATCTATTTATGACTTTGATTTTCACGCCAGTCAGATCTTATCATATTCATGTTCGTGTTTCTCACGGAGGATCATCTAATATGTTCCTCATCACTCTCTTGAACCCGCACGAGTATCAGCAAAATTCAGGCCAGGGACATAAGAAGATATGCATGGCATAGTTCGCAGGAGTGTCCTAAGAAACGAGGTAAACGGATGCATTGAATGTCCATTCCATATATGTATCTCTATATGTCGGAAAACTAATATAAGATCCTCGTATCCTGGAAATGCCACAAATATGTGCTCACCCCCTCCCTCATTAACCAATAAGCCAAAAACGCCGCCGATGATACGTGATGCTGAATGCTAGCCAGATGAACTGTTTGAAGCAAAGTTAATATCCTCATCTATCCGTCTCGAATCACTCTGAAAAAGAAACAGACTTGGGAAAGACCACATGATCCCAATCTAGTCTAATCAAATGTAATGCTGAAAGCGAACGAATCTCTTGACGGTCTGGGTGGCAGAACCAAACCGAAAAGAGATAAGCAAAGTCCATTGACGTATGATAAAGTTGACGTCAAGGACTAGAATAGAATAAAAGAGAAAAATATAATAAAAATGTAAAAGAAGGGAGAAGAATGTAAGGAGTAGATCTGAAAATGGGTAATGAAATGATTATAATGATCATTCATCAAACATTTCCAGCTACCATCGTTGATTATGAAAGCTGGTTGGAGCTTTGATTCTAGACGGAAGAGCAGGTGTCTAGTATGCAGGGCATCCCCCCTCCGCACGGATGAAGGCATTGGTGAAGAATTGCTGCATGGCAGTGTAGTGGAAGAGAATGCCACCGAGAACTGCCGCGTGCCAGAGGTTGTGGCTGCCACCGACATAGTCGAACACGCCAGGCCACCACCTCTCAGGGATCTTGCTGGCGTAGACAATCGCACCTCCAAAGTAAACGAGGATTGACTTGAAAATGGGAGAGTAGAAGCTGTAGACGAAATCAACCCCGTGTGTCCAGGATAGCTGCACGATAGGCATGAAGCCTGTCAGAGCCAGGCCGACGAAGAATGCAACCCGAAGCCAGGATTGGTCTGGCCTGTTGAATCTGGGGTGCCATGGCAGGATAACACCACCAATACCAAGGAATGCAGACAGACCCATGTACAGCCAACGGCTCAAGGGGTCGCAGTAGAAGGCTGTGTATTCGCTGGTCATGATCGATGCTGCGATCAGCAGTGAGATGCCTGTGTAATCCACGCATGCAAAAATCGAGATGGCATTGACATCGGCCACGGCGTTCATGGTATGCCAGACGGTGGAGCACACCAATGTCACACAGGCCATGATGAAGAAGATGGCGGCAACAAACACATCCGTCTTGCTGCTCAGGGAGAAGTTCGCACTGGTGGGGTAGAAATAAAAGGCCACAGCGAGAACCAGAACAAGGCCAAGCGCATGCGACCAAATATTGATGAACTCGTTGGAGAGATTGAATGCCGATCGTACGCACCCTAACTTTGTCTCCGAGAAGCGATATCCCTTCAAGATATGTGGATTATTTCTCCATGGCGCAGGGAGTTCTTCGTAAAGCAGAAGACCTCTCTCCTTGGCCTGCAGAATGGCCTGCTCGATGTGTTCCTCGAGGGAGAGGGCAGCCCGCTTGGCTCTCTCGATACCCCCATCAACAACCCCTCGTGCCCTTTCATAGCTTTCGTTGGCAACCCTTCTGCCCTCACCGACAAATACTCCGGCCGCACTGGCAGCGTTTGCTAGACCACGCTCCCGAAGCTTGTGGGCACGAGTTTCGAAATCCGTGAGCATCTCGTCCAGCAGCTCAACAGCAAGGTGTGCCTTTTCGTTCAACGACTCAGCAGCCTCCAATGTTTCATGGTATCTCGTCTCGAGCGTCTCAACCATGACATGGAGGCGGCGCCTTCCCTCACCTATGACTTCCTCGGATGCTTGGGAACATCTCGAACGGACGGTCTGCAGCGTGGAGAATGCTCGAGAGATGCTGGCATCCATGCTCAGGTCGGTGTAGTTTTCGATGTAATCGAGCCGACGCTCAAGCTCGGTAAGGAAGAGGTCGACCCTCAGCAACAGGCCTTCCTCGCCGTCCATGATGTGCCCGACAATGGACCGGCGCCTCGGCGGTATGAAGAACGAATGCCGTCGCCGTTGTCTTGGCTTCTGCCCGTTGTTTGGATCCGCGGCGGAGGATTGGCCTGGGCTGCTATCGTCAACACCGGACTTTTGGACATGGCGATTGCAGGCCGACGTAAAGGCCGTCGTCACGTCGTTCATGATTGCTGCGATGCCCTCTCGAGGTGTATCATGCCCTGAATTGGTCGGACTTGTGTGTGTATGGAATTGATGTTGTGGCGAGAGAGGCCCGGCCGTTGGTGCAGCTGGTTGCACGGGCGGGGATGGGAGGAGTTTATTGGTTGAATCAGCCGATCAGCTTACGGGACCCTGGAATCTGACTGGTATGCTGTTGTGCAGTGGCCTCTGCAGCAAGGGGCAAAATGATAAGCGAAGAAAGTTAAAGGAGGATGTAGACGGGTGGTTTCGCTCGATTCACATCTCCTGCTAGTTGGTGTGGGGTGCGAGTAGGTGACGAATCTGATTCATATGGACGGGCAATCCGATGCTAGTGTTCAGTGGCTGTCATAGTGACGGGGATTGGCGGGTATTAGTTCAACGTAGTGAGCGATTTGGGCATGAGACTGACAATTGCTTGACTTTGGGATTCAGGAGCAAATTGACGGGGGCCGCACAGAGCGTCTTGGCGCAGCGCGGCTTCTGACCATGACTGGAAATCCATGTAGGTCCCTGTCCAATGGTCATTAGGGGAGGTTGAGCCGGGCGGATCAGCGGGGGTCGTGGATGTGACAGTCAAACAGCGTCTCTCTTGTCTAGGGTAGTCGGAGTCGGATCTTATCTCACTTGGTGAGCCTCCACTGCGCTAGCCTGGTTAGGCCTTAGGCTGGACTCTGGGTTGGGAAATCAACTTAGCTCATCATCGCTCTGTTTTCGAACCATTGACAACTTCACTGGTTTGGATGGGATAGTCTCAGCAACGCGCCAACGCACAATAAGCACATGATCGACCGGTGCTCTCTGGACAAACAACAAGCGATATCGTTTGCGAGGATTCAGTCAGCAACAATGGCCATCGACAAGCTGGTCACAGAGCCAAAGCTCCTCTCCGCGCTGGAGATCTCGGACGAAACACGCGACCAGGCCAACACGCTCATTGACCTCCTCGAGAATTATGGCGATGGGCCGATGACTGCCGCCCAGAAGACTGAGATGGCAAAGCACCAGACTCTGATATTCACAAACATTGCGCATCTGCGCGGGTTGCATCGCCACGCATGTATTTCGGCCCGCGAGACCAAGGCTACGACTGCTGAGGCAAGACAAGAGGTTGATCGGCTACATTTACAACTGCAAAATCTCTACTACGAGCAGCGCCACCTCCAGAACGAGCTGTCTAGCTGCGAAAGCTTCGAGTGAGTGGCGACTTAAGCCCCAAAGTTGACAAAGGCCAGATGTGATGCTAACTTGTGGCAGCCACAAATACCAGCAACTCCCTCTGATTCCCGTTGAAAACTTCCTTGAGAAGTTCCCTGAGCACAAGGACGACGATGAAAACACCTTGATGTTCGCCAGAATCGACCACGAGAGAACCGAGCGTGAGGCCCTGGAGCAGCAGCGCCAGGAGCTCTTGAAACGGAAGCAGAAGCTCATTGCGGACAACAAGCGAAGAAAGGAGGACCTGGCAAACCTGGATAACGAACTGGAGAAGTTCATTGACGTTTGTTACGCCCACCCTTGGGAACCCTGGAACAAGGTGCTGACAATGCCCACAGGCTGTAAAACCAATTCAGAAGCTCTTCGAGAAGGAAGCGTGAGACTATTTTTGTTACATCACACCATTCAGCATTTGGCAGGAAGCCATCATACTGTTTTGATTGGATTGAAAGATGCTCGAGGACAAGCATGGCATTGCTTTCGAGTTGGGGTTTGGGATTGGTACAACCCCGCTTGCTCAAGACAGAGGACCCCTAGGGAGCTCAGGATGGCGGGGTCTGGGTCATATCGGCGTTTGGATAATTGGATTTGCGTGCATGGCATTGGTACGGCGTTGCTATTGTTATATCAAAAAGATACCCACCCCGGATTGAAACTTGGCCACATAGTGGTATTGGGGGAAAGGATTTTCAGCCTTGTGTCCCCCTCGCCTGAGTTGGTGTTGGTTGTGCCTTCAGTTTCAGATGTGATCTTTTTTTGGATCAGGTTGCTCTGCTTCGCCATGAAGCATGCGTAGTCGGCATGCACATGAGGGGCAAGGGCCGGGAAGTGTTGCCAAGCTGTTGCCAGCGACGAGAAAAGACCACATATTGTAGCAGCCGGGGTTGTTTTCCCTCCAAAGAGCGTGAAGGAACTGCACTGTGGATATTTAGTCCATGCCATGGCCGAGGCTGTGCCAACAGAGAGCGCCAATTATGCGCATGAGAGGGCCATCGCCAAGGAGTCATACTCTTTGCACGTACGTACATACTACTCAAAGGGTGGTGCAAAATCCCTCCTGTTTAACTTTCCATAGAGCCAATAAGTGCAAATTCTTACCGGGGGCTTTTACATGTGGGTGAGGCGAAGCTCAGCTTACTGCCAGCTGCCTAGCAAGGTAGCAGGTAAAGGATGGATGGCATCCTCTCCCCGACCCACTCTGCCGTTCCGCCACTGTTCTGTAGACTGGTTCTAGGCCTCTCCCAACTGGTATACGCGGCATTGAGCGCGCAAAGTCGTGGTGATGACTAAGTACTGTGTAGGGCCGCGGTCGTAGTATTATTACCTATTGTGCCTGTGTGCCGTCGAAGCGAAATTCATCCATGGCAGCGGCCTAGGCCTAGCTCCAGCCCGGGTCTGGGCATCTCGGTTGATGGAGTAGGTAATAACGGGAGGGCTCTCGACAGGGCAGATCCGAACGAGAGCCGAGCATGCGTTCGTCCCTAGAGTGCAACCTTGCTGGGAGCCTCACGGCCAGCATGTAGTAATCTTATTGAGGGTACACCGCCAAAACGGTCGTTTGCGTGGCGTGCGAAAGTCACTGTGTGATACAGCCGTTGGGTAGGTAGTAAGGCTTCTGAGATGGTGATGAACGGCGTCTCTGCCATTGACAAACACCGCCCAGACGGGTAAGCACCCTGCCATGGCACTGCATTGTCTGGACCCGCGAGAACGGGGCCTTCCCTCTCATTTCCCAAGGCGGGTCCGCGCAGGCCAATGGGCAATGGTCCTGTCAGCACAACAAAATTGCATGCGCAGGGGGCCGAAGCACGCAGCAAGGCCACTCCACAGATACGATGCTAGCCTGGTGCCGACATGGCTAGCCGATTCCCCAAACCACCGCCCAAGGGCTGGCGATGGGCTTGATTACCAATGGCGCTGTGTCTGGAGTGCTGATTGAAACGGCCTGTGATACAGGTGGCGGAGGTGGGATGGGTGGATGGGTGGATTGGCGGATTGGTAGATGGGGGGATGAGACTTGTGAAGGAAGCCAGCTGATGCGCATGCGTGATATGATGTGCGCAGCTAGATCCTGCCGCTATTCACGTTGATAGGGACCGGGGACGGTATGGAGAGATAAATGCAGACCCGGCGCTGGAGAGACGGTCAGATGATGGTGAGTCCGTTGCCGTTTCCCTGGTAGTGGGCTATTATACCGTCGATGGGGTTGAGATCAGAGAGGCTGCTTTTTTCGGCACATAATGCACACATGCAGTAATCTGTGGTTGGACATGGGGGCTGCACGTTGATGGGGCCGAGTCCATGGTTGGTGGGCGGCCGTGGATCACCCAATAATGCAACGCTGTTGAATTTGCACCAGGTTTTTTTTTTTGCACTCCGCAAGGGTCCAATCGGCCCCAGATGGGAAAGATGGGAATCTCGACGTGCTAGAGTTGGCCATGACAAGATTGTTGGGCTGCGGTACCCGCGGTACCACAACCATCCCCATCCTCACCAGTGGACAAACAGCCCACCGCCCTACCCGCCGAGTTGTTATCTCCTAAGAGCGAGCGTAGAGAATCTGGGGCGATAATCCGGTCGACTCGACTCATCATCAGATGGGGCGCAGCCCAAAGGTCAAACCTGGGGTCAGCTTGCCATGTCATCTACTCGAATGGGCTTGGCTATCTACATTCAGCTGTCATAATTTATGTCCTGCGAGCTGCGTGCGTGCCTGGCTTGCAGTCCCCCAATGGCGTTCTTGAGCCAGAGGATATTAGTAGTATGTGATTACAGGGAAGAGTCCGCCAGGAACCCGAGACATGAGCTGCATATCAGCTGCATCTGGCGGGCAGGAAAAAAGAGAAGTGACGGACCTGAGGATCCAGCAAGTAGCACTGCAGCGGGCTCCGTTATCGTATCTGTTCGTGCCGAGCGGTCGTCGAGAAAACGGTGTAGAGAGCCTCCGGACCCCGTCTGTCTAGGCCGCCCTTCGCCATTTAGATCGCCAATCGCGTGTCTCCTCCAACCAAATCGACGTGGTAGGCACACGCCTACGGTTGGATGGGTGAGGCATCTTGGTGGAGGCACCCCCATGTGGCTCCCCTAGTCAGCTTGCAGGTCTAGAGCTATGACGATGAGACGCAGTGCTAGTCAGTCAAGGAACGAAAGATGCCGAGAGCTGGTGGGAATTTGCCAAGGCGGTGCCAGTTGGTGGCCAAGCGAGAGGCCGCCTGAGCATTGCCCTCTATTACAGGGCGTTGGGAGATTTCAGGAGTTTTCTGTCTGCGACAGGGCCAACGGGGCTGAGGGAGTTCCCTTGCAGATCTCCAATGTGGGCATAGGCATCCTGGCTCAGTGGAGAGAACAAGGGAGGCGGGTTCGGGGAGTTCTCCCACTTGCAATGATCTGGCCACAGCATGGATCGCGGTTTGCGTATAGAAGGGCTTGGCTTTCTTTCTTTACAGTGGTGCTCTCTGCTGATTTGATATGCTGGCAGCCGCCCGCGTATGAGTTACGAATCAAACAAGGCGCAAGCCAAGTAAGGTTTCTTGAGACAGCCGTGGTGGAATTCCATGATACCCCATACTCCATATCCATACGTGTTAGTATACGTAACTTCCTTACGTTGGAACACACTGTGCCACATTCGAGATATGCAACGCCCAACTCTGATTCACGTTCTGGCGCTCACGTTATTGTGGCAGGACAGGCCGCATGCCCTTTCGAGAGCATTGATGCCATCGTTGGTCAGCCAATTTGCTGGCCGGGAGGGTCATGCAAGTCAGCCAGGCTGTTGGTAGTAATAGAAGCCGTGCTCAGACATGTTCTGGCACTTTGGAAGTCCATCGCCAGCTTGGGTCCCCTTGAGAGCCAAGATGGTTGAAGTACCCGTAGCCGTAGCCGTAGCCGTTGCACACCATGCTGACACCCAGATCCACACAGGCCTCCGTCCAAATTTTGAGCAGCGAATGGGATAACACAAGTCCCTGAGGTGTAAATTTGGTCAGCGCGCAGGTCACACTTTTTTCTCGTCTGCCCGAGGAAGCTCTTTTATTTTAGGTTGCGGGTACTTACATGTCAGCGGCAGGTCCGTACACGGTACTACATTGCGACCAAAAAGCCACGGTCCTGGTTGGCCGGGCTGTGAAAGTTACATCGACTTCCGCGGTCGTGATGGGAGTGGCCGCTGCCCGGGTGCTTGGTACGTCGATGGGCTACGATGGGCTCTCTCTTAGGCTGTTAGTGGCCGTGAACTACCAGTGGCCGTGACTCGTTTATCTCAGCAGGTATGCGTCGGAAGAAGCCAGAATTCTTCTTACCTCAGCTGGTGCCCTGGGTTCGTGGTTGGCGTCGCCCTCGCGAAGTCTAATTCACGGACATGGCGAGCTGAGTGACGAGCCTGAAAGAGTATAATTACGAGCCAGAAGCCGCAGACGCAGCCCCAGCAGTCGGCAGTCTGAATGAGTGCAAAATCGTGCCATGCCATTAGCCAGCGCCAAGAGCTCGATGAAGCACTTTTCATTCGATTCGATCCTTCTGCTCAAGTTAGTCTGCGATCCCGCTATTATTATTGCCTCGAGGCTAGAGCCAGGCAGTAATCTCTCCTATTTGGGCCATCGGCGTGTGCAAATTTGCTGCTGCGCCGTGTGTAGTCCCTTAGCTCCCCCCCTGCAGGGCGGTACAGGCCTTGTAACTGGGGGGTAGAACTGGTGCTTTAGTCCCAAGTAACCTGGGAACCTCAATCTCGTTGGCGCCCCAGCCAAATCACGCCGGGCTACTAGAGCTTGCTTGTCTCATATTTCGGCCTCCTTTCGCGTCCCATTCATTTTTCCTCGTCCTTCTCCTTTAACCCTCCACCCCCTCCCTCTCTCCGCCAGACTTGCACTCTCCCGTTCTCAATCCTCAACCTCGCCTTAACCTCGTCTTTCCTTAAAGGGTTTCAGTTCTATCGTCTCTGCCTGCGTCGCAGTCGCCCCAGGCTCCCCTCCCTCTTATCTCCCTCCTCTCCCTTCCCACACCCAATCCAACGACTAGCCGACTTTTCCCCAGGCCAATTTCGAGGGTCTCGAATCGCTGCGACGATGAGCGTCTTCGGATGGTGTTCGCGACGGGTGGGAGGCCTGAGCATGCTTGCTGTCCTCTTCCTGTCGTACTGGGTGATCTCGAAAGAATCGATCCGCGAGCGTCATGGTTATAAGTTTGAGCACCCGGATACACACTCCACCGCCTACTCGTCAACCTCAACAACCGGTGCTGGTATCTGGACCTACATTTTCGCCTACTACACACTGTTTCTCCACGCCGTTGTGCTCTGTTTCCCTGTCCGCGCCTTGTACGCCATCGTGGACTTGAGCCGGGCCATTACCCGTCCTTCGCCCAGCCGGTCGCTCAAGGACTACAAGAACCAAGCTTTGCGACGTCGAGGCTCCTACGCCTCCGTGTCGAGCTCCGAGACGCTCATTTCCGAGCACAATGGCTCCTCTTCCACAGCTGCTAGCAGTGAGGCTGGTGATTTCGATCTGGAGAGGTATCACGATGAGGGAGAGCACGCCACCGCCGACCCCGTGATTCACGCTATTGTCATTCCCAACTACAAGGAGGAAATCGATTCCCTGAAGGAGACACTCGAAGTTCTTGCTTCGCACCCTCAGGCTCACAACTCTTACGATGTAAGTACCATACCCTCGACTCCTCCGATTCCAGGTACTTGATCAGTTGCGCGCATAAAATGTGCACACTGATAAAATGAGAAAACTTCTGGACGCAGCCTGGAAATATGCTTCAGTGGCTAATATGAAATCATATAGGTCTACCTTGGAATGGAGCAACGTGAACAGGGAGGTGAGGCCAAGGCTCTTGCCCTGATTGAGGAGTTTGCCAAGAAGTTCCGCTCAATTGACTACACCGTCCACCCTGGCGACATTCCTGGTGAGGCCGCTGGAAAGGGAAGCAACATGGCTTGGGCAGCTCGCAAGCTTAGTGTGAAGTACCCGATCGAAAGCCGCAAGAACGTCGTTGTCACTGGAATCGATGGTACGTCGTGACCCTCAGAATCCCCAGCGAAACAAAAGTACGATTGCCTACTAACACGTTCCCACTATAGCTGACAGCCATCTGTCCCGCAATTACTTTGGCCAATTGACGGATATGCACTTGTCTTATCCCGAGACCGCTCCCACCACCCTCTACTCTGCTCCCATCATCTTCGATCGTAATGCTCATGCTGTTCCTGCTGTTGTCCGTGTCGCTGATATCCTGTGGACTGCTGGTGGCATGTCTGGTCTGTACCGTGGCTCGACTATCGCCCCCCCCACCTCCGTTTACTCGATGTCGCTGGAGCTTATTGACCGTGTCGGTGGCTGGGACTGCGGTTGTGAGGCAATTGGTGAGGATCTCCACATGTTCGTCAAGTCTTTCTTCACGCTCAATGGCAACCTGACCTGCCGTACTATCGCGGCCCCCGTTAGCCAGAGCAACGTTGTGGGCAGCGGCAAGGGTGGAATTCGTGGCATGTTCATCGACATGCAGGCGCGTTACAGCCAAGCCCTCCGTCACATGTGGGGTTCTCTGGACACTGGATATGGTATGCGACGGTTCGTGGAGATGTGGCAGAACAGGAAGCAAACCACTCGGGCGTTCCGACCCGTTCACAGGTCCCACGGCGAAAACTCTGAACTGTACTACCCCGACAACCATCTGTCCGATGAAGCTAGCGCGCAGGCTCGTGAGAGCGGTGTATTCTCGGATGTCACACAGGAAACGATCAAGGAAGTTGACTGGGAGAGAGTCTTCTACATGAGCCACCGACTGTTTGAGGCTCACATCATCCCCGTCCATATGACTATCCTGATCATTGCCTCAACTCTGTACATGTTTGTCACCGACGGAAAGGAGGATCCTCACGGCCTCAACTGGACTTTCGCCCTTTCAAACATGCTCAGGACTCTCGGTGTTATGCTCTGTGCCTGCTACATTGCCATGTATGAGCGATTCCACCGTATTTGCGTCGACGCTCGTGAGAAGGAGATGAAGGATGCTGGCCTCGCTGAGGGAATGCACTTCTCCCGACGATCCTTCAAGAAGAATTGTCTCGACTACATCATGGTGCCCCTCGTGGCTCCCCTCTATGGCTCGATTCCTTGCATTCAGGCCGAGATTTGCCACTTCTGGACCCTTGATTTGACCTACACAGTCAGCAAGAAGGTGACCAGACAACCACAAACACCCCGGACTGACGCCTTTGCGGATAATATGGCTTAACAAGCCTTGCTGCAGTTGCAGAGGCACTGTCCAGACGATATACTAATAACTATCTTCTTTTCACATTTCGGGCCTTTTATTTGGAGGATACGGCGTTCCTCATGTCTTGGGGCACATCCCAAGATGCATTGTATATAGACAGACGGGGTCATCACTGGTCTTGTTCATATGCTTGATACGGCATTGGCATCGGCATGGCGAATTTATAAATATTCCTTTTTTTTCGGGAGGTTTGGCGCGCACACACAAAGACCGGAGTTCAGGGGGACACATAGGGCATCGGTGTCTATGGCTGGTCTGCTTACATTCGCTTATACACAGGACGACGACAGATGAGAACAAAGTGAGAGCTTGCTATTCAGTTGAGGAAGGGGACGCTGACTCGCAAAGGGTCAGTTCCGCGTGAAATCGGCTGGTTGGAAGTGGGCAAGGGTTGCCAATGTTAATAGTCAGCGTTAGTGTTGGGGAGTAGCTGGCGGCAAACCTTAATGATAGCTCCGTAATACTTAATGAGATAGAATAGCCCTCTGACCGACCTAATTTGGGTCGAATAGAGAATATTTGATATACGAAAAATTTTTGACTTTTGCTTCTTGACTCGTGTTGGTTCTATGATCTACTAGGTCTCCTCTCACAGTGGATTATCAGGCGAGCACGAGTCGGTGATGGGACATAAATCGCTCATAGAGGGGTTTGTTATCTCAATACTTGCTCATCCAAGACTTCCTTATCACTAGTTCGTGTGAGACCGTATGATCGTGGGAGGGTGGGTGAAGCGACACTGGTCAATAATTCATGACAACGCCGACGCAGGCGGAGGAACTTCGAGCTTCGAGCTTAATCTCCGAAGCTCACCGGCAGCTAGAGCAGCCAAGGCCCAATGAGAAGGAGGCAGGATATCCGATTCGGGATGAAGCATCCCCGACCGGAAGCACATGATGGTTGGCAGTGTTCTCCGGCCAGGCATTTCGGATGGAAGAAGAAGGAGGGAGATTGAGCATTGGGATGGGCATGGCTACATTTAATATATATAAAGTGTGGGTGTAGCTTGGTAATACGGACTGTTCTCGGGATCTCCATCTTCCTAAGCTTCGCCGTTTGCCTACAACGAAATACGAGCCAGCATGTCAAAGCCGATCAAGATTGGAGTTTTCATCCCAAATGGCAGCCAGACACTTGACCTGGCGACCGTGGACATTCTTGGAGTCATGTCCAAGGAGTACATCAGTGTCTTGCCCATGCCCTCCCACCTGAGGGATGCGGCGCCCAGCGTGACGGTCTACTACATCACCTCACCTAGCATATATCCGGATGTCCCTCTCACCTCCAATGCTGTCCTCAAAGCGTCGCACACGCACCGGGATGCTGATGTAGCACCGGGGAAATTGGACATTGTGGTTGTGCCCGGCCCCGATCCATCGAGCACATATGAGAAGGAGGGGCTGGAATGGCTACGCAAACAGGCGGAGACTCCAGGCGTCGACATCCTGAGCGTCTGCACAGGCATACTCGTTTGCGCATCTGCGGGGATCGTGGATGGGAAGCTTGCCAGTGGGCCGAGGGGTATGCAGGGCGACCTCGTGAAGAAGTTTCCCAAGATCAAGCTAGTGGGGGACAGCCAGCGGTGGGTACAGGATGGCAACTTCTGGTCGAGTGGTGAGTCTCTCTCTCTGTCTCTCTCTCTCTCTCAATGGAGAAATTACAAAGTATTGGAGATTGTTGTATGGCTAACATCTATGTCTAGGCGGTGTGACCAATGGCAATGACTTGATGGCAGCGTACGCTCGTGCCTCAGGACGCTGGCCGGCTTCGATTGTTGATACGGGATTGATGCTCACTGATGTGGAGCCTCGGCCGCAGTTTTATGAGATTGGCCAGAGCCGCTTCTTTTTGAACGCCGCGTGGATGATTGTCAGGGCGTGGTTTGCAAGTTTTGGGTCTGCGACGAAGCAGAAGCCCGCATAATGAAGGAGGAAAGCCGTTCTTATGGGGAGGGGCAGCTGTTGTGATATGTATCATGCAATTAGTTCTATTCAAGCGTTAATTACTATGTGACGGAAAGATGATCGAGACAAATTAGACTGCAGCACATCCATTGATGATAACTTAGGTACCTAGGTACGGGAAAGATGAAGTCGGCAGGCGCAACCCGCTCAACCACTGCTGGTCGCAACAGGCAGCTGCTGGTGCGCAGAACTAGACATGCGAGGCAGGTGGGGCGTTTGGATTGGATTGGCGGTTGCTGAGACACCAGCTGCCAAGACAACATCATCTTCTTATCGCGTCGGATAATTGGTCGCCGGGGCTTTTAGGTGGACCCAACAGCTTGCAATCGGTATCAGGCCAAAAAAAATTTCGAGGCAGTTCTCAAGGCAAGTAGGACTGATCATCTCTTCACTTGAACGCAACACCTTCACTCGTCTCGTCGCATTTTCCTCGCAACAGTGACCAGGAGCCCATTCATTTTCAGGTCTCTCTCGACGCAGCACATTAATTCCTTGAATTCTTTTTCTTTTCATACATTACCTTCAAGATGTCTGCTGTTCCAGGCCCCGTCTACGGACTCGAGGTCCCTCCTGGCGAGATCCTGATCCCAGCCTCAATGGACTTCCCTGCTTCCGTAAGTCAATCTGCCTGTCGGCGATACTCGTCGCGAACCTGGCGGGAGTCTCTACCGAGGCCCATGAATCGACTTGGACCATTTGCTGACTTGTTTTACACTTCCAGTTCCGTATCACCATGGCTGCTGTGGATCCTACTGAAGAGCCTGAGGCTGATGCTGAGGGCAAGATCCCCGACGTCCCTCGATCTACCCTGCGCCTGGTCAAGACCGCCTTCCCTGGTCTTGAGGATGACGACGAGGATGACGAGATTGACGAGGAGAGCCTTCGGGAACTCATCGCCAATGCCAACGAGAGCGACGATGATGAGGATGATGAGGAGGCCAACGGCGGACCCAGCGACCCTGCCAAGGTCAAGAAGCAGAAGCAGGCCGCTGCTATCAAGAAGCTCCTTGAGGCCACCCAGGACGATGATGAGGAGATGGAGGATGCCAAGCCCAATGGCAAGTCAAAGGGTAAGGGCAAGGCCGTCAAGGAGGAAGACTCCGAGGAGGAGGACTCTGAGGATGACGACTCCGAGGATGGCGGTGACCTTGAGAACTTTGTCATCTGCACTCTCGACACATCTAAGGTAAGATTTTGAGACCTCATTCCCAACCATCTTTGGCATTTTCGCTCACCGTCTTCCAGAACTACCAACAGCCTCTCGACATCACTGTCAACCACGGCGAGAAGGTATTTTTCCTTGTTACCGGTACTCACACCGTTTATCTTACTGGTAACTACCTCCTTCCTGATGACGATGAGGACGATGAGGACGAGGACGACTACGACCTCTCTCCTGATGAGCTCGAGTACGCCCTGGGTGGGGAGATGAGCGAGGATGAGAGCGACGATCTCGATGACATTGATGACCCCCGTATCACTGAGGTCGACAGCGAGGAGGAGGCCCCCAAGTTGGTTGAGACCAAGAAGGGCAAGAACAAGCGCGCTGCCGAGTCCCTGGACGAGCAGATCGCCCAGGCTGACGAGGCTAAGCTCTCCAAGAAGCAGCAGAAGAAGCTCAAGAACAACAAAGGCGAGGCCATTGCTGCTGAAGAAAGCAAGGCCGATAAGAAGGTCCAGTTCGCTAAGAACCTTGAGCAGGGTCCTACTGGCTCTACCGCCAAGAAGGCCGAGACTGGTGTTAAGGTTGTTCGCGGTGTGACTGTTGATGACCGCAAGATCGGCAAGGGCCGCGCCGTCAAGGAGGGCGACACTGTTGGTGTCCGCTACATCGGCAAGCTTGAGAACGGACAAGTCTTTGATGGTACGTGGACAATGGATGACTTGACTCTGTGACGAGATATGCTAACATCTATGGTTATAGCCAACAAGAAGGGTAAGCCCTTTGCTTTCAAGGCTGGAAAGGGCGAGGTCATCAAGGGCTGGGATATCGGTGTCGTCGGTATGGCCGTTGGCGGTGAGCGACGACTGACGATTCCTGCCAAGCTTGCTTACGGTTCCAAGAGCCTGCCTGGTATCCCTGGCAACAGCACACTCGTCTTCGACGTGAAGCTCCTTGAGATCAAGTAAGCTCGTCGTCGATTGTTTGCTGAATGATTCTTTCTCTCAAAGTGAGAGGATCTTGTACAATCTGCCAAGCTGTGGTTTCCAGTTCACAAACTACAACACCCCCCTTTGTCTTCCTGTCTCGGCCTTGTCTGGAAGCGACCTTGGCATAACTATATAATCTGCCTCATTGCTCAAGGACCTTGAGCTGGACAAGAATATAGACGAGGCTTGCTAAGCTGGAGTTGGGTGGTTAGTTGTTAGTCGAGGTAAGCTTGCGTTATGTGGAATGCAGGCCGGTGTCTGATGTGGAAAAGTCGAATGTCTCTGCAGCGCATTTTTTTACTAATAGGGTCTGTTGCTTTTACCCCGGAGGGTTGGTTTATATACAAAGCTGGTTTACCTAGGAGTTACAATACACCAAGTCCACTTACTTCGTTGATCTCGTACCTGTTAATTCATGACTTTGGGATTGATCAATTTAACCTCTTTTATTCTAGCTTGGATCACGGTATCTGTGAGTAGATGAAAAGATCCGTGATAAGACCTAGCCCAGTGCGTGTAGGGAGAAGCGCACCTGAAAGCAATCCTACAAGAGCAGGAGCGAAACACAAGTAGAAGATGTCCACACCAACACTTGCCGTTTAGAAGGAAGCACAGCACGTGGAGTAGGCAAGCCTAGTGGAGAGAATCAAGCAAGAAAGGAAAGAAGCTATTGCCTTGTGAGTTTAGAATACAGAAGGAAGGATGCTTGGGCGGCTCTTAATTGGCATCTGCATGGAGGACACACCCAAAGCTGTTGTTCAAACATCTTGTTCTGCCCCCTGAGAACCATCAGTCCATCATAAACAACAACATTCGTTTTTATTTTTGTTCTAGGTAGACTCTAATCCATCAAACGTCGACAAGTGCTCACATCATGTCCAATGGCACTGTTTGTTCCTCCCCTCCTCTCCCCAATGGGGGCATGGTGATGTCCCCCGTCAAGCCATCAATCGAGACGGTCGAGAAGACAGCAGCTGCCAAGGTCTTCCTTGAAACACACTTCAACGAGAGGCTTAATCGACCAGATAGCCGTACCAGACGGGAGCAGTACCTCCAAACGCAGTTATTCTACAACCCACACCTGAGCAATGAAGAGAAGGACGCCATCATGGAGTCGTTCTACACTCACGAAACGTGGCACTTGAGAGAGACTCGCTCTATCAAGTCGAGATGCCAGGCTGTTGGGCAGCCGGCTGGTACAACATCGTACGAAAACAGCTACGAGGCTCTGAAGATCTTAGGGAAGGGTAGCTTTGGAGTCGTGAAGCTCGTCCAGGAGAAACCTTCATTGGGGCAGGTGTACCCCAGGCAAGTGTTCGCCATGAAGGTCATTCGAAAATCAGATATGCTTCGGAGCAGTCAGGAAGGGCATCTTCGCGCTGAAAGAGACTTCCTGGTCGCCTCGGAGGGATCGAACTGGTAAGATATCTCCTCTACAATCCCCAACCCTAGACTCCGCCGTATGGTAGGGCTGGCAATTCGAGAGTTGAAGTCAAGAGCTAACTCGTGGTGACTTCGACACAGGATCGTTCCTCTTGTTTGTAGTTTTCAGGACACCTCGAATTTGTATCTTGTAATGGAATATATGCCGGGCGGAGATTTCCTCGGTTTGCTGATACGAGAGAACATTCTCCATGAAGCGGTCGCCAGATTCTACGTTGCCGAGATGATTCTGGCTGTCGAGGAGGCTCACCGTCTCAGGTTCATTCACAGAGATATTAAACCCGACAATTTTTTGATTGCTGCAAATGGGCACTTAAAAATATCCGATTTTGGTCTCGCTTTTGATGGCCACTGGTCTCATGACGGAAACTACTACAACTATCATCGCTACTCTCTTTTAAACAAGCTCGGAATCCAAGTTGACGGAGATGATGCCGACCAAAAAGAGAGCAAAGACATGCACAAACAGCTAGAGAGGAACCGCATGCTGATGATGGGCTTTGAACGACATCAGAAGCCGACAAGATTTCGGTATGGGATCCCCACCGAGAGCAGCAGCGAGGACGATGACAACACTCTGGAGGACATAATCGACTGGAGAAACAAGTGCGGCAACCGAGCTTCTGCCCACTCGGTCGTTGGAACCAGTCAATACATGGCCCCTGAAGTGATTGTGGGACAACACTACGACGGCAGATGCGACTGGTGGAGTATTGGTATCATTCTTTACGAATGCCTCTATGGTCAGACGCCCTTTCTTTCGGAACATGGGAGGAAAGAGACAAAGCAGAACATACTGGTAAGCATTTGATGTAGCATACCTGATGCGAGAACCCTAAGCACAACTAACAATCGCTCAGGACTACAGAAAGCAACTTTTCTTCCCTCATAAACCCGATGTCAGCGATAAATGCCAAGATCTCATGTACCGCTTGATTCGAGACAAGGAAAACCGGATCTGTTCTCGGAGGTACCAGATGAAGGATCGAGGACAGCTTGATGGTGGCCGACCAACTGATTATCTCGGACGGTACGTGTTCCCAGACGATGCTGAGGATATCAAAGCCCATCGGTGGTTCAAGAGTGTTCCCTGGACGCGGCTTCATCAAATAAACCCCCCCTTTGTTCCTCATGTGCACGGGCCTGAGGATACCAGATACTTTGATGAATCGGCATCCATAGATGACCAGACAGAGTCGGGGGAGGCAGCACCAACACCGTCACCACAAGAAATAAGGAGCATTTTGCGAGATTTCCGACCTAGTATCCAGGACTTGGCCACGGAACTAGTTGCCGAGCCTTATGATACTATCAAACTACGAAGTATTGATCAAAAGATCGAATTGACCGCGCAAGCCAACGAGACAGAAAAGGATGTGTTGAAGCACTTCGTTCGAATGTATGGGCATAAAGAGCGAAAGAGGCCTAGAGACAGAGTTCTACGGGACGAGAAGACGAAAGATGTGGCAATGGCTGTGAGAAAACAGACGGCATTTCTAGGATACACTTGGAGAAGAATGCGGCCAGAGGGATACATGATGCCACGAGCTGATACCCTTTCTACGTTGGGGAAACCGCACGGGAAATCGACATTAATTATTCAGTAGGATTACGCTGTATATTTTATAAAGAATTGATAGCATGGAATATGATTTGGGAGGGGGCTGTTTGAGTTGTGAGGAGGCAACTAGAGGAGCGCAATTGTTTGTTTGCAAGAGGAGAAGAGCCATCGTTCGCTCTGAACAGGACACTTTAACGAATACGTTCACTTTAGAGGTCATGAGGTGCTAATATTAATCATTCAGAGAAACCGCTGGGTGTTGTATGGCTTCGTCCTATTACAAATATGATACTGATTACGGTCAACCATGATCGTGCTGTTGTGTAAGTCTTATATAGATCACTGATCTGTGAATGCCGAGGAACACAGAAAGGCGACAGAAAGCACACGAGGCTAGTACTCGTTCTTATCTCCCTGCCCACGCTCACAAACAGCCATGGGATCAGTGACAGCCGGAGCTGGAGGTTGCGAGTTCAGCACCTCCCACTCGAACTCCTTGAGGGCACGTATCTCCCAGGAGAAGAAGAGCAAGGCCAGCAGGCCGTCGATGAAACCGGCGAGCAGGACGACGCTCCCGAAGAGCATGAGGATGAAGGCGACGAAGTTGCGGGGGCTGAACCACACGGCCACCAGGCAGGCGACCCAGACGACGAGGGCGGAGTAGAAGTGGACGCCGCGCCAGTGGCGCTGGCTGCGCTCGCGGGAGGCGTACCAGAAGATCATGGCGAGGATGGAGGTGTACTCGGACCTGGAGAGGGTCTTGTCCTCGTGGTGGTCGTTGCTGGCGGCGTAGCGGAGCTGGGCGTCGTAGTCTGATTCTGGGCCAGTAGTGGCCGCGCCTAGATCCCGCGGCGCGGAGGAGGTGTGACGGGTGAGGGTTGCGGTGACTGCGAAGTGGTCGGAGAGGGAGACGAGGAGGTCGGGGTGGCGCTCTGTCATGACCACGTTGGCGGACTCGACGACCCAGCCGGATCCTGAGCTCTCAGAGGATTCATCGGCATCTGGGGACTGGCCTGTAGAGACGAAGATGTAGTCGAGGCGCTGGCCGCGGGGGTCGGGGGTGTCCGGATCCACGGGGCAGAGGTGGCCGGCGCTCAGTTTCTTCTGCTCCGACTTGGTCCAGCGCCAGGTGTTGAGGACGTTGTTGCTGGTCGCCCCGTTCTCGAGCAGGTTGAAGTCGGCGGAGGGGACGGGCAGCCCGCGGCGAGCCTCGTCCGGGTGGTCCGAGGGCCCGAGGGAGCTTTCGGGGTGGAAGATGCGCCAGACGTCGCGGACGCCGCCCCTGGCCGTGATGATGCGGTGGGCGAGGGAGCCGGGGAGCATGTTGAAGTCGCCCAGGGCGGCGACCAGGTGGCCCGTCTGAACGGCGGACCGGACGAGCTTGGCCATCTGCCAGGCCTGGGCGGTGCGGTGGCAGACGTAGGTGTCCCTGGGGCCCTTCTCGTAGGGGGCGTGGGTGTGGGTGTTGAAGACCTCGAGGACGTCCCGGGCTCCTGGGCCGAAGCGGATGGTCGCGCAGGCAATGCCCTTGCCGACGTACCAGTCGCCCCGCCAGAAGGCCGTGGGACGGCCGTTGAGCTGGTAGGGGACCATGGAGGAGGAGGCGATGGGCCAGCGGCTGAAGATGGCGAGGCCAGCACCAAAGGCACCGCTGTGGTAGAACTTGGCGTGCGGGAGGATGGCGCTCGTCTCCCGGCGCAGGGCCTGGAAGTCCTCCTGGCAGAACAGCTCCTGGAAGCACACGACGTCCGGCGGAGCGTCCATGGCCGCGATGCGACGCCCAATCTCGAGGATCCGAGGACTGCGGAGGGCAGAGATGTGAAGCAGGCCCCAGCAGTTGAGGGTCAGGAGACGGATCTGCTCCGGGCATCGCGGCTGCGAGGACAGCGAGTCCCTGCCAGCGGGATTCTGGGAGACTGCCATCTCAAGTGATCAAGACGGAATGTCTAAGGGGGATCTTGATGAAGCGAGGCTCTGGGAAGATACCAGGGTACCTATAAATCACGCGCCAACTTTCCCTCATGGACGATTCTACTTTCCCTCATACATAATTCAAATTTCTTCATGGATGATTAGCTTTCCCTCACGGATAGTTTGACTTTCACTCATGGATAGTTTGACTTTCCTCATGGATGATTGAACTTTACCTTATCGCTACAAAACCATTTGCACCCAATCTGTTCTGAATTTTTCTTCTTCTTCATCCATCCATCCCAGTAGCAAAGCAACGTTACCAACCACAATTTTTATTACTGCGCCCTCGGTTCATATCGTTACTACCATGGCTCCCGATACACGTTCCTCGCGCCATACAGAGTCCGTGATGGTAGATGCACCTAAGATGTCAAGTGGCTAAAACAAAATATGGCACACCAAAGCCCCTATACAGCCTCAGATTTCGACACAATATCAAAACAATCAACCCAGTTATTAGATATAATATCAAGCCAATAAATATACAATAATATATTATTTTACTGTTATTATTTGAAATATTATTATTAACAAGATGAGGTCTCCAGCTTGCACGAAAAGAGCTCTGGTGTGCCATGTTTTATTTCAGCCACTTGGATGTCTAACGCCATGCTCGGGGTTATAAAGCATATGCTCCTCGCCACCAGGGTGCCGTGGGAAAAACAGGAGCCGCGAATATGAGGTGGTCACGGCCTGTTCCAAGTGGGTTGATTTTGGACGGGTTAGAAGAGGCCAAGGTGATACCTACGCGGGTGGAGGCTGTTTGTGGACAGCGGTCTGGACACCGTGCGAAAACCCTCAACAGCGTATAGCTGCTCTGACAGCATTTGCAATAAAAATACGATAGCTCGCGTGTAGGCTGGAAAAGCTATCAGCAGAATATAATGTTCCCTCTCAGAAAAAGATACTTCCAGCTTGGTATTCCTCCCGTTTACGGTAGGTTACGGTAGGTTACGGAGCTACGATTACTACTACGACTACTAGTCGGCTCGCAGCCACATTACTGATCGTCATCGCGGCGGATAGGATCAGACTTACCTGCGCGAGGCAGCCTGAGGCTGCGGCCGTTGATTGCATTCATCTGGATCACGTTCAGCAAGATCAAGGAAGGGTCTGACTTACCTGCCCGAGGCTGCAGCTGTTGATCGCATTCATGAGAGGCAGCGCGGATAGGATCAAGGAAGGGTCTGACTTACCTGCCTAAGGCTATGGCCGTTGATTGCATTTATCTGGATCGCAGTCAACGAGATCAAGGAAGAGTCTGACTTACCTGGTCGAGGCTGCAGCTGTTGATCGTATTCATGAGAGTCAGCGGGGATGTGATCAAGGAAGGGTCTGACCTACCTGCTCGAGGCTGCCTCGAGGCTGCGGCTGTTGATCGCATTCATGAGAGTCAGGGCAAATGCAATCACAAGAGGGAAAAAAAGTAGATTCTTGGGTCTTCTCAAGGCCCGGCTTTGGAAGGAAGGTACGATAACTGCAGCTCAAACAGCGGCTCGAACAGCGGCTTTCCCTTCCAACAGCAGCTTAACAGCAGCTATCCCTTCTAACAGTAATTCCTTCTAGATAGAATAATAGAGCAGTAACAGTATATTCTTCGTACAGTCTCTCTCTAGTATATCTCTTCATCTACACACATTCACAGAGGATAGCAAAAAAACCCTTCTACAGCTGTAAGGGCTACACATAACTAGGTATTATTTTCATACTGTTTATACACTGTACATTCTTTCGGCTTAGCCTACTCGCTGTCCAAAAACAGGGCCCCCCAGGTAGGTAACCGCAGTTTCCACCCATAGTAGTCGGTTCTATTTTGTCAATTCCAAAGAGCCATCTCAGTTCTGGATTATGAACAAAATAACCCTAGAAAGTATGATAAGGAGCAGATTCGGTGGTGTCGTTTGAAGCGTAGCTTTCCGACCAGGGACTAATCACGTTCCTCATACGGACTGCCTAAGTAAAGCCTCTCTGTCCCACCTGCACCAGCCTTCATGTCTCTAGGCAAGCACCAATCACAAGGAAAGAATATGTGCAACTTCACAGCCTTGCCATCAGTAATCAGATTTATTGGTCCGTTTTGAAGTGGTATCAAAGTGGAAGAGAAGATCAAGAGTCCGCTATTAGAATGAGTACGTCGGGAACCCCTGAATACGTAATATAAAACACAAGTGACACCTGAATTCCGTCCTGAATGCCATAAACCGTTTCCTTGAATATCTTCAACCCCCTCAAAGGAAACAAATACCAAAATAAAAGAGAAAAGAGCTACCGGACCAAAGATTATGAGCCCAGAAAACCCAATCACTAGAGAAACAACACCCTCTTTCCATCCTCTCCGTCGACGAAGCCGTTCAATGCGCTAAGTGTAACAATTTTTTTGGTCGAAATCGCGGAATAACCTTAACACCAGTGCCTCGATAAAACGCACGCATGGTCCGTAAAATGAAATTCGGTTCGACTTAAACTCGGTGTTTCTCCGATTCTGCAAAAAAATTGGAACGGTTAGAAGCTTAGTTGTTGCCGTTGGCTCTGTTTTGAACCTCACCAAGTCGAGAATAGAGCATGTACAGAGCCATGCGGTTGCACTCTTCAGTTCCTGTGATCGTCACAAGTCGCTCATTGCTGTTGTCCTGAGGCTCGTTGATCTTGATGACGCTGCCACTCATTTGACGGATCTCGTTGATCTTCTGCCCGCCCTTTCCTATGATGGCGCCCACCATGTCGTTGGGAATATAGATTTGCTGCGTGATCGGGCCACCAGGCATACCAGCCTGGATCGGCTGGCCCTGAGCATGGGGTTGGGGAGCCGCGTGGCCACCCACATGTGGCTGAACATGAGGAGCAGCTCCGTAGGCTGCGGCAGGCTGACCGCTATACTGAACAGGGATCGCAGGGTTGGCGTGCGCACCGGCGTGAGGATAGTGCTGGGCGTAAGGGGCAGGAGGCAACTGTGGCTGGGCGCGTCGATCGTGCTGGCGTTGGTAGTAGTTATCTCCACGTCCATAACTGCCTGGAGAGTTCTGAGGGCTGTAAGGCACAACCTGCATACCGCCAGGAATCGATCCGGCCGGAGCACCGCTTCGGGTCGCGTACGCGGAGGCGGCAGGGCCGCCAAACCGGTCATTAAGCTGCTCGAGAAGAGTGCTGCCAACGTAGTAAGTGGCGATGTGGACAGCGTCAGCGACTCCCATAACAACCAACGAGCGCTCACTAGACATGGGCAAGCATGCATCCGATGCATTCAGTCTTGCTCCAGATGCGTCCTGAATCTCTCGGATCCGAGCGCCGCCCTTACCAATGATGGATCCGATTAGGATATGGGGGACGAGGAGCCGGAGGGGATAGGTTTTGGAAGATGCAGTCGATGACTCTCCCAGGGGTTCATTGTTCAGTGTGCGGATAATGAGTCCAAAGGCCTAAAACACATTGTTAGCCCAAGCTCGTGATCCAATCTCTGGAATGCTTCTACTTACCTTAGCCACAGCGTCTACCACGCCACTGACAGTCAAGATGCGCTCAACAGCTCCCTTCTGGTAGTCGCTAACGGTGCATTTGGCATTTGACATCTTACGAATGTTGGAGACATTTTCGCCACCCTTGCCAATGATAGTGGCAGCTTCGGGGCTCGAAATGACGGCACGAATGTGGATCCAGGAAGTCTCATCGTGGGCGTTGGCAGTGCTCGCGGCGGCGGTCGGGGTTGGTCCAGCTGTTCCCTTAGACTCAGGCAGTGCCATATCCGCTGTTGTCTCCGTAGCTGTCGCGCTGCTAGCGGCATTATCGCTTCCATTCTGTTCAGCAGCTTCGGCAGCGGGCGCATCGGCTGCAGCTGCGGAAGCCGTCTCGGGAACCTCAGCATCGTCTTCGTTTCGGGAGACCTTGTCAAGAGCAGGTCGCTTGGCCTCGGGCTGATCGGTGGTCACCGAGGGTGAGGAAGCATCTTCGAGAGGGCGCTTGGCCGAGTTTGTGGGTTGTGAAGGTGACGCGGACATCTTGAAGGATTTGAGGTTTCACAAATGCAGCTGTATGAAAAAGAATACGCGGCGGGATCGAGACGGAAGGAAGTCTTCTGTGTAATTTCTCTTTTCTTTTCTTGATTTTACTCGCAGTTTTATCTACACACAGGGGGTTTCCGGGAGGAAAACGTGCTGGTGTAGTGGCGGGGTCGGGATATCGAGCTTTGAAAGAGCCTTCGTGATGTGACTGGAGCCGTGAAGGATTATGTCCTGGGAATGACTGATGCAGGTGCAGATGGGGTTGATCTGAAAAGGGAATCCTTTGCTCCAGCGCTCTGTCGGTGCTCCTAAAGCTCCCGATTTAAAGGGGTACCGAACTGCCACAAACCGTAGTTGAAATTTAGGCGGTAGAAAAGAGGGAAGAGGTTGGTGAACCGGCACTGAGGGACCCGGCTTTAAACAAGCAGAAGGGGAGAGGCCAGAAACTTAAACCTTTTGACCGCAAATATTGGATCAGCTGTAGTGCTCCTACGTTGTCGTACCACGAGAGGCGACGGCTGGAATCGAGGCGTGGAGGTGAGGCGACGGTGAGCTCCAGCTGAATTGCTTGACGCGGTGATGTTTTGGAATCGGCGAAAGCTGTCACAAGTCGCCTGATGAAATCCGCGTCACCGAAGTGCAGAGACAACAAAAAGAGAAGGGGGAATTAGAATACAAGGCAGGCAACAACGAGCTGCTAAGCGCAGACGATGGAAGAAGAATGAAGAAGCCGGGGACGAGATGGCGAAGCGCGGTTTGTCGCCAGGTGAGGATGGAGATCGAAATTGAAATCAGTCTCACGTAGGGGGAAGGTGAAACCTTGGAAGGTGCTGCCCCAGATGGTCCGTGCACGACACACGTGACCTGCATGAAGCTAGGAAGCTCAGGAAGGAGCATCTCCTCCTCGTACAGGTGAAAGAATCTGAGATATGACCGGCCTAGCTGGTTCTGATATACCTCTTTGCATGGCTACTCGGTACAAGGAAATGAAGGGATTGGCTACAGGCACATCCTGATTTAGAAGAGCAGGTTTGGCTCTGATCATTTCGAGGCTTGCATACCTGCCGTTTTACGTGCCTGGTCTTTACTTTAGCTTATCTGTGATAAGCCCTACAGACCTGGAAGTTAGCATGCGCCTGGGTATCTGCCCAAAAGTTTGCCATCAGTGCTATTATTAAGACCTGTAAGTCCCTGCCCCGATGGAAGCAAGCACAGGAAGGTGTAGCTAAGGCAGGGGACATTGGGAAGGAACACCAGGGACGGGAGCGGGAATCGGGCAGGAGACTCACGCCAAGGAAGTTAGGATAGTGGGGCAACGTCGGCGAGACTGACTTGCCTTGCAGAAGGAGCGAAGTGAAGCGGGGTTGAACCGGCCGGCAGGTGCAGGTGCTCAGAGGGAGAGGTAGCTGGCAGGTAGGCAGGTACTTACTGACCGAGGACTAACCCAGGCCGGCACCTTAGCAGCAGGCTCTGGCCGCCAGCCCGCTAATTCTTGCTTGCTGAGGTGTGGATTGCTTCCAGTTGCGCTGACTCAACGGCGTACCTGGTGATCATCAATCAAGGCTACGACTGATTTGGTAGATCGGGACTGCACCGGACGCAGTCAATTCGTGACTCTTCACTGGAAAGTCTGTGCCGCCTTGCTTTTCAATCCGCGTAAAAGACGCCGAAGGAGCTTCCATCAGCCATCAGATATCTCGGTCCCACTTCAACATGTCTGCTGCCTCTTGATTTATTCAGCGTTCCCTCACATCCGGAACGGCCTTAAAAAAATTTATCCCGCCTCTCTCTTCCCATACCTGCGCAAAGAAATTTGAAAATTGTCCCACCCTTCCCTCTCCCGATATACACAAGCATGGCTACTGTGCCGCCTGTCCCCGAAACAAGAGTTCTGGCTGTGGCCAGCCATGTACGAACCACCCTCCAGTGACTTTAACCCCTCGAGATTGGTGCCCCGCTGACGTCCCATGCCGCACTCTCTTGCAGGTCGTCTCAGGGTATGTCCTAGAAATACTACGACTTGGCCACCCTCTTCCAACCCTTCCTGCCAATAAGATTTGCCACTCTACATGTACTTCCCAACCAAAACTGACTTGTTGCTTTTGTAGATATGTAGGGAATAAGGTCGCTGTTTTCGTTCTCCAGTCTATGGGCTGTGACGTGGCTGCCCTCAATACCGTCCAATTCAGTGAGTAGTTCTATGTGCAGCGATTTGACTGCAGGCTCGTTCATATGTCTGACAAGTCCAATTCCGCAAAAGGCAACCACACTGGATACAAACAATGGAAAGGCTCCAGAGTTACAGCCCAGGAGATTGAAGATCTCTATGAGGGCTTGAAGCAGTCATATCTTGACGACTTTGACATGATGCTGTCAGGGTATATCCCGGGCGCCGAGGCAGTCACCGCTGTTGGGAAAATTGCCAAGGAGCTCAAAGAGAAGACCAAGGAAACCCCAGGCAAGTTCTTCTGGGTCCTGGACCCGGTCATGGGCGACAATGGCCGAATATACGTTGCCGAGGACGTTGTTCCAGCCTACAAGTCTCTTCTGTCTTCCGCAGATCTCATTCTTCCAAACCAGTTCGAGGCAGAGTATGTTGTTCCCGAATGTGCATGACATGTACAGCTTATATCTTCCGCCAGTGTGCTCGAGGCCCTAACTTTATGATTTTTCCACAGGTTATTGTCAGGCATCCAAATCAAGGACATGGAAAGCCTCACTCACGCCATCCAGGTCCTCCATGATACACATCGCATCCCTCATATCGTCATTACTTCGGTGAACCTATCCGCACCAGACCACCCAGACTCGCACTTATCTGTGGTTGGTTCTAGCATGACCTCCACCGGAAAGGCTCGCCTCTTCAAAATCGTCTTCCCTGCCATAGACTGTTACTTTAGCGGCACTGGAGACATGTTTGGCGCACTCATAGTCACTCGCATGCGCGAGGCTGTATCTCAGGTACCGGGTCTCGGAGACAAACCAAATTGGCTCAGCGACGATAACACTCCAACTCTCGAGCTGCCTCTGGCCCGTGCTGCTGAGAAAGTCCTCGCCAGCATGCATGAATTGCTATCCAAAACGAGCCAGGGGATGACGGCTATCGTAGAACGCACGCGGCACGACATGACGGAGGCGGAGAAAGCAGACCAGAAGAAGTTGCAGCTTGTCAAGAGCAAGGGCGCAGAGCTACAGCTAGTGAGAAATCTCGACTGCCTAAGGAATCCGGCCATCGAATTTCGAGCGAAGGAGATGTAGAGAGGCTAAAGCAGTCTGAGCTGGAAGAACAATGATACACTTGGCTGGCAAAACATCATGGAACCTTGGATATCTCGGACAAAATAGATAGACTGCTTTTTCTCGCTGCATTTAGAAAGAAAGAAAATACAACCCTAGATTCATTACCTTGGTTGATTTTTATATCCGGCTTGCCTACTGCTGTTTGCTCTAAGCGGCTCTGGCTCTTTGCCCCTTCCTTCTTGTAATGGAAGTATCTTTGAACCCAAATGCGCCTGGTACTGTCTTTGACCATTCGGTATATTCCTTTAACCGACCATTTACATCAATAGTATAACAAATTTCAACATGTCTCATGCGTCTTGGCCCGTGGGGCGATTATGCTGAACCAGTGCTTCCGAAGCCGCCAGCACCGCGGACGCTCTCCTCCAGCTCCTGGACCTCGACAACGTCGGGGGTGTAGATGCGTTCCAGGACCAGCTGCGCGATCCTGTCGCCCTCCTTGATCTCGAAGTCGGTCTCGGCGTGGTTGAAGAGGAGGACCTTGACCTCGCCGCGGTAGTCGGCGTCAATCACGCCGGCACCCGTGTCGATGAAGTTCTTGGACGCGAGGCCGGATCGGGGGGCGATGCGGCCATCTAGATTATCACGATTAGCCTCCCAATTGCTTCGAGTGTGCGGGACAAGGGGGGCGTACAGGTCCCGGCTGGGCAGGCGATGCTGATGTCCGTGGAGACGAGGACCTTGCCCCGCGCGGGGACGGTGGTGTCCTTGGCGGCGTAGAGGTCGTAGCCGGCGGCGAAGGCGCTGCCGCGGGTGGGCAGGCGGGCCTTGTCGGAGAGCTTCTTGACGAGGAGCTGGGGCTGCTCGGCTGTCATGGTGCCGTCTCCGTTGGTGGTCTTGACGCGCTTGGCTGGGGGGGACGTAGGTGCGGTGGCGGGATCAGTGGTCATTGTCGATGTGAAGGATGCAGAAGTTACGGAGCGTCGTCGGAGGAAGAAGCGGTGGGGATGTAATATTTGGGAGGAGTAGGTTGAAATGCTGGGGCGGGTGATCGACGGTGGGACGCGACGCGACGCGCGCATTAGGTCGCGCGAGGGCCGAATTGGCCAATGAGAGAACATGTCTTTAATTGAAAGAGTCCCCTAAGAGGTCCGAACGCAATAGTATCCAGAACAGCAGACCAATTGGCCTGGCGCATCATGTTATTGTGGCTGGGAAGCTGGACGGGAAAAAAGCAAGGAAGATGATGAATTTCGTTCATGCGTCAAGCTCCCTCCCGAAATCTACCAGCCTTAGCCTAGAGGCATCCTTGGGATGGAACTGTGCCACTTGTGACCTCACTAGAAATCTTGCAGCCGCTGACTCCCGAGCCAGTTTCACGTATGATCGCGAATTGTCCCCCTTGGCCTCGTCGAGCTGCTGCACGAGTGCTTGTAGAAGCTGCTTCATCTCACTGCCCGCAGCAGCAGTCTTGTCTTCACTGTCGCGATCTTGCCTCCCCTCCCCGCCATCGCCCCAAATCTCATCAAGGCGCCTTTGCCCCTTCTCCACGCCATCACCGGCTTTGGCGCGTTTTGGCTTGCCCTGGGCATTAAAGCCAGACTCCAGATCTTCTTGGTCAATGTCCATCATGTCGCCCACGATAGGGCCTCCCAGGTCTTCGGCCGCCAACATCGGCGCCAGGTGCTCATCAATGAACTGCCGAAGTGATTTAAAAAGTTGCTTGCTTTCCACGTCGTAGCGCTTCTTCTTCTGCTGAAGCTCCTCCTGCCGCTCCCTAAGACCATCCTCTGGATCCGTCTCCGTCGTCGAGGTGAGCTCCTGTTCAAGAGACTTGATCCGCGTGTCCAGCGCCTCGGTGAGGAGACTCTGGTCCTTCAAACGAGTGAGTTCCGATTCCAGCTCTCGCTTCTCGCCATCCGCGACCGCGCTCTGAGAAGCTAAGTATGCTCTGGACTCGTTGATCGTCTCGTGAGTCTTGCGCAGCGCCAGCAAGGCCGGGAGAACCGAACCCGGGAAAGGCATGAACGGCTCTGAATTCGTCGCAGTCTCAAGCGCATTGTTGATCACTTGAACCTGGACCGCAGGGGAACTGATTACACCCCCGTGACGTGCCTTGAGCTGTTGGTTTGATTTTCCAGTTAGTGAATGCGCGCTCCATGTGTGTACCTGTGAGGCGGTGGATGTTTATTGAAGGCCCTTACCTTGGCTAGCTCGAGTTCGTGGTCTTTGACCTTCTTTTGGAGTTCCTTGAGAGTGTAGTCGAGGTTGGAACTGTAGGTTTGCGCCTCTGAGTTGAAACCTGAGCTCTCCATAGCTGCCGTAGGTTTGCTTGTCGCGTTCAAGGTGAGGCGAAGTTCGTCAAGTGCTGGAATATGTACGGCAATATAAGAACCCTAAATGATCGATTGATCGAGACACAGGGAGGAAGTTCATGAGCTTTTTGTGTTGGTTCGTTCGCAATTGAGCCCATAACATAGCCAGCGTCTGTTGTTGTTATGAAGCGATGGAGTTCATGCTATGAGAGTGGGCAGGATCGCTGGCAGCGGACTAAGTCGCCTATAAAATCTATCACAGCGCTATAGACCCCGCTCTAGAACCTATGTACAGACCTGGAAGCAGCATCAGAGCTCGCTTCACAACCACAATTTATTATTACACTTGGGCAAGTTTCGAGTTGCCTTTGCGCCCATCAAGGAGACAAATAAGTAATATGTCATATGTCTTCATTTTACTATTTTACTATCTCCCATCTCGTGCCTTGCCCTGAAATCATCGCCCTTGTCGAACAAAGAAAAACATCAAGAGGCAACAATGACGGCCAAATAGATAATTAAAATCACATAGCTGAGGCTCAAAGAACCCCAGACTCGCCTGGCGTATGTTTCTTTCCATATGTTGGATTTCATTCATTCCCGCCAGAGTGGTTGGTTGGTATATCCCATGTGCTCGCCTCCCACAACGCCAGCACCTTTGCCCAGAGCAAAAGGGTCGTAAAGCATATATATAATCATGTGGTATCATTTTCCTACTCCTCGTCCCCAATCTACACATAAAAAGTTAGTCATTATTCAGAAGGTCAGAGGACGGCGACTGCAAGCTGTGTGATCGCGCAACTCGGGGTCAACTTACCTTGGGAGCAAGGTAGAACCGCAGGTGGCTGTTGTTGGAGCCGAGGTCGTACTCAACAAGCAGAGGGACTTCGTTAGACAGGCAGATCTTGACCCGGTTTGACAAAGCCGCAGCCTTGCAGAAGTTGACCAGGTATTTCAGGGAGAACGTCAAAGCAACGTGCTCGGAAAGTTCGATCTTGATGCCCGCGTCGGATCCTTCTTCAACATTGGACTGGCTGCGAAGGGTAACGGAGCCGTTGCCAATGTCACCGTTGGCAGAGAACTTGATGCCCTCCTTGGAGGCCTCGATGCTAACTAAAGAGGAAAGCTGTTAGCCTGTCATATGCCGGAACAAGGAAAGAAGGTCCAAATTACACACCAGACTCGGACATGGCAGCCAGATCGGTGCAGATGCGCCTGAACTCAGCCGATGGCAGAGAGATTGTGGCGGCGTAGTCGGTCTCGGGGATACCCAGGTGCTCCTGGTCGATGTCCATGAGCTTCAGGTCATACTCGCTGATTCTGTCGTTCTCGCTGCTCTCGAAGAGGATGTTGAGTACATCGGGTGCATCCTCGGCCTTGAGGGTAAGGATGTCTTCGTTCTGGGCGGCACGGAGAACCTTGGTCAAGGATGTGAGGTTCATTCCCAGAGCAATGTTTCGGTCACATCGGTAGGGGGCAAAGGCCTCGGCCTTCAGAAGCATAGAGACAAGAGCAACGTGGGAGTTGTCCATTGCTTGGAGCGCGATACCAGAGTCATTGCAGTCGAAGTTGCAGTCCTGGACCAGGTCCTTGATGGCGTCGACCACCTACGGATAGTAATCGCGTCAGTCATGACAATTTGGAGGAGAGGGAGGGCGGATAGCGTACCTTCTTCAGGAGACTGGCTTGTTCGAGGCGTGCTTCCAACATTTTCTTCACTCTACTGTCAGCGGTAGCGGTGTGCGGGGGCACATAAGCAGTACTTACTGCGATTTATTAGATTAACAGGAACTTTCGGATGAGGAATATGTGCAGGTGGGAGCAGCGGAATGTTGCAGAGTCGTCGAGGTTGATAGGGAAGGCAAACGGTGAACCGGAGGAAGAGACGGTAGAGATTATGTGCGAGGGTTGGCCAAAGGCACTTTACGCGAGTGAGGGGAGCTTTGGTGGGTTCAGACGCGTCGGCCAGCAAGCGACGCCAATTAGGCGCGTGGAGAGGCGCGTCTGACTAACCTGACTTCAGCCCAACTTAACGAACAAGGCTTTTTCAGCAAAGTACAACGGCCAACTCAAATACTATTATCGGCTCTAAGTGATATAACAGTACGATTCGCAGACTGGACTCTCTAATTATGAGCAGTACGGTGACTTCAATCTCACATGGTCATCCCCCTTTTCAAAACCAGGTGAAATTTAGTCGAGTTCACCGCAATTTATTCAATAGATACCTATTTCATCTCTCCAATCTATTCCTACATTACAAGATTGGGAAAATCCTATCAATGATACAAATTGGCCAGTAATTCCAACTCCAATGAACCATACCAAAACCCGAAGACTCATCAGATATGTAAGTATATATGACTCCATAGCGTGGGCAGGAGAATAGGAAACGATGAGAAATGATTAGCGAATAGAACTCCGCTTTGTAGTGGAGCGCGGGGGGAAAGAGAGACAACGTGAAATGAACGAAATAATGACAGAAAAAGAAAAACAGATAAAAGAGAGAAAACCATTAGATTAATGAATGTCGATCGCTCGCCTTGCGCCTTTAAATATGCTTGATAGTTGCCCATGATGCCTGTTTATTTGTCGTAAAGAAATACAGAGAATTGATTGGTGGCGCTCTCGGAGGCGTAAGAAAAGTTAGCGTACGTGCTGTGCTGTTGAACTGCTTGGTCTTGCCAAGCTCGCCGTTATTAAACAAATTGAAGTTGTTGTTTGCTGTCGTCGTCATTCGTATCTGATCAATGTGCCTTAGAAATGGCTACATTGATACCACCCGACCGCCCATTGACGATCGTTTGCTGCTAGATGGTCGCAGGTTAATCACAGTTTCTAGCTCACGAAGCATACCGCGAGTGGCATCGATCTGCTGCTTTGCTCGAGCCTTGTTTTCTCGCTCGTCCTTCATCTTAGCTATCCTCTCCTCTCTGGTGAGCATGCTGCGTGGTCTGGGCCGAGCCACGGCTTCGAAAAGCTCCGGTTCCATCTCCAGTGATTCATGGGTATCTGAAGCTGGTGGCGACTCCCCAGTCAGGGCTTTGAGGGCTGCCGCCGCATTGCCTTCCTCCCCGACCGTTGTCAACCCACTCAGAGAAAGGGTGGGTGATGCGAGTGTGCTCATTGACGAAAGTCTCTTTTCGTTTCTGTCAATGCCCTGAGCAAGTGCTGCTTTGCCCTCCTCCCACACCGACATTAGTTCTTTGAGATCTGCGCCGATTGTCTCGTATTGGGTCATAAGATTAGGGCCAAGCTCTGAAATGTCGCTCGAGTCATTTAGTGCCTTATCCGACTCCTCTCTTAGCAATTGTAGTTTAGCTTGAAGCCCTCTAATTCCAGTACCCAGGGAATTCAGCTTGTGAAGCTGAGACCGCCACCGCTCACGTCCAGGCGTAAGTGGTGTCTTTTGAGTGGTAGGAGATGGAAACGCTAATCGTCGGGTTAGTTGCTATATTTTTGTATAAAAAAAAAGGAAATGAAACAAGAAATGTGCCATCCTCTCCACTGGGGTTTGAGTGAAACTTACATTCTTCCTCGCTGAGAATTTCTCGGAGTCTTTTATGCACTTTCTCCGTGAGAGAGTTGACACTCCGGAGAGTATCAACCGCATTTGACCATCGCTGCAAGTCCTGGCTCTCCCCACTCGCATCAAGAGCGAGCAGCGCACACAGAAAGATCTTTCGGACTGTGTGGAATCGACTTGCGACAATCTTCAAGGTTCGTAGCGATTCGGTGTCGTCGAACTCCTCCAAGTCAAAGCCTCGGTTGGCATCTGATATGTCGAAGTCGCTAATCTCATAGATGTCAAGGTATTTTTCGAGATCAGTTTGCTCTGAAAAGGCCTTGACAACCTTGGACACCTGGATGTACTCTTCAAGAATGTCGACAAATGAGGCCTTCAAGGCCTTTCGCAATCGTACACACTTTCGGCTCTGCGTGCGATCCTCGAGGCGGCTAACAGGGGGGAGAGGTGCACTACTACATGCGATATTAGCATCAAATATGCGGCTGCAGCTGCATCTGGGCTCACTTACATGCGGTAACCACGTGAGACCAATTCCACCTCCTGGATCAAGCTCAATGCCGCAGTTGTCGCGCTGTCAAATTCATGCGAGTTTGATACGAATGTGGAAATTTCGGAAAGAGATTGATCTCTCCTATACCGCAACCACTGTCTTCGAATATAGACCTGACCAAGAACCAACCCGGCAGCTCCAATAATTATGAGGAAAATAAGTCGTTTTCGAGTTATGGAAGAGTGCCCGCTCCCTAATACCCAGCTCAAGATGATAGCAAGGGCCAGCGCTGCTAAAATAGAAGCTAGAACGCCTTCTGTTGAGTAGATCGAATTGAGTCCTGGCGAGGAAGCCCCATCGGCGAGGCTAGGGGCTGGCTGATGTTGTCCCAGGATAGAATGGCCACTGAGTAGTTGGGAGGCCACGATAGTGTATCGGAATTTCTCGAGAAACTTGGAGTTATCGGCACGGTCGATCCTTGCTGCAAAAACGGCCTGCACGGAACACCACGTATTAGTCTTGCCTCCTCTCCTTATTTCAACACGTGCACGCAAATCCCGAGCCGGACTGACCGAGTAGTGTTTCCTTATAGATCGCATCGACGGTGCGTGCGGTAAAATGAGCTGGGGGATATCGTGGGCATCCTTGCGAAACCGAGCCTTGACAAAGGGGCGGCCAGTGGGAGCAAACGGCGACGGGCTTGGAGGAGGTGAGGAGTTCGGTGAGGTCGAGGCCGGTCGATCTGAGGAATTAGCAACAGGCGCCCAGTCGTCTTCCGATCCATCTGCACCATCTGCACCCAGGTTAGCTTCTGAGACTGAGGGAAAAGGCCATGTGTTGCGCACCTCGAAGGTAGTCGGCTAGTGGCGAGTCCTCGTATACGATCGGCTCCATCTCGAAGGCGTTGATCAAAGTTGCAAAGGGGAAGTGGTCGAGGAGTGAATCAAAACTCGCCTGCCATCGACTCTTGAAGCGATCCGGAGGTCCCCAAGTCGACAGCATGAATAATTGTCTGCTCCGGAGCGTTGGTGGCGATTGCGAAGAACGGAGCTGTGATGTCGAAGTAGCAAAAGGAATGCGGAGTCGCACGTTATACACCGGCCGTTTGCCCTGAGGAGCCCGAGCGTTGAGTTAGACCAACAACAAACAAGGTCCCTTTTCACATCGGCGTCAGCGATTCCTTCGCTTATCTTCGACACCCAAGTGACAGAAAACGAGCTGATTAGTGTGTCGCCAAGCTGTATTACTAGATACATATTAGGAGGTCACTCCTTCCTGCGTGCAGCACCTGCATCAGGAAATTGCATAACAAAGGGCATTGCACATGCGTCTGGGGTGGCCCCGGGTCTTCAGGCCCAATGAGGACTAGTCGACCGCGCAGTCGCCAGTGGTTCGGGAAGGTGGCCAGGTGGCTCTAGCTGTGGCTCGGTCCGGCATGTGAGCCGCACGCGTCACTCGAACCGTGCTCCAGCCACATCTCGGAAAATATATTCCCCGAGCTCTCCCAACACGGAATTAAGTACGGTATGTTAGTAGCGTGTAATAATGCAACCCGAGTTATTGGCTGGCGGAGCCTGTGAAAGCAGCGACACGATTAAAGCTCATGGACGACCCGAAATGGGACTGAAACACCAGCAGCCCTGACGATATCCCTCTCTTTGACGATCCAAAAGCTATAGAACACGAATTGCGGTCATCGATAGCAGCGGCCTAGGCCAATGCCTCTCGGACCCGCGGCACGATGTCGTCGCACGACCCGACGGCAGCCATCTGCCCCCCAGGTCGCCGCAAAGCTCCTCAACCTCGCGACGTGCCGAACTATTGAGGCCCAGCAACGCAGGCCCGTCGGCTTCTGTCGCTTCTCAAGCTCCCAGAAGGGGCCCATCGAGAGACGCCGGCTGCTGGGGAAGCGCCACATGACGGGCATGATGGCAGAACCCCCCACATACAATCCTTCCTGGCATTTTGAGGTTATGAACGACCCGAAGGAGTGGCAATGGGAACCTCCTACGACGCCCGAAACTCGACGCAAGCACAACGCCGAAATTAGTGTGAAAAATCTCAGTGGGAAGCTACTTCGGTGGCTCGAAAACTCGAATATGGATAAGCCATTCCTCGACCCGCCTTCAGAAGTCCTCAACTCATCGGCAGTAATCGACTCACCAGCAGTTGCGGACTTAGAACTTCCCAACTCATCGGCGGTAGTCGACTCACCAGCAGTAGCCGACTCACCAATAGTTGAGCAATCGATCACTGTACCTTTAGACGATCCGGCCACCACTTATACAGAATTACAGCAATTACGATCTGCCATACTGGGGCTGGAAAATATTACAAAAGAGTCCCTGCGGTCAGTGAGAGGCAAATTTTGCAAGAAACTAGTAAAGAGGATCGGGTCCCACCATATTACAACAGAAGAACTTCTTGCAACTATGAGACCTCTGGATGCGGCCACCATGGCACACATCCCCGAGAAACCCCTTGCTCACAACATCGTCTTGCAAGTCCGAACTGCCGTCCTTACCACGCTCTCCAAGTGGCGAGCCAAGGGACATCGCAGAGATGACTATAGAGAAGCCTGGGAGGCGATCCTGAACGATGCGCTTGCGGCGACAGCAAAAGGTGCTGGCTTCCGGACTCTGGCGCTGATAATCGAAAAGGCAGAGCCCATGGACAGAAATCTGCTGCCTGTTGACCGGCTTGCTACGGTGCTCTACGACTTGATCCGGTCAATAGTGCTGGCACCCACGAACCAAGCCAAGCTGCAGAACCTCGCGGAACTTGCCCAGGTGATGCAGTTTTTCGAGCCTCACATGCGAGAAGCCATCGGCCAGAAGGTCGAGTCTATCGTTGCCGAGACATACCATGCCGGCCTCAATTATGAATACCGATTCTGGTGGATGTTTTTCAAGGCACACTACATCGAGATGTCATTTTCCGGCTTCGAACAGGCTGTCAATTCCTACTTGGGATCTGACCAACGGCCAAACGACCAACAAACCTTGCTACTCACATCGGCAAGAATGTTTGCCGATGAATACCTGGATGCAAGATTATACACGCACTTTACCCGTCAGGTGGTGCGTCGTGGCTACCGGGAAAACGACTGGCTGACCCTAGCTGGAATGGTCATGGACTCGAGAGGCCGCGTTGGCCTGACGAGCCTTTGGTGCCACCTGGGCGCCCTCAAATGGGATATCCGTGTCTTCGAGAAGCTCATCATCCTCTCGCGGAAGCCCAGCCCCTTCGTCGTACAGGACACGTTGAAGGTGATCAAGAACATCGTCTCCAACCCGCTTCTCCCCTCGCTCAGATTCTGGGAGGCCCTGAAGGACGAGAAGAGTAGAATCATGCCCCCGAAGCCCACATCTGCCGAGGCCAGTACCGCGCCCCGCGTTAGTGACAAGCGCTTCAGGCGCACCAGGCGGGAGCTGATGGACCTGGTAGACAAGATAGCTCTCTGGTACGAGAAAGCCCCAGAGCTGACCGACCGCATGGCCTTTCGCGGAGTGTCCCGCTGCATCCGATATCAAAGCCAACTGTCCGGTCGGCCGACGGACAAGGTCCTCCGGTCCATGACAAACGTTGTTATGAAAAGCCTGAGCAAAGGGCAGCCTGCACCAGTAGGACGTTTGCAGCATTACATCGCGAACATTGTTGCTCCTAGCCTTGGGGTACAAGTTGCCCGTGATTGTAGTATCATCATAGCCTCATGGCAGAAACAAGCCACTGTCGATCTAGAGGAAGTAATAAAGGCAAAGAGAAGATAAATATGGTATAAATAAACTATATAGAAGATTCATTCCAGGAAGTAAAAAAAAAAATTAGCTAAATATTCAGCCAAATGAAATGGCTAACTTATGGTTCATGATGATTTCCGGCCATAGCAGAACTCATTCTTGTGACATCCTACAAACGACGATCACTCAGATGGTAAGAACTTATCAAGTAGGAACAATATATTTTCATCATTCAAAGAAATGGTCGTTATAGAATCTAAACTAGTAATCATTCATCCAACCCTGTCCAATTACGAAAATGATAGGAGAAAAGAGCATATGATGAAAAGAAATGCAGACAGATCAAGGCTACTAAATGCGCGCCATCGAAAAGACAAACAACATAAATAAGAAAAGAAAGGAACAGAGAGATGGTAAACTCGCGTAAGGAGTTGATAGAAATAAAGAAAATGAACAAACCCAACCAACAAAATGAAAAGGGGAAAAGGTCTCCCCAAGGATATCGTCCTAATAAGCAATTCGCCTCTTTCCAATGATCCGCCCAACCTTCCCAATCCTCGTAAAAAAATACCTTGAAAATAATGTCCCGATAAACCCCAAAATCAATCCAATATTCACAGATAACGATGCTAACCGCCACCATTAAACTATTTCTCTCATACCCTCATGCAGCTGGTATGCAGCATATCGTTCCGCCTCAACATAGGCGTTAACTTTTATCGGTGACAACACTCAAGCGACTGCGTGCACCAAGAGATGCACCTCCGAGCTCGCTTGAGCCAGCAAAGTTATGTCTGTTATCGCCAGCCACAATCACCTGGGCTGGGCACACAACGATCTCATCATCCCCAACACCTTCATCATCACCCTTCTTGACAACAAGAGGGAAGAGAACAACTCGAACAATAGCCCCCTCGGCCTCCAGCTCGTCATTGGCGAGGCCTTTGCTATTCCGGTCGCTCATCATTGAGGCATTAAACTGAACAGTAGCGGACAATTCTCCGTCCGCATCATATTCAGGCTGCAGCGGTGGCAGCATCATGTACTCAGCTTTCTGAGTACGCATTTCGATTGACAGGTCAACTGCCTCTCGGAGGACACGACGAAGCTGAGACTGAATCTGGGATTCCAAGTTGCCTGGAGGTGGCAAAATCCTGCTTAGAGTCTGGAAGATGGCCTGAACCACAGCTTCCGTGTCCTGGTCCCGCTGGTGTTTGAACGTGTCCCTCCTGGACAGTAGGGTCAAAGTAACGGCACGCCATTGGCGTACGGCCTGCGGAGGGCCAACATCAGTAAGCATCTTTTCAAGAGACTTGAGCTTTTGTCGCTGTTCTCGATCCATGCCGAAGAGGTATCGAGTGAAGACAAATTCCCACACCATGTTCATCGTCATGGACATGAAGATGTCTCGTCGTTTGACTCGGTCGCTGAGGTATCTATCGACATCAGAGCCATCGAGAACAGCATTGTCAAGTCGATCAATGGTTTTCTCATCATTGATTTCGCTCGTCAGGCGACAAGCTCGCATATCGGAAAATTTAGAGAAGCGAAGAACCCATTGCTGGACGTGGGAGCACAGCTGTTGGCAGCGATGGTCAAAGTGGTCTTCATCGCGAAGATTCAGGAACTCTGCATCGGAAGATTTGGATTCGAGAATCTGGCGTTGCATCTCGCGAATTTGTTCTTTGGCAGATTCAAGCTGGGCACGCAAATCGGCGATCTCCGCATCCTTGTCTTCGATCGTTTGTTGGAAGGCATTCTGGGAGCCGCGAGCCAGGTCGAGCTCACGGGTGACGTCTGCATGGCGAACCTCGAGGTCAGCGTAGCGTGTCTTGTCCTTGTGAGCGAGCTCGGCATTGGCACTTGTAAGGCCATCGTTGACTTCGGTCAGGCGCGAGACCTCGTTCTGTAGAAACTGCAGCGACTGTTTGAGAGATTCGATCTGGGCGTCGCGTTCGGCGAGGACAGAGGTGCTGCGGTATGTGAGGCCCTGCTCGGCTTGCTCGCGGGCCTCTGTCAATTGTCGGTTCTCTGCAATCAATTGCTCAACTCGGGACTCAAGCTCGAGGACCTGCATGCTCTGGCGGCGACGCATGCTGTGGGGCCGGGTGGGCGAACGAGGCGAGCCAATGCGGCCCTCCCCAACGCCATCCTGGAGGTGGATCGTCAGCTTGCTGTTTGTTTTGGTGGTTGGGCACCGACGGCCATCGCCAGCAGCGACACCGGGCGGCAGGTTCAGAGGGGGGTAGGGCTATCATCTCAACAAGGAATAATATTACTCACGTAAACATCGCCCATGTCCTTGGTGCGGACACGGCGCTCGTTGGCGACGGGAGTCGAGTTGTTTTGTTGGCGGAGTGCGCGAAGGTCACCGCTCACGCGCTTGTCGACTCGCCGAAGAGACGGCGGTGGAGTGGGGGTGGACCGCACGCCCTGGATGCCTGGGGTTTCAGGCCGAAACTTGAGTGGCTCAGGCGTGTGTTTTCGCAGGAGGCTGGTGTTGGACGCCGATCTCCGTGGTCCGCTCTCGGCCGAGCCAGCACTCTGGGGCGACTCTCGCTGCGCCGTCGCTCGCCTTTGATAGCTGCTGTTGTCTGACACGCTGCGTCGGCCCCTCATCGCCTCGTCGGGCGACCCTGTGCTTCTCAACGCTCCCGCCATGGCGCCAACGCCTAGTGCTGCTGCTGCTGCCACCCCGGCCGCGGGGAGCAGGGATGGGGGCGAGCTGGGCGAAGGCGATTTCAGTGCGCTCGCCGGTGAAGGTGAACGCAGGTCTCGGGAGTCTAACTTTCGCATTGATGGTGATGAGGAGCCAACAGCTTCACCGAGCCTTCGCCGACTCGAGCTCGGTCGTAATGAAGGACCTGATCTCATCTTTTGTAATCGTAGCGGTGAAGGCTCGCCCTTCTCCAGTGGTGTTACCGGCTCGGCCCTGGCCCTCTTCTTCTCCGGATCTGGAGTCACCCTCGTAGTCACGGGCTCCTCCAGTACAGGGGTGCCATAAGATGGCCGTCCCAGCTTCCTCCTCCCGGTATCAGGAGTCATCGTAGCGGCCCGCGATATCTTAGGGGCTTCGCTTTCATCAGTATGGACACCACTGTCTCTCTGCTTTTCATCAGCCAGCATGTGGCTTCGATGCCGGGGCTCCGGTGTTGTCTCTACCTCGGCCCCATACCCACTATCGCGGTTGGCCACCGGTGTTCTGGGGGCCTTTCTTCTCGTCTCCATCTCTACCTCTGGCACCTCCTGCACAACAGGTAATGAATGAGTAGGGGATGCCCTGGTATCAACAAAAGTAGAACCGAATCCTCGTCCTAACGTCGATGATGCATGTGTGTCTTCTTCAAAGAGTTTACCGGCAGGCTGTTTTGTATCAGGTTCACGTCGTAGAAGTCCGGCTGTGTCCCTACGGCTCGAAGGAGGTTTTTCTTTGACACCTTCCTTCTCAATTGCCTTTCCTTTAGAACCACTCTTCGTCAACTTGGAATCATCGATGTCTCTTGGAATCGAGGTCTCCAACTTTGCTTTTCCCTTGCCCTTGACAATAACATGGTCGTCGTGGCTCTTCCAGAAATCGTCGCTTTCTTTCGCGGCAAGCGAAAATTTCTCTATCAGTGAGTCTTTGGCCTCTGTAGGTTTTCGACTCGAATGGTCACCAGTCTTTTTACCATCATCTTGTTCTCGGACCTTTTTTTTCTCAACACCCTTCGAGGAGGAATGATCGTCATGTTCAACAACATTCTTCTCCCGTGAAGTCCTCTTATCCACTACCTCGGGTTTCTCGTCCTTCTTTTGATTGCCCCATCCGCCGAATCGTCCAGCCAAAAATGAAAAGCCACTTGCGGTTGCGGCCGCCGCCGCAGAAGCAGCAGAAGCTAAAGTCTTCTCCAGGCCTTCTTCCTTCGTTTCAGTGTTTGGAGGTTGCTCGGGACCTCTTGTTGGCGAGGTTGCTTCAGGCAAATCAGAAAGAGGCTTTGTTGGGGACTTGGGAGTTCTCTGTGGAGATGGCGTCTTGCGGTAGATGTCAGCATCCAAGATATCCCTTTCAGAAGTTGCTGACTGGTCAGGGAAGGTCGTCCCACGGACATCCTCAGGCACAGCCATATGAACAGGGGTGATATCTTGTGAAACAGCCCCTGCTGAAGGTAGCCCTTTCAAAGCAACATCTTCCAGAGGTTTTGATATATCAACCTCCATCGATGCCTTATCCTCTACTCGCAAAGGCTCTTCTGTCTGATCCGGGACCGTCGTTTTGACTGGAGTTGCAGGGTCTGGCATCGACATCTCGAAAGTTGGAGTCAACGCCTGTTTGTCTTTGCCCTTGTCCTTCTTTTGCTTCCTCTTATTGGATTTTGCCGATTCAGTTTCCTCCCCAAGCCTTTGCGGTACTTCCCCCACTGCTTCCTCCAAGACGCCACCATCCCGTTCTAGAGCATCAACAGGTTGTATTGATTTTGTTTGCTGAGTATCCACATTGCTGACTGTCGGTTCCTCGACATTCCTTGGAGCTTCGTGAGATTCTGCAAGAACTGGTTCAACGTCGATATCAAGCTGAGGCTGAGGCAGGCTGAGCTCCATAGTATCTTCAAGCGTCGCCGCCGGTTGGGGAGCCATCTCTAGGTCAAGAAACTCCCTAGTTGATTCTATTCCTTCCATAACATCCACTTCTCCCAGAGCCTTGTCAATGGTGGGGAAAGTACCTCTTAACGTCTCAACATCGGGCTGGCCCTGGAGATGGTCACCTGATGACTCAATGTGAGGCTTTGACGCTTTTGACAGATCGCCAACTTCACGAGACTGCTCTTCGAGGTGAGGGTGATAATCAGATTCTCTCACATCTTGTAGCTCAGGCTCGCTCCGAAGGGCCTCACTGGGCTGAACGTCTAAAGTGTCAACGGCTGCATCAGTTTGGGTGGCTTGAACATTGAATGCTTCAGCAACACCAATATCGTGGAATTCTTTGGAGCCTTGAGCCTCCTCTCCACCATGTTCGTCATTCTGCTCCAAAGTTGACTCATTGGGCATTTGTCGAGTGGCACCAGAAGGCGTAGTTTCCCGAGAGGATTCGCCAGCAGGTACACCGGCGGGGACATCTGGCATAGGCTCATCGATAGCAGGCGCAGCTTCCGCACCAAGGGACCGTTCATTATCGGCACGGATGTCTAGTGTCTCCTGAGGTGCTGTGTCTTGTGACTGGGAAGTGACCATAGTGCCTGCCGCCACTGCCGCTGCCGTGAGAGCGGATTTCTTTCCTTTCTTCTTATCCTTCTTAGACTTTTTAGCTGGAGGTAGAGCCTCAGGGTCTTCCTCTAAGCGAGGTGCATCCTCGACCACTTGTCCATAGTTGGCAGGAGGTTGATTCTCAACATTGGGCTCGATCGAGGGTTCAAGGGTCGGTTGGGATTCAACAATGGGAGGGTCGGGAGTAGCCTCAGCGGCTCCTGCACTAGCCAGAAGTGCCTGTTTTTTTAACTCTCTTTTTTCCTTCTTCGACAACTTCTTCGGCGGCTCTGCTAACTCCGGTTCACGGTCTCCTTGCGGTTGTTTCTGGTAGACAGGCGCCGTGGGTGTCTCTGGAGACGGATCTATGTTCGAGTCCAGCTGCTTAGCATCACTCGCTGAATCGGCCACTGATTCGTCTTGCGCAGACTCTTGCTTTTCTTCATCCCCTGGAGGCGCAGTTGGAGTTGGTTCGAGAGGCTCAGCTTTTTCATCTGCATCACTGGCCTGTACTACCTCGGGGGTAGGGTCATTCAAAACAGTCTCAACCTTAACTGCCTGCTGCTCATCGGTTAATGTTGGGTTCGCAGCCCAATCAGGTCCCTGGCGTTCGACTTGTCCAGTCGCATCAACTAAAGGCGGGAACGACTGCTCCGGCGGTCCGATCTGCACAGGGGCATCATTTTCTACAACGTCCGGACTTCCGGCTGGACGGTCCTCCGGCTCTTCCGGGATTGGCTCGGATGTCAGGGTAGCATCTAGTCGGCTGCTTTCTGTCTGATCCTGCACTTCTCTCGAAGCCTCTGACTCGGGAGCTTCGCTGGCTTCCAAGTCTGGTCCTGTCTCAAGCTCAGAAGCCTGGGTGCCCAGGACTGTGGAGGTTTCTTTCTGAGATTCTGGGGCTTCTAAAAATGGATCAGGCAAGCCCAACGTCTTGGCCTTCTTCCTCAGCTTCTTCTTTTCCTTGCTTGACAACCCTGTCATAGACGAAGAAGTTTTGTCATCGTGGTCTTCTTGCATGCGAGATTCTGGACCCACAGGCGGTGAAGCTGCATTAGGCGCTTGATCCCTGGTAGCCAGTGCGGAGTCTTGTACAACTGGCACTTCCAACTCTGGAAAAATGTTGGGCTCGGCTGCATCTGACATGTCGGTGTCGACAGTCTTGGGCACCTCCTCCGGGGTTTGTTGGCTTGGAACCTCAGTACTTAAACCTCCCAGCTTGTCCCGGTCGTCAGCCGACTCTTTCTCCTCTTCTTGGACGTCTTCTTGACTGGTCGAGGGAATTTCGCGAGTCTCTACAACTCCGGATGGCGTGTCTTGAAAAACGAGACTTGACTCATCGGTAGTTTCGATATCTTTGGCGGGAGCTAGCAACTGTTCGCTGAGCTCCTTACTGCCGAAAACTCTCGAATTGTCGCCCATTTTGCCAGCGGCCTCGGGTGCCTCGTCATCCTTTTCGTTGGACCAGAGAATTGGTGCAGATTGGACAGGCATACTATCCATGGGATCTCCTGGTGAGGAACCTGGATCTTGACGCTCTTCATTGGCACCTGATTGAGCGGTAGCACCGGATTGGCCACCAGCAGATTCAATTACCTCCTCTAAATCCATTGATCTTTCTGTGGTCTGTTCTTCACCGAAGGCAGCAACCTTTGATTGCTCTTCTTTCTTCTTTCTTCTCCTCTCTTTTTTGGAAAGACCCTTATTCTCGGCGACATCAATGGATTCAGAGGCTTTGATAGCCTCAATTTCTTTTTGCACTTCGATCTCAGGCACCCTCACCTCGATCTCTCCCATAGCTTTTGGTGAGCTTTGCTCGCTGACGTTGTCATCTTTCTCTGTTACCAGTCGCAAGTCGAGCGTGTTTTCCTCTACCAATTTCACCACTTCGGCGGAAGGCTGAGCTTCAGGTAAGGTTTCTCCAGTTTCATTCTCCAATGCCAACGTAGGCCCAGGCTCAGTGGCAGGCTCTGCGGTAGGCTCGGGTACGGGGTCAGAAACAGATTCAGCAACCAACGCCTTGGCTTTGGCCTCCTTCTTCTTTTTCTTCTTTTCCTTCTTGGACAGGCCTGAAAGGTTTGGGAGGTCTTGCGTTTCTACAGCCTGGCCAAGTGAGGAATCTTTGGAAGCCAACGTTGTGCTTTCATCAATTTTTCTCATTTCCGTGGCCTGTGGTGCATCGGCTGGAGAATCGTATGCCAATTCACGAGGTGAGTCTTCCGAGGCTTTCTCCTCGGGCCTGGCCTCATGTTGTGGTACCACAACCTGTTCTGGCTCAATGATAGTCTGAGGCTCCGAAGCTGAACTGTCTTCCTTTGGAATCTCATCCTCGAGGGTAAATGCAGAGCCATCTGCTTGTAGGCTTTCAACAGTAGCATCCGTAGTCGCTGTAGATTCCAATGGAGGTGGCTTGTCGGAGCTATGCTCCAATTCGGTGGGTAGCTCCTTGACATCAGAACCACTGTGTAGCCCTGCGTCTTTTTCCGCATCTATGAGTGTGTCGCCTCCCACCTTCGAAGGCTGGTTGGTCGGCTCGGTAGTGGAATCGTCTTCGCTCATTGAGGGGCCCTTCAATGCCTCTGCTCGTTCCTTGACATTTTCAAGAGCTTCCGATCCTCCGACAGGCTCTTGGGGCGGTTGGGTCGATTCCTCTGTTGCTGTGAGAAGTTCCTTGACAGCTTCAGCACCCTCGTTTATCCCAGAACCAGCGCCAGTTACATCCGTAGAAGTCTGGTCCGTCAGAGGAAGCTCTCTTGTAGAACCAGAGCCCGCAGAGGCTTCATTATCACCAGATTTATCCACTTTTCGGTGTTCCTCCACTTGCTCAACTATTGTAGAATCTAAAAAGGGTGTAGTTATAGGCTCCGCAGAGCGAGTTACTTCCTCTTCAGGTAGCGCATAAGCCTTCTTGAGGAGTCCTTCAGCATCCGTAGAGATTATCGCTTGACTTTCAGTGTCCAAGGCAGACTCTTGGGATTTCTTCTGCTTTTTCTTCTTCTTGCTCTTCTTGGACTCAGCGCTCGGCTCCCCTTCGATTGCTGGCTCAACTGCGACTGCAGGCTCGATTTCAGTGGTGGTCGGAGGTGCCTCCTCAGATTGTGACATTTCAGGCTGTGAAGGAGAAGCTGGACTCTCAGTCTCGATAGGAATGTTGAGAGAACCTGGGGTAGACTGTTTCAATGAAGTTGGGTCGTGGAGTTCCTTGGGGCCCTCTTCTACCTCATGTTGTGCTTCTGGCGCATCGGGGGCTCCTGAATCCGAAGGTGTAAACGCCGCTACTCCTGCTGCTGTTGCTACTGCCAGCGCTGCGGCTTGAGCTTTCTTCCTATTCTTTTTTTCCTTCTTACTAAGAGGTTTGTCCAGATCCTCGAGAGCTCCTTCCTCAACTGCAACAGCCGCATCAATGGGTGACAAATCCCTCTCAGGAAGTTCCTCTACGATAAGCTGTGGGTTGGCTTCAGGGTCAGCATCAAGCTGGGGTTCCGGCTGTGTTATAGACACATCGTCCCCCGGTTCTTGATAGGCATGCAAGATCTTTTCTTGAGCTTGGGGGCCGGCAGCCCTCGCTCCAGCCTCTGAAGTTTCGAAATCCATAGGAGACTGGCTCTCATCGGTAGCATGAGCAGCCTCCTTAGGAGGCCCGTCGCTCAAGACATCTTGTTGAGAAGTACTGGGAAGTCCAGTGTCCTGCTCTCCAACGGGCATATCACCAAAAGTTGTAGGCTCAAGCTCTTCAACAGGCGAAGAATTATCGCCAAGGTCAAATGTGGCGGACTTTGATATTGTCTCGTCTCCTTTTGACGATTCATCATTCATAACCGTTTCATTTCTTTTCGCTTCAGATACAGAGGAAGGTTCGCCAACTTGGCTGTCTTCATTGGAATTTCCCTCGTCAAAAATGCCAGATGCCATTTCCTTGTCCTTCAACTGTTTCAATCTCTTCTTCTCTTTTTTAGACAACCCAGCAGCCCCGGTACTCTCTTCAACAGGATTTAGGTTGGAAACTTGGGAGGGGGCCGATACGGCGTCCGAGGGGATTGTTAAAGAAGGTTCTATTACCCGGTATGCGTCATCTTGCGGTCGAGATGTTTTCGCGTCCGGTTCCGATGGGGCGGTCGATTCGGGGTCCTGTGTTTCCTCAGACTCGATTTCTTTAGCTTTCTTATTCTGCTCATCCGTTTCGGAATTCTTGGAATTGAACCCACCCCTGTCGTCTTGTGCTTCAGACTCCAGGCCGGTCGAGACTTCCTCGGCGGGAATAACAAAGCTCGAGGGTTTCTCTGCGCCATGGTCGACGACGTTTTCGGTTCCGCTATCCTGGATTCGGCCAGTGTCCGGGGTCCTATCGGTTTCCTGAAGGGAAGAATCCGGCAAATCAGCATCTGTGTTGGGCAATTGAACCGGGGAATCCGCACCGCCCTTCTTCTTCTTCTTTTTCTTGCTCTTCTTCGATATCTCGGCTTCGGCCTCCTGCTCAGGAGCAGGTACTTCGGCATCCAACTTGGGATCTGTAGAAGGTTCGTTTGAAGCTTCCTCGGGCTGAGCCTCGCCAAATTCAGCCACTACCTCAGGTTCAATGGTAGAGATTTCAGTTGTTTCGGGGATGGTTTGTTCGTCTTTCACATTCTGCTCCACAGCTTCGGGTTGTTCCACCACCTTTACCGCTTCTTCTGCAGGATCCGGTGAAATATCTTGAGTTTTTTCTGGTGGCGTCTCTGGAGTGCTGCCTAAGCTTAGCCTGGCCTGCTGCTTTTTGGCCTTCTTCTTGGCCTTCTTGCTGGTTGGACTAAGGGGTTCATCTCCAGGCAGTTTGTCTTGTGCCTCTGCAATGGGAGTTTCCTCTTTAGACTCCTCTATGCCGGCAGTGACCTCTCCACTGATAGGAATCTCACTAGAGCCTGGCGCTTCAGCCTTGGATTCTTCTTTACCAGCGTCGGGAGTGTCGACTGAGCCAAAGTCGCCGGATTTAGATTTCTCTGTCTTCACATCGGTTTCTCTCGAGACTTCAGGAACATTACTCGCGCCTAGTCCGTCTGCCTTGCTGTCTTGAGTGTCGGTTTTGGTCTCTCTGGGCACATCTTGAGGTTCCTGATCTGAGGCTTTCCTTCCAAAGAAATTACTTAGAAAACCCCAGCCTGATCCTGCTGTATCGTCTTTGGGCTTTTGTTCCTTGGCGTTATCGTCAGCCTCAGCCTTGGGAGCCGGCTTTGGCGATGAGATGGCAGCGGCACTAGGGGTCTCTTTATCGCCGCTGGGCTGCTCTTGGTCTCCTGGAATCGAAGTAATATCCAGCGTAGGTGTCTCCGATACATCAAGTTCTGCGGCTGCCTGCTTGCTCTTCTTTTTCTTGTTCTTTTTCTTTTTAGAGCCTGTAGTTTCTTCCGGTTCTTCTAAAACGGGCGCAGTGGATTGGGTAGGTTCTGTTGAAGAAGGCTCTTCTGTGGCTTCTACCTGTCTTTCATTCTGGGAGAACAATGGCTCTGAAATCAGGTCCTGGCTTGGCGTCGAATCATCGGTAGGTTCAGATGCTTTCTTATCTGCCTCGGTAGCGACAGCAACTTGATTGGTATCGAGCGTGGAATTGCCATCACCGATGGGTTCCTCAGAAAGCTGCTGCGTCTCGGTAATTGTCTGAGGTTCCGCTGTAGTCAGGTCCTCGACCTTAGACTCTTCCTGCCTCTCTGGCTGGTCTTCAGTTTTTTCTATCTTGGACTCTAGATCACCCGCGGTCTCGCCAGAAACTTTAGGTGTGTCATCGAGTTGCACGGACTTGCGCTTCTTTTTCTTCTCACTCTTCGATGGAGAAGTTACGTCCTCGTCCGGCTGAGAGACAGGATCCTGGGAAACAGACGGCTCCTCTGGAACAGCTCCAGATTCAGCATCGCCGCGTACTTGCTCAATAATAGCAAGGTCATCCCCAGGGGCTTCTTGGGTGGTGTCGTGTTCGTGGACCTCTGTAGAGCTAGCGCGGTTCTCGTCGGCCAAAGCCCTTGGTTCCTCCAAGACTTCCTCCTTGAGTTCCTCCTTAGATTCCTCCTTAGATTCGGCCTTGGCTTCCTCCTTAGATTCTTCCTTGGATTCCTCCTTAGATTCTGCCTTGGCTTCCTCCTTGGTTTCCTCCTTGTTTCCCTCTTTGGATAGTTCCTTGAGTTCCTCCTTGGGCTCTTCTTTGAGTTCTTGTTCCGCTTTAGAGGATGCGTCCTCAGAAAGCTGGCCCTTCTTTTTCGCCGCCTTCTTAGCCTTCTTTCTCTCCTTCGCCGACATTTTACTCAAATCGTCAGCAGTTGGTTCTTCTTGGGTAGAAAGCGCAGTGTCGGGCGCGGCATCGTTCGAGGTGTCGGCTTCAATTGACTGTGCTATAGCTGCAACATCTCCACGGTCTTCAACGGTTGACTCAATGGCAGTATCCTTGGCAGGTGCCTCCGACGTGGTCTCAGCAACAGGCTCAGTGGCTCGCTCCAGCGTAGTTTCAACGGCTTGCTCTGATTTTGCCTCTGTAGATTCAGCAGCTGGCACAAATGCTGACTCAGTAGCTGGTTCAGAGAGATCGCTGGGTTTCTCTTCAGGTTTAGAAGTCTCTTCAGTCTGCGGAACCTCAGGTTGAGATTCCTCAACGCCCTGTGCTCCTCCTTTGCCCTTCTTCTTTTTCTTCTTTGACTTCTTCGGTGTGGTCTCTAGGTCAACGGGCTCGGGTTGAGATTCAGCTCTTGGTTCAGCCAGCTCATCTTCTGCTGCTTCAGGTTCTAGAGTAGTCTTGGTGGTGGCAGTCTCCTCCACTGGTGCAGTTTCCGATGGTGCATCATTCAAGGGATCAGGCTTGATGTCAGTCTCCACTTTGAGCTGCTCTGCATCGGCAACGGCCTCTGGCAGGGCGGTTGAGAGCTCATCAGCAGGTTTGTCTTTGGTTGACTTATCCTCGTCTGGCATATCCTCAGCGGGCTTGTCTTCAGCTGGCTTATCCTCAGAAGGCTTGTCTTGGGCTGGCTTATCCTCGGCTGGCATACCCTCAGCAGGCTTATCCTCAGCGGGCTTGTCTTCGGCGAGCTTATCCTCAGTAGGTTTTTCATCTCCGGCTACACCTTCCGCTGAAGCCTGAGGCTCAGGCTGCACTGGAACATCCCCACCCGACTCTGACTCTCGAACAAATGGCTTCTCGGCGTCCTCAGCGACTGTCGCAGTGATTGTTTCCTCTGCTGAGGCAGGTATTGGTGAGTCAGCCGCTGTCTCTGAAGCCAGCGCATCGGCTCTCTTCTTAGCCGCTCTCTTAGCCTTCTTCCTGTCCTTGGCTGACATTTTGCTTAATTCCTCAGCAGTCGGTTCTTCCTCAACAACAGGAACCTCCTTCGAGGTAGAAATGTCATCTGTTTTAGCAGCAGGCACCTCCTCTGTAGTCGGACCCTCATTGGTAATGGGCGGCGTTTGGAAAGTAGATTCTTCTGTAGTAGGGATACCTTTAGTGATCGGGGCCTCTTCGACAGGAGCTTCTTCGACAGGAGCCTCTTCGACAGGAGCCTCTTCGACAGCTGGAATGTCTTTTTCGATGGGAGCTTCACGGGCTGCTCGCTCTTCTGCTTCTCTAGCCTCTTTTTCTACAGCACGTTGCGCGGCGTTTGCTTGTAAGACCGCGTAGCGTTCCCTGTCCTTTTTCATAGTAAGTCTACCCCTCTTTAACTTTTTAAACTCCAGGGCAGCAAGCTCATGTTCCTCTGCTACAATTTCTGCTTCTCTTGCAGCACGAGCAGCCTCGATAGCAGGGTCCTCTTCTACAAGGGGAGCCTCTTTAGCAACAGGAGGCTCTTCCGGAGCAGAGATCTCCTCGGTGTGAGAGGCTTCTTTGGAAACGGGAATCGCTTCAATTGTCTCGTCTGTGGCAGGGGCCTCTGTGATGGCGGGGGGCTCTTCAGAAGGCTGTTCTATAGCAGTTGCCTCTTTGGGGGCCGGAGCCTCCGCAGCAGTCTCGTCCATGACTAGGATCTCTTCAACGACGGGGGTCTCTTCAGTAGTCTCTGCGGCAGGGACATCGTTAGCGATGAGTGTCTCCTCGGCCGTCTTCTCTGGGGTAGAGACATCTGCGGGGACGGAAGTCTCTTCAGTGGCTTGCTCTGCTGAAGAAGCCTCCTCGACGATAGGGGTCTCCTTGGGGACAAGGATTTCTTCTGCAATAGGGGTCTCTTCAACAGTTGCCTCTGTAGCAGTTTCCTCTTTGGAGGCTGCAGTCTCTTCAGTAGTCCCATCCGTGACAGAGACGTCTTTAACGACAGGGGCTTCCTCTGTAGTCTCTGTGGCAGGGATATCTTGAGCGACGGAGGTCTCTGTAGCAGTCTCCGTGACAGAGTGTTCTTGAGCGACGGGTGCTTCTTCAACAGTCTCCTCGGTGGCAGGGGCCTCGATGGGGTTTGGTGTCTCTTCTGCATTTTCTTCTGTAGGAGGGGTCACTTCGGCGGTGGAAGCCTCACGTGCTGCTTGCTCTGCGGCGCGCTGTTCTACGTTTGCGATTAAGACTGCATAGCGCTCCCTATCCTTCTTCACGATATGTCTGCCCGTCTTCTTTGACTTCTTGCGCTCTAGAGCAGCAAGTTCTGCTTCCTCTGCTGCAATTTCTGCTTCTCTTGCAGCACGGGCAGCCTGCACAGCAGGATCCTCCGCTTCAACAGGAGTCTCTTCCAAGGCAGAGATCTCTTTGGAAGTAGCTGCGTCGTCTAAAACAAGGCCTTCCTTAGCGACAGAAGCATCCGGGGTGATAGAAATGTCCTGAGGAATTGTGGCCCCTTCTGAAGCCGGAGCATCTTCTACAGGAAGAACTTCCTTAGCCGTAGAAACCTCATCTGGAACCGGGGCCTCCGCAGTACCAGTAATCTCCTTAGATATAACAGTCTCTTCTGGAAGTGGAACCTCCGTAGCAGTAGAAACCTCTTTAGAAATGGCAACCTCTTCGGGAACTGAATCCTCTGTAGTAGTAGGAATCTCCTTAGAAGTAATGACTCCCTCTGTAGTAGGGGGCTCCTCGGTGGTAGGAGCCTCTTTGGGAATAGCAGGCTCCTCCGAGGCAGGGGCCTCGGCGGTCGCAGAGACGCCCGTAGCAAGAGCACCCTCCTCTGAGGTTGGAGCGTCCTTAGTGGTGGAGACTTCCTCTGTAAGAACAGGCGTTTGAGCCTCAGGGGCTTCGGTGGTTGTACCGGCTGCCTCTTGGGCTAAGGCCTCGGCTGCCCTCTTCTTGGCTGCCGCCTTCTTCCTCGCCGCCTTCCGTTCTTTGTTTGACATTTTGCTCAGTTGCTCAGCAGTGGGCTCTTCCTCGGCAACTTGGGCCTCTTTAGAGACGGGAATTTCCGCTGTAGTAGGGGCTTCCTCCTTACTAGGGGCTTTCTCAGTAGCAAGAGCCTCCTCTATCGTAGGGGCTTCCTCGGTAGCAGGAAGCTCCTTGACGATTGAAGTATCCTCTGTGATAGGTACTTCAATGGGAGGAGCACCCTCTGGAGCCAAGGTCTCTTCTGCGACCGGGGTCTCGTCTATAAGAGGGGCATGTTCTGTGCTAGGAGCCTCCTCTACGGCAAGAACCTGTTCTGCAGTAGGGGCCTCTTCTGTGAGAACAACTTCATCGGCAGGAGGAAAGTTCTCTATCGTAGGAACCTCCCCTGTGATAAGATTTTCCGGCGTAAGAGCATCTTCAGCGACAAGGGCCTTTTCTGTGATCGGAGCGTCATCTGCAGTAGGAACCTCTTCTACCAAAGGCTTCTCCTCCGTGGTGAGGACATTTTCTGCTGTTGGGGTCTCGTCCGCAAGCACGGCCTTTCCTGTAGTCAGGGCCTCATCCTCAATAGGTGCATTTTCTACCAGAGGGATCTCCTCAGTGGTGGGGAGATTCTCTGCTGTTGGGGCCTCATCCGCAATAAGGGCCTTTTCTGTGGTCGAAGCTTCATCTGCAGTAGGGGCATTTTCTACAGGAGAAATCTCTTCTGTGCTGGGGGGATTTTCTGCTGTTGGGGTCTGATCCGCAACAAGGGCCTTCTCTGTTGTAGAAACTTCATCTGCAGTAGGGACATTTTCTACTGGAGGAATCTCTTCTGTGGTAATGGCCTTGTCATTGGCAGGTGCCTGTTCAAGGGCAGAAGTCTCCTCCTCTGTAGGCGCAGGCGTTTCGGACTCAGTCGATTTCGAAGTATTGGCAGCAACACCGACGGCTACACCAGCAGCAAGGCCAAGAGCCAGCGCCTCGGCTCTCTTCTTGGCCGCTCTCTTAGCCTTCTTCCTATCCTTTGCTGACATATTGCTCAATTCCTCAGCAGTAGGCTCTCCCTCCCCGGTGCCAGGAACCTCTTCAACAATAGGTGTCTCCTCAGTGAGAGGTGCCTTTTCGAGAGAAGAAATCTCTTCGGCACCAGGGGCCTTTTCGGAAGAAGAGATTTCTTTAGTGACAGGTGCCTTTTCAGCGGCAGAAACATCTTCGGTGGCAGGTGCCTTTTCGACGGCAGGGACCTCTTCAATTGCTGGAGTGCTTTCAACAACAGAGACAACTTCGGCGGTAGGGGCCTTTTCAGCGGCAGAAACGTCTTCGGTAGCGCCAAGAGCCAGCGCCTCAGCTCTCTTCTTGGCTGCTCTCTTGGCCTTCTTCCTATCCTTTGCTGACATTTTGCTTAATTCCTCAGCAGTAGGCTCTTCCTCCCCAGTACCAGGGACCTCTTTAGTAATAGGTGTCTCCCCAGTGAGTGCAGCCTTTTCGACAGAAGTCTCTTCGGTGGCAGGGTTCTTTTCGATAGAAGAGATTTCCTTAATGACAGGATTATCGACGGCAGGGGTCTCTTCAAGAGTCGGGGTGCTTTCGATAACAGAAACAACCTCAGTAGCAGGTACCGTTTCGACAACAGGAGTCTTCTCAGTAGAAGAGATTTCCTCAGTGGCAGGAGTCTTTTCGGCAGACGCGACCTCTTCAACAATAGGAGTCGTTTCAATGACAGAGACATCTTCAGTAGCAGGAGCCTTTTGAGCAGACGAAACCTCTTCGACGACAGGAGTCATTTCAAGAACAGAGACATCTTCAGCCGCAGGAGTCTTTTCGGCAGGTAAGACCTCTTCAACAATCGGGGTCGCTTCAACGACAGGGACATCTCCAGTGGCAGGGGCCTTTTCAAGAGAAGAGATTTCCTCAGTGGCAGGAGTCTTTTCGGAAGACGAGACCTCTTCGACAATAGGAGTCGTTCCAATCACAGAGACATCTTCAGTAGCAGGCGCCTTTCCAACAGAAGAGATCTCCTCAGGGAAAACAGTCCTTTCAATGACGGAAGCATCTTCAGTGGCAGGAGCCTGTTCAATGGCAGGCACATCTCTAGAGGTAGGGACATCTTCAGCAACCCGAGGTTCGAAAAACTCTACACTCTTACCCTTGCCCTTAACAGCATCAGAAATTAGCTCAACGGATCTGACACTGCTAATCTCATGAGCATCAGAGAAATGGTCGCCAACAGAGGCCAGTTCATCCTTGTAGTCTACCACGGTCGGTTCCTCTGCACCGTACGCCCTGGTGGGAGAGGTGGAAACCTCAGGCAACCTGTAGTCGTCGAAATCTCCGCGAATAGACCGAACTGACTTCACAGACGAGGGGGCAGACTGCAGCAGGTATGAACTTCTATCTCTTGACGTGGATTCAACTGGCTCAGGCTCCGGTTGATGCTCCTCAGTTGAGCCAGCCAGGGTACTCGGCTCGCCATAGTCAAGAGCTCGTGGAAGCGATGACATATCTGGAAACTCTGGCCTCGTTTCAGCCTTGGGTGTACTTTCTTGAGAGCCAGTCTCGTCGTGGCTAGGCTGCAGCAGAGGCAAAGATGTATCAAGTCGCAATCCAGAGTTATCGCCATAGTGGCCGTAGTCGAATCCTCGGTCATTCATAGCCTGTGCATATTCGTGGGCAGACTCCCAGCCTTCAGATTCGGGAGGAGATCCACGAGAGGATGATTCGCTTGGAGGCAAAGCAGGGAGATCAGCTTCCAAAATGGGCGCGTCGATGGAAATTTGGCGAGAGTGCTCGACCAAGTACAGTGGCTTGAACTCGCGGCTGCTATCCCATGAGGTAGGTCGTCGCACCACCGTTGGGCTGGATCTGGTTGGGCTTTCAGCCATGCCAACAACGGGGGAGCTCATGGGTGAAGCTTTGAAGAGGGCAGGGGAAGAGGGCCCAGATCGGCCTCCCATTCGTAGTTGGATGGGGATGGCGGTATTGCTGGGAATTTTGGACGGCGTCTCCTGGGCACTTCGTCGTCGGTTGTGAAATGGACGCTCACGCTTGAATCCTCGCTCCTCTGGAGGGGTATCTGGCCGGCTGTCCGGTAAGGTAGGAAGTTCCTCTGGCGTGCCCACAGGCGTACCAGGCTCACTTGGGGGGAGTGGAAGAAAGTCCCCATACTGGGGATCAATGGCCGGCTTTATTGCACGAGCCACGATGTCGGGGTCATAATTCTCGACATTACGCGACCATTCAGAGATATCATCATGGTCAGTCTTCTTTTCCGAGAAAGCATTGTTGGCGTTGAAAGGAGTGAGAGCTGCTGCCCCAATTCCCAGGATGCCGACACCCGCGCCAAAAGTGCCGGCATTACCTAAAAAAGAATCCTTCTTCTGCTTTTCACCATCTTTGCTGGACTTGAATATGTTCGAAAATAATCCACTTGATCTCCTGTCGGGTTCCTTGGTCTTCTCAGACTCCCTGCTCTTCCGCGATGAACCAGGAGCGGAAGCAACAGACTTAGTGTCGTCGTCGTCATAACGATAATCGGGTTTGCTGCTACGACTCTTCCTCTGTCTGTCCTCAGTGCGAGGCTCAGAAACTATCGAATTCACTTCGCGGTCCTCGAAGAGATCACGGGTTCGACTCGGTCGCTCGTCATCATATCGATAAAAGTCGTCGTCCGTGCCGCTTCTTCGCTTCGACTTCCTGCTCTTCTTCCCTGAATCCTCGACACCGACCTCCGATGTCGTAGCCGATCGTACGGGTATGTCTCGTGAAGGGGAGTCATAGCCTGAGCTACGTTTCGATTTCTTCTTTGACTTCTTGGTGGACTCCCATTCGTCATCTGAGTGGATCGCCCTGGATGGCTTCACCTCTGATGATGAACCGATCGGTGCCGAAACGAGCGAATGCTCGGAACTATCGATGCCTCGAGCTCTCGAAACTCGTGATTTCAGATCCGATGTGTCTTCCCAGTTTTCCCAGGATGCTTCAGAGCGAACGAGGGGTTCTGGCTCAGCATAAATCTGCCCATCACTATCTTGCCCATCCAGAATGGCCTCTCTGGCAGCCTTCTCTCGCCTGCGCTTTTCCTTCTTGCTAAGCTTCGGCTCCGGCTCAGCTTGTTCAGGGGTCTCGTATATGGCTCTTGACTGGGACTCCGGCTCGTATGAGACATGTGGTGCGTCGACAACATCAGAGGACTCCTTTGCGAGCTTTGCAAGTCTCTTCCTCTCCTTCTTGCTCAGCTTTCTCCCCTCAGACTCTTCGGCATCCTGGAATGGCAGGGATTCGTCCTTGGGCGTTTCAACCTCACCCAGAACAAAGCCCGGCTCAGGGCCACGATGCTTCTCTCCGAGACTCAAATCTGATACAGAGTCCACTGTAGGGGGATAGTAGTGCTTGCCGTTCAGTTCATTCGAACCAGGGGGTGAGTCTCTTCGATGATACGTGGGGTCATCAATCACAATGTTGGCATCAAAGCCAGTGTGCTTCAGACCCGCTGCCAGGGTTGCAGCGAATTCGATATCGTCCGCATAACCACCAGGCATATGCTCGGGCTTAGGGCTTGCAGGCTTGGGTCCCGGGATGGGAGGGGCAGCCATCAGATCATCCAACTTGTCAAAGCTAGAGTCCGTTGACTGCTTTTCAAGGGATCGCGATGGGCCTGCATCGTCATCCTCTCGAGATTTTGATCCAATGATTGAACCGGCAAAGGTTCCAGCGGCACCGGCGGCACCGGCGGCCAATGCAGCAGCCATCATACCCCACTGACTGCCCTTCTCTAGGCGAGGGCGTGGCTTGTCGTCAGATTGAGAGCGACTGAAGTCATGTTCGACATCATCTCTTGCCTCGGGAGTGATGACTTCGTAGCTCTTGGTCTCATTTTCTCCCCATTTCACTGACTTGGGGGGCGCTACTGACACCTGGTCATAGGAGCCCGCTCCGACTACATGTCTCGAGGTGGTGTCGTCTCTCTCATCATTACTACGCCGAGTACCAACGTCAGATCTAGACGAGTCATCATGGACATCTCGGCGCTTATCAGCCTCGGGCTCAATATCTCGGACATTGTCCCACTCTGGTTCCTTCTCCGGTGCAGACACAGGCTCACGGGAACTCGAGGGGGCGCGGCTTGACTCGGGGGTAGGGTATGTGAGGTTCAGAACAGGTCGCTCTCCTTCAGCAGAGGGGTCTCTCGCTGAAGCAAAGCTGCCATCCAATCTGCGCTCTGTGCGGAACCGTTCTGATTCTTGTGGAAAGAACATGTGGTCAATCAACACATCAGCATTTGGTCCGTCAAAAAGCCCTTTCGTACGTTCCCGGTACCCGGGCGGTGTGACAACGCGGACGTGCTCACGCTCGTTTCCTTTAGCCTCGGGGGACGGGCTACGAGACCGGATCTCATCAGATGCCTTCTTCCTAGCTAGCTCTGCTTCTCGATAGTATCGGTCTGCCTGTTCCTGGATTTCGTCCTTGGGCTCTGTAGCTTTCCGCTCACTTCTACTTCGACTTCTGCTCTCTTTTTTACGCTCGCGTGAAGCCTCAGTAGATTGGGAAACATCGTCAGACTTCGAGGCCGCGACAATCGCACCAGCGGCTACTGCTGCTGCTGCGGCAGGCACTACAGCAGGAGCGACACGGCTGACAAAACTCGGGAATTCGTCAGCTGCCCTTGTCTGATACTGCTGCTCAAGCTCGAATGAGTCTTTCCGGCTCATCCTCCTATCGCCCGGTGGCGTGTACGGCGGTGAATCGTCATCAAACACTGGTTCCCGATCGACCGTCACCACCATGGGAGTCAAAGGGCGTGCGGGGTCTGACACTGCAGGCGTCATGAAGCTGTCAACCTGGAATTGAAAGGGATCAACTGGCGCCTTTGAGGAAGAGTCGGCAGTGGGAGTGGATTCGTAGGGAAGCTTCTGCAGGGCGGGAAGATCTCGAGTATTGGAAGGCTCCTCGTAGTCATTTGATTTCGAAGACTCTCCATACTTGGAGTATCTGTCATCTCCGTACTTGGAGTACTTGTCATCTCTATATTTAGAGTACTTGTCGTCCTCGTATTTGGAGTACTTGTCATCTCCGTACTTGGAGTGCTTGTCGTCTCTAGATCTAGAGTATTTGTCGTCTTCATATTTAGAAACCTTATCATCGCGTTTCGAGGACTTGCTGTCACTATATTTCGAGTACTTGTCATCATCGTACTTGGACACCTTGTCGTCGGCATACCCAGAGTACTTGCTGTCTCTTGATTTGGAGGACTTGTCATCATCGTACTTATAGCCTCTGTCATCGTCGTACTTGGAGGCCCTTTCATCGGAATACTGAGAGTACTTGTCGTCTCTAGATTTGGAGGACTTGTCGCCATTGGACTTGGAGGCCCTTTCATTGGCATACCTGGCGTACTTGTCGACCTCGTCTCGGAACTGGGAAGAAGGCCGCGACTTCCGCGACTCCGTATCCTTCTCGTCTTCCCGATCGGCTCGGCGGGATCGTTTCTCCCGATCCTTGTCATCGCCATTACGGTGGTCTCGAGACTCGTGGTCGTCCTTGCTCTTGTCCTTAGCCAACACTCCGCCAATCACCGCGGCGGCAACGCCAGCAGCCGCAGCACCGGCAGCCATCTTTCCGAAACCCGGGGAAGAGTCGGAACGATCGCGTGCAGACTCCTTGCGACTGACGTCCTCGATCTTATCTGCCCTAAAGACCTTGTCAGGCACAGGGGTCCTCGGGGCGGGGTGCTGCAGCGGAACAGGTGCAGGGCGCGTATTCTCATAGCGAGTATCCCGACCAGCGTTAAACCTAGTTGGATCAGAGGTTGGGATCGGGTAAACATTATGCATAGGCCCCAATGGTTCTGTCGAGGAGCGCTTCAGAGGATTAGGTCCCTTATGCTGGGCTGCTCCGTTCCGCTCATCTCCAAAACCGCAGGGTGTGTTAATCATCCCACGAAGCGAGTTGTAGGGTCCAAATAACGATGGGTCGACAACATTCCGGTTATCGTGTCCGGGACGGCTGTTGTTGTTGTTCGAGTGTCTTCCAAACGCTGCCGCAGCGCCCGCGGCACCGATAGCAGCCGCTCCAGCCATGGCAGCAGTTGAGGGGCGGATGGCCTGCGACACAACCGTTCCATACGCCATCTCGGAATCAGCGCTGTCCTCAGACGAATCGTCATCGGAAGCCGATTCCCAGTCCGAGTCATCATCAGAGGAGTCGCGGTGAGGCTTGGAGTACACCAGCCCGCGGTTCATGTTATTTTTTCTAGACTTCCTCAACTTGCGATACTCTTCAATCTTGGCAGCGGCGGATACTAACCGTGATGGTCGAGTTACGCCTCGCGCCCTCAGGTCCTCCTCGTTCTGGCGCTTGGCAAGATCGGAAAGCTGGCGGCCGATTGCCATGATCTCATCGTCCGTCTTCCGTCGCTGGGGCGTGGCCGGCTTAGATGGGATCTGGACATCGGGATGGTAGTAGTCGGCAGCCAAGCCCAGCGCCGCGCTCGTGGCCACGCCGGCCGCTGCCCCTGCGGCGGCGACACCTACCAGATTGATGGACTGTGGCTCGGCATGGAGTGGGCGGTGAGGCTCGTTGAAGAAAGGCTGTGGTTGCGGCTGCGACTGCTGCTGCTGCTGCTGGTAGTAGGGGGGGTTCTGTCCATGGGGCGAGGAGTGATGCGCCGCCGCGTAGGTCGCAGGCTGGACTGGCGCGTGGGTTGGAGTGTGCTGTTGGCTGAAGTCGCGGCTCCTCCTACGTCGAATATACCCGGTACCGTAAGCCAGATCCGAATTGACCGACGAGGACGACGAGTTTCCAAAGTAGAGGACGCGAGACTTCTTCTTGCCGCTCCTCCTCCGCCTCACCCTCCGTCGCTCCGATGGTGCTCGGAAAAATGTGCTGAAGACGCCACCAAACCTGTTCGTGTCCTGGAATCGAGATATGTCCATTAATGATGATGAGTTAGTGCTGCCCGACGACGAGCTGCTGGAGGTTGCTCGTGAACGGCGCGCCGACTGCGGCTGCCGCTGCTGGTATTGTTGCTGATATTCATAGTGGTGTTGGGATTGGGGCGTCGAATTCTGCTGCGTCACGTACGGCCTGGGCGTTTGCTGTTGTTGTTGTGGCTGTTGGTCGGTGTAATAGGACGGCATGTTCGACCGATTGGCAGTGTATTCGCGAGAGTCTCTTCTTCCCTCGCTCCTACGCCTTCTGGAGCTGTCGGGGCTCCGGCGACGGGAATCTGCCATGATGGCGGCATGTGCGTGCGCGTGTGTGGTGGTTGACGGGGGTGGGAAGGAGGAAAATGGAGAGTTGACCTCTGTATTGTTTTGATTGGGGATCGAGCTTGGCTTCAGCTGCGATGACCCCCGTAACTGCCTCGTTGGACGGGGGGTGGAGCCGACTAACTGGCGGTGGCTGGGAAGCCATTGTTTCGCCACCCAATCAGCACCCGCCCGCTCCCCGGCCCGACCCCATCAAGAGTGGGCCGTTCAGCTGGGACCGAATCACCTAACGTCAACGGGTGTGTGGCTGACGGAATGAAACGGGGACTTCAACAGTAATATTTACGGTTTGTGTGGCTGAAAGCTGCCTACCCTAAAGAGTAGCTGCTAGCATCTAGAGTTCAGTCTACGCCGACGGTATCGTTCCTATTCCCAACCTAATCTATTTGCAATTCATCTCATGCTTAAAGCCGACCGTCTACTACCGGCTGAATTCTATCTGATCGAGGCTGCGTACAGAGCATCCCCCATCTGGCTTTGAGCGAAATTAATCTTCGGCTCAGGCGCTTACGCACAGCGAAGCATGCGCGCCCTCGGGCCACTTCTGTCAGTCAGTCAGTCATGCAGGTAAGTCTGCATACCCAAGTCCTACCTGTGCCATGGTTGGGCATATCCCAGACCCGACGGCCCATTTTTGTCCACGGCAGCACGCTCTTGACAGCCCCCCCTTTGGTTGGTCTTGACATGTAGTACTACCGCAGGATGATGTATGTGTGAGTTGGCAGTCGATGGCCCCACATCAGGCAATCTGGAAATACCCTGGGCTTGTTTGCCTTACGATCGTCGCCTAAAGTGGACTAACTCGGAATCCATGGCATCTTAGTTTCCTCCTCATCCAGTCGTTCCCCCATGTATGAATGTGTTATCGATTAATTTGATTCGTTTCGTTTGCCGATTTCCTGTTGCAGTTTGCATGCCGATTCGTTCGCTAGGTAGGTGTGGAGGGAATGCCGGGATGAGGGGATAACCCAAACTCTATTGATGCTCCCTGTGTATGTACCCTACCGGAATCGTCACCACACTAATTATCCATGCCCAGCTGAGGTAAACCCGTGAGCCCAAGTAGCTCTCTCTATGCAGTCTTGATTATATGGACGAAGTTACACAGTTTCGTATAGATGCCCATGCACATTTCTGATACAACTTTTATCAAGCGCGCCATTAGGTGTTTCTCTATTTACTGGCTCAACACAGTCTAATATTTCTCGACTAGCAGTAGGCCTTTGTTGAAACGTAGTTCCCTAAGCGGGAAAAGATTAAAGAAAGCATCAGCCACCGGCCAATCTATGTCAAATTGCGTATGGGCCCCTCGTGGACCTTTGCCATCTCCTATAAGGGGGAAAAAGAAACACACTCCTTGACTCCGCCTAATGGATATCCGTGTCATAGCTGTCTGAGAAAAAAGAGTTCAAATGAAGGAAGAAAAGGAAAAAAAAAAGATCTGCTCTCTGCGGGTTCGATAATAAAATCATCTCATATCAGTCCATCTGAAACTAACACCGCCGGCCTCTGCCAGACCGGCCATGAGAAGCTCCAGAACCAAGAGAAGGTAGGAAGAGTGGACCGCCTGCCGGACCTAGATCGGGATACGAGTCGAAGGTGAAATCCGCCAGGACAGAAATGTTCTGCACCGGATTCGCGTGTGGGGATCCGGGGTTTGATGATACTGTTTGCGTAGAGGAGTTTGTTCCCGAGCTCCCAGAACCATTTCCACCCACGGGTCCTGGGCGTGGAATGTTTGGATTCTGCTCAGGCATAGTAGGAGCGCTGGGCCCTTGCTGTGCTGCAAGACGAGGTGCTGTGGAGGGGGGCGTTGCCATCATATCCTCTCTGTGGAAGCGGCTATGTGTTGGTGTCTGGACCGTAGGGTCCATATCGGATGATGCCCGAGGGGGAGGTGTGTCCAAGATATCTTCCCTTTCAACGGGGGAACGGGAGGGAGACTCTCCGGCTTCTCTCATTTGGGCTTCTCTCATCTGGGCTTCTCGGGTTCGTAAAAGGAAGATGCGATGGCGCTCTCGCTCCTCCATGGTACGAGGCATGCCTAGGCTGGTGTAAACAGGCATGTGTTGTAACTGGGGCCCGCCAATGTGGAAAAAGGTTCCGACAAGCTCGTCCGGTTCATCGCTTGTAATCAAATCAGCTACGAATTCTTTGACTAGAATAGAGCACTGCATCCAGGTGGGGGGGAAGGTAAGGAAATGAAAGGAAAGTCGCGGACGTACTCTGATGACTCTCGGGGCACTTCTGCGAAATGAGCAATGTTCAGATCAGATGCTCTCACATACCCAACCGTAGCACGGCAATATGGGCAGTTCTCCGACTGATGCAACCACTTTTTGATACATCGATCACCGAAAACATGCTTGCACTCGGGGAGACGGCGTGGTGTCTCAGCATGGCCCTCTGGGGACTCATCGCCAAAGTCGTTGTAGCATATGATGCAAGCTAAGGTCAACCCCTCATTAGCAAAGCAAGCCCTTTTGCAAGTACCTGCACCTCGGAAAACATACTCCTTTCATCTTCAGGAAGTTCTGAGATCTCCACTTCCTCGAGTGATAACAGAACACGCTTGTTCGGTGGCGGCTTGGCCGATACATAGGCGGTTTCCACGTATGTCTCCGTTCCACCAGTCGCGCGATGGAAATTCTGCCTTGTATGAGATGACCAAGCGGCGTTTCGTCGCGAGTGGCCATCAACTCTGGTTCTGTTGGTTGATACATTGCCACTCAGGCTTCTGTTACTGTGCTGGCGCTCAACCCTACTAGCCTGAGCACTGGTTTGAGAGGACATGTTTCTCCGCGATCTCTGGGACATGAACTGACGCCGACGGTCGAGATTCGGGGGCGAGATGAGGTGTATATTGGATTGTTGTGTGGATTCTGTATAGGGTTAGCAGGAGTAGGTTTTTACGAATAATAATGCGTGTGGTGGGATGGCGGTAGTTTTGTGAGTGACGTGCACCAAACTGTTCTCTTGGGAGTACATTGTCATTGTGTTACGAGAAGAAGCGGGGAAACCATGCAGAACGAGAAAAGAAGGTTCAAACGGAGGGGGCGTTAGAAAATTCGATGCTCACCTTGCATATTTGTTGGAGGCTGCTGAGGGTTATTATTGTACTGCCTCTCGCCTGGCCCTTGGACTTGGAGCGGAGTAGAAGGCGCAAGATAGTTGCGAGCCCAACTCGGAGGATAGGAGCGGTCCGCCTGCAGGGAGTCCCGGTCTCGCTCTCGTTCCATGTTCCCATACTCAGGCTCGGTTGGCGAAAATGGCATCGGGTTCATCCCTCTTGTGCTACCAGCCCCAACACTGGTGGCTGGGTTCGAGATGAAACTCAAATGGTCCCTCCCATGCCCAGAATCACTAAGTGGTGGCGGCGCATGGCCTGGCCGATGGTTCGAGGGCGGAAAGGACACCGGGAGCAGAGGATGACTCGCCATCCCAGGCAGAAGCCAGGAATCAGTAGGCGGATGCAGTGGCACAAATGGCTGGGTTGCGACGGGAAGGGGCCCAAAATTGGTGATTGAGGACGGACCCGGGAGCCTGGACTGGAAACCGGGATACATCTCGGCCACATGCGTGATGGCCTCTACGACAGAGACGGTGCTGTCCATGTTTCCTTGGTGCCGGTGCAGGAAATGTCTCTGGGAAATGAGGGACGGGACGGGTCCATTTGAAGCGTGCACCGGATCATATGGCGATAGTACAGGTCGTGAGCGACTCTCCGCCTGAGTGCCCGGACGTCGACTCGCATCCATGGTCAGGGAAATCTCCGTCAAGACGACAACCTGCGCACGTGAGAGCGGCCTTGGACCAGAGGGAGGCGGTGAAGTTTTGTGTTAGAGCAAGTGCTTCTGCGGGCTGACAGGAATAGGATAGCTGGCGGCTACTCGTATTCAATCACCAGAGAGGACAGAGCTAAGTCCGTGTTGCCTGCGTGGCTGGTGCCAATCTAAACCCGGCCTTGTCTGCCTCTCGGAGCACCAGGTGGGAGCCGTGGATGGGAAGAAGGCCTCTCGCTACCTGGAGATCCTGGAGGTTCCGGCTGCTCCAAAGACTATCGAATGCTGAACCGCGGGAGCTGTGTCATTCTACAGGAGAACCAAGTTCACGGTGCGAGGCGTCAACAGGAACCAGACTGAAATCAGCGGTGCAAACGGACGAAGCAGACCAGCGGTGGGCCAGATGGAGGTGCCTTGATGGAGGGGAATGAGGATGACTTGATGATGTCGTTATCGGAGAGACGGTGACGGTGGGTTAGCGCAGCCAGAAGTGGATTGGCTCTTGGCTGATGGGGAGGAGAGGGAAGAGATAAAGAGGAGGAGAGGTCAGCTGGTTTAAGTAGGTCGGTAGGGTGTATTGCCGAGAAAAGCGACGGCGGATCAATGGGAGAGGCGAGCTCTATTCAACAAGGCGCGGAGCGGGCGAACAATGCGAAGAATGGGCAGGCGGTGGTGAGGAAGGGTTGAAGGGAAGATGAGAGAGAGGAGAGAGGAGAGGAGGGGAGAAAAGCGAGAGTGAGAAGAAGGTGAGACGAGGCTGGGATTCAGTTCAAATAGGAAAAGTATTGATTGATTGATTGACTGAGTGAATGAATAATGAGCAAATGGACAAGAGCCCATGTGGGAAGAATAGTCCAGATCAGGTTGGTGGTTTTAGTGCTGGCCGCCGCTGCTGCACTGCTGCTGATTTGCGTGCCGTACTCGAAGCATCCAGGCAAGGGTAATGGGCTCTGGGCCTCTGCACTAGCTGGGCTAATAATGAGGGACGCAGGACATGGGCGGACTCGTGGATGTTCCCCTCATGTCGAGGCGTCAAAGATACCCTACCGTCTGTCTGCCTTCAACCGCTAAGGCAGGGAATGGAGGGGTGAGGAGGGGGCCTGGGACCTGACCTAGGCAGGACCAAGGAATGCCCGCTGGCTGGGAGGAGAGTCTAAATCACTGCAAGCACGCACGGAATTGCCGACTAGGTGGGCGAGGGGAGAGGGCCGCGGGGAACAGGGCCAGGGACGACGCCGGCGGATATGTGACAGACGGATGGCAATTGTCGTGCTGGATGACGGTACGGTTACAGGATGAGGGCTTAGCGGGTGGGAGAAGGCCACAAGGACGCGGTGAGGCAATGGCAGTGACTTAATTGTTGCGGAGGCAGCTTATTAGGCATCTGAGAGAGCAAATGACCAGATCACGGCGGCAGGCGGGCGAGCGGCGGGGAGGGGGGAGGGGTGGACAAAAGCCAGGTGAAACACCAGAGTGAATGGATGGATAGGCAAAAGCAGGAAACGAGGGAGAGGCGGCCCAGTCGCTCCGTGTGGGAACGAGAGCATTGCACCGGCCAACAAGCTGGGGGGCCAAGAGCAATAAGACATCAATCAGAGACACACAATACGATCCGGGAACCTCGAACGGACTGAGCCGCATGCGCTCGCTGCATGGATGCTGGCGACTGCAGGCGACGGCGTAGGTCACAGCTGCGGTGGGCGTATTATAGATACGTGCGCGCGTACATATGTGAGCCAGAGGGTAGAGCGAGCAACGGGCCGGGATGAGAGCGAGAGCATTGGGACCAACCCCGTCATCACTGCCCACTCTTACCACGGGGCCAGACAATGGGCCCGGGAAGCAAGACGAGGCAAGGCGGGCAAGGGAAGGGTAGGAAGGCCAGGGAAAGATGGGCTCACCGAGACGGAAATGAGATTAGATGGCAATAGAGCAGCCATGGCGAGAGAAGAGGCGCCTGGCGATACGGCGGCCGGTGGGAGACAGCTCAAGCCCCATTCTGGGCCGACCAAGACCTGGCAGCGACGGCGAGTCAATCTCGTGTGCACCTGGACAGCCGATCAGCGATTGGGGACGACTTGGCGCATACAGGGCCAGACTGGCTGAGACTTGACTGGACAGCTGAACTAGGCGCCTCCGTGGACCCAGAAGCACCGGTAACCAGACCAGGAGGGGACAAAGTGCGGAAACCGTGGAATCAATACTCCATACACGGTGGTCAATGTGTGGGTGACGGGAGCAGCCATGTGAGCAGCCTCTTTTCGTGCTCGCTCGTCACCCGGCGCCATATCCGATGGACACATGGAGTTAGCGGGACGCGGAGGGTGCGTGTGTGAGCTCAGCGCTGGGGCAACGGGCGGTAATTCGAGGTGTGATGAAGGGCAGGTAGTATGTATGATGTATGTAGCTTGTATGAATAGGGTGTGACGGCGTTGGGTGGTCCAGTCCAGCTGAAAAGCGGCAGAGGTCTGTCTATAAAATGACGGATGTGTTATGTAGGCGGTGGATTCATGTGGCGGGGGACTTTGCTGCGACTAGAAGCTGGTAGCGCAGGGCACGAAAGTGACTGGTGACTTGTCATGAGCTGATATGACACAGCATCGCTCTTGCTAACCGACTAGCTCCTTAATAACCATCAATCCCTGCTGTGGTCTTTTCCATGTCCTCATTTTCAGAAGTCTTTTCGGCTTGCCTGGACATGGCAGGGAGGTTGATGTGATGGTGGCCGGCGCGGCGGTAATCGGCCAGCTGTTGTGGTTGTCGGTATCAGCATGCACGGGGATAGTGATAGTCTCGCAGCGACATGATTAATACTACCCCAGGCTCGTAACTGTCCTGCACACCGTCAATGGTCAATGGTCAGTGGTTGGGAGAGGCAGGGAGGCAATCCGGATTGAGCAACATGCATCTGGCTGCATGCTGTATCAATGTGCGAGAAGGGCTGGTGCAGGCTCGACATGATACATGGTGCTGTGCACATCTGTGCCACTTCATAATTGTTTGTCTCTTTCCTCCTGTTTCCTCATGCTGTGGGAGGCTGGTCCATACATAATCCGTGGATACTGACCAGTTGCTGTGATTGGAGGATAATGGGGCTGCAATAGTTGTCCCGACCAACTGAACTGCACTGTCCTTCAGGTGCTTCAGCTACTGTGCCTCAGCTGCTGTCCAGGCCCACCCGGTCCCTATTGTTGCCCCGTGGCTTGTATTGATCAATTCCCCCATTGGCGCCTCGAGCATTACTTCAGCCAAGATCAGTCTTACATGCTTTTTTCGCAGTAAGACCCTTCTTTATTGTCTCCTCCCGGGGAGTACGACTAGGAATGAGCTAGAGCAGAGGCGGAAAGGCACCCGAAAAAGAAATCAGAACAAGAATCTCGTATTGATTTCTTCTTTGAGAGAGCGAGATAGGGTGGGATGGTTGAATGGGTGTTCGTCTGTTTGGTTGTATGAGAACTCTTATCACTCGGTACCTACCTACCTTACTCAAGGATCTTCATACTCTCCTTCCCTCACGCCCATCTCGGTCCAGGGTGAAGCACCAGCTCAAGTTATCCCTTGACTTGCGTCGGAACCTACCGTGCTGTTAAACATGGATACACCCCGTGACGGACGAGTATTATCTGCATACACCCCCGACTTTTCTTTTTCAAGGCCCAAGGTAAGCCCATTGACACCATTAGCTTATTCTTTTTTCCCAGCTTTTCCTGCACAACTCAAAACCGATGCTTGCCTCCGAACTGCTTATTCGCCACCGGCGAGATTGGGCTCGATGTGATCGATCGCTTAGGGCCGCCATTAACCCCTCTTTACCGCAACCTACGCTGCTGGCACACAGGATACTCTGTCGTAATCTTTCAGCCAGAAGATTACGGGAGGATGAATGTACCTGGAAGAATTCTAGCTCGTGGCTGCCCGCTAAGAAAGAGGCTTCGGACCTGAGACAACAGGAAATAGCTCGGGGAGCGCGAGATGAATGTATGAATTCATTTTAATCTATCAAATTCTTCACCAAAATGTTCTAGAAACCCATGTTTCATCCTTTCGCTCCGAATCTAATCACCGGCCTCTTTTGTTTTTGGCGCTGGCAAAAGACTGATACCGATCCAGACCGCTATCTCTCCAGTGTTTCTTCTTCGGGCTCGTATCGTTTGATGATTGTGCTAAAAGAAACCAAGCCACTTTGAGAAGAAGAAAATGACAGCCTATTATGATTTATTTGTGGGATTGACATCGCTTTCCTCTTGATAGCCGCCTGGGAATAGCTCTACTAGCTTGCGTATCTCCTCAATCAAGCTATTAATTCTTTCTTAGTAACGTCTGTAATGGATATAGTCAAGCCAAGGATACTTACATTCTTCTGAAGTGCTCATGCTCGACGTAAATTGCGGAGTCTACAACAATCACCCGGCTAACCATTGCTGTTAACAGGCTATCATCTCCCAGCTTGTGTACACTTACGTCGCGTAAAGTGCATTCCTGGCTTCCCAGTCATCCTGTGGCTCTGACCTGGGGATCAACCTGCGGTAAGCTTCCACATACTCTCTGCTCCAGTCATCGCCAGCCGGGCGCATGTAACTGAGCTCATCTGCAAACCCCGTAAGTCGACAGGCACACGCCCTTTTGTACGGGAGACGCCTTGGTTGACTCACATTCGTTGTGCCCCCACAAGGCAGCAGAATCAAACAGCAAGGGTTCCCCCGTTTCTGCCTGAACAGCCGTGTTTCCAACCCATAAGTCCCCATGGATCAACACGGGGGTGATGTCCCTCCCGTTGGACTCGAGCGGGCGAAGCAGCCTTGGGCAGACCTTTTCGAAGTACGGCTTGATGAGCTGCCGCAGTTCTTCACTTGGCCCTCTCGCCTCCTCCTCGAATTCGAACAGCTTCTTCATTCCCCTGATCCAAAACTTCTCCCAAGTCCCCGTCCAAGTGTTATCCTGTGCAAGTGGCCCATTATACGTCGTCATGTGGAACCCCCATTTGCCTGTAGGGTTGCGAGAAATACTCCGTGTGTGGAGCTCGGCAACAGCTTGACCCAGACGGTGAGCATCTGGCCGCCCTTTCTTCAACTCGTGGAAAGGGAAGAGAAGGTAATGAACGTTGGGATCTGCGCAACTCCCCCAGGCCAACGGCTTGGGACAATATGCTGGGACCAGGTCATTAATCATACGCATCGACTCGAACTCTCCATGGAGCATTGGCCCGCCCTTCTCTCCTGCAATCCGCTGGACGAAAGTTGTTTAGCGGAGCAAATCTGATACAGTGCAGGCTTCTCTCCCCTCCCGTGAGAAGGGAGCGGAACTGGGGTTAACGCTTACTTTTAGAAAGTACGATCTCGATTCGCCGTCCACCTCTGCATCAATCCGGGCGGTCTCACCCCAGTTGCTTGACCCATGCCCTCGGCATCTCTTTATCACAGAGCCTTTAGGTAGCTCTACACATGTTACTCAAACAATATTCGGAGGCGCCATGCTCAATAAACGTACCAGTAATGATGTTGATGTCAAGATCTATGTCCTTTTCATGGACCTTTGCGTTAAGCTGAACGGCCAAGTACGACTGAGCCATGGCGAGCAGGAAACAAAAGCATTGTAAGGCAGATGGAGAGAGGGAGATGATTCGATGCAGACCTGGGTGCTTTATAGCTGGGAGACGTAGACCAAGGGACATCTACCGTCTGCGTCACCGCCGAGACTGGAAGGAAACCGCATAACTGAGATTTTGTAGATATGGAACGACCAGTCTGCTCCCGAGCATCCTCTTCCATATAGTTTGTGCTCTTATTGGTAGTTCAGGTGGGTTATCAGGACTAGACATCCTTTAATCCCAGGCAGGCAAGCAGGTTCCTTGATGAGCGAAGGAACGGTGAAAGCTGGCGATCCCCAGCAGCTCTGCATCACTTGATTCACTGAAATGCCCAACTGTGATCCGGGAACGCTAAGATCTTTACTCTCCACTGATCTTGACTGAATGATGCCATAGGATGTATCCAAGTCACCGTAAACCTTCCACTTGCCTATCTCCTTGCCCTGGCTGCATTTGCCTAATTGGGTAATTCGCTCTGTTTGCGAATTTGCCTAAAATGGTAAATCTCTGAATGTGACAAGTGGGTCTCCAGGCGTCTGGTGAGAGCTTCACGCAGCAATTTATACAAAACGGCATGGGGATTTAGGTGTATTGTTTGAGGGAGATTATTATCTTCAAAATCGTGATTTATTCGGTTGGCTCTTTATTACAACTTGCTTTTTCTCTCCATCAAATTACCCGCGAACGTGGTAACCAAGCTCCAAGACCAGAAACCCATAGAGCCTCCCCAATGTCCAGCCAAGGAGAAGCTGATGATCGTGAACTCGAGGCTCAACGGTATGCTCCCGCAATGCCGAGGCGGTTCTCTCTGTGGTCACTTCTGTCCTTAGGCTTCACCCTGACGGCCACCTGGAACGCCGTTGGGATTACGATTGGGACAAGCTTGGCGGAGTCCTCCTCATCTGGAGCTGTGTGGACTCTGGTCATCGCGGCTCTGATGAATCTCACCGTGGCTCTGGGAATGGCAGAGCTCGCATCGGCGTACCCAAGCTCGGGAGCGCAGTATTACTGGTCATATGAAGTTGCCAGCCCGGAATGGGCACCCTTCGCCTCATACGTGTAAGACAAGCCCAGTCACTTCGAAGCATTTGCCTTCTCTTATTCCATTTCTCATTGGTTTTCAATCTTGCCCCTAGGTCTTCTTGCGTCAGCATTTGCGGTTGGTGGTTAGGCCTTGCCAACGTGTGCAATTTTGTTGCCGCGGTGGTGCTCGCCATATATCAGCTCTACGTCCCAGAATATACGATTCATCCGTGGCACCAATGGCTATGCTATGTTGCCATCCTCTGCCTGGCCGCTCTTCTGAATATACTTGGCATGTGGTTAATTCCAGCACTTAATCAATGTCTTTGTGAGTGAGAAGGAAGTTTATATATAAACTCCCTACCGCTAACCGACGAGTCAAGTATATTTTTCCCTCTCGACCCTTGCTGTCACAATTATGGCCATTCTCGCAGGCGCATACCCTAATTATCAATCCAATACGTGGGTGTTTGCGGATGCGGAAACCATGAACAAGTCTTATAGCAAAGGTATTCTCTTCATTTTGTGCTTACTGAACAGCACCTATGGGTTCATGGGTTCCGATGCTGGCGCCCACATGGCCGAAGAGATCCCTTCTCCTTCGATCAATGTTCCTAAAATAATTGTTAGTCTCATCTTCATCCCTCACATCACCGTCCTATTTAAGACTGATTGCCGAGCCAGGTATATCCTATTATCATCGGACTCGCGACAGGTAAACACTCCCAGCTGTTTAAACATATCCTTTACATAAATATCTTTACGTGTTGACCTGGGCAGCACTTCCATTCGCCATCTCCTGTATGTACGTGATAAGCGACGTCGAAAGGATTGTCAACCCACACAGTGGAATCAGCCTGCTGGAAATCTACCATCAAGCCACGGGAAGCAAGCTCGCCACCAGCATGCTCCTGGGCGCGTTTTCAATATGCCTCTTCGGGTGCGCCGTAGCCAACATCACAGGGTCGAGCCGCCAAATCTGGGCTGCATCTCGGGACAACTGTCACCCCATGTCGGCGTGGTTAGCAGTGATTCACCCAAGGCATCAAATGCCGGCTAATGCCGCCTGCGTAACAGTCGTGTTCACCGCGGTAATAATCCTTGAATTGCCTTTCTGCGTACATATTTCTGATTTTCAGTCTGGGCAGATCTATGGATTGATCTTTGTTGGATCGACGACTGCCTTTGCTTCCATGGTCAGCGCCAACATCGTCTTCATGATGGCCTCGTATGCTATTCCGCAGGGAATCGTCGCCTACAGGGGGCGTTCTAGTGTTCTTCCGGCGCGGAATTTTCATCTCGGGAAGTTTGGTCTTCCCATCAACATCATTAGCTGCATATGGGTCGGGTTTCTTGCAGCTGTCGCCTGCGTCCCAACCGTCAGGCCAGTCTCAGTATCCAATATGAACTGGGTCAGGTACGATGCCATTGAGGAGTTACTGACACTGAAAACCAACGTTAACCTGAACTCTACCCAGCGCGGTCATTCTTTTCATCACTACTTACATCCTGTTGGTGTGGCACTTCTGGCAGCGACAGTTATTCAAAGGCCCGAAACAACGTCAGCAAGTAGAAGAGCAAGGTCTCGTCCAGGCATCTGGTCACCTAGCCGAGAAAGAACGAAAGACAGACTGAATAACAAGCCATCGTACTTTATCTTCAAGTTCGGCTGAGGATGTCACATTCAAATGATCATAAGGTCAACAATCTACCTAGCCAAGCTGGCCCCCGTCTCCCGATGATATTTCCATGGTTCCAGTCAACTCCCCCTTTATTAAATGATTATTCTAACTGGGAATGCTCGCTTTTTGTAATTCTAGCCAAAGCAGAATCTCATCTTGATGGGGTAATCCTCAGACAAGTGCCGTCTATCAACCATCTCCCCCCACCACACATTTTCAAACCCCCTCTCCGCCTGAGCAGCCCAAACTTCCTCGAGTAGGGGTACCGTAGCACGAAACATATGATACCGAGTCCTCTCGTCCCACTCATTGCAAAGGCCCACAATCTTCTTCCTCGTGGATTCATCCCGCAGCTCGCAACCCGCAAGGAAGAGCGGCAGCAGAGCCTGCCTGGATATCATATCTCCGTCTCGGCAGGATACCACATGGTCCACGACGGTCCTCGCACGGTACAAGACATGTAAAGGCACGCTATCACCAGGCTTCCACCGGAACACCCTGAAGATGTAAAGGAGAATGCCATTTCTCCAGGCTTCAGAACAATGCATGGCATCCAGATCCCGGTGCACCCACTCCTCGTCCCACGAACCGCTAACAGCTGGCGTGTGGAACCAATCCTGGAGAGATTTCTCAACGTCCGTGATGGCTGCCTCATCGTGTTCAGAATACGGTGGCGAGGACTCGTTCCGCATCTGAGCTCCAACACGTGCCACCCGCATGACAATCTTCGCAAGGCTCGTCGGACACCCACACAATCCAAAGAAATCCCACTCTCTTTTCGGCTGGTTGACTTCCACAGCTTCAAAGTATGTGTAAGGAAACACGCAGTCTTCTCTGGATAGAAGACTGGTTATGGCATCCCACCTATTCAACAAGATTAGCTGGGCATCCTAAACGCGGTTGTTTAGAAACATACCATGTGAGTATGCCTATCTGGGTCTCGAGCCTGGAGGAAAGTGGAATACCTTTTATCCCACCGCAGGCTTCCAGCAAGTCATATGCTCCCTTGAGATGTGTACTCCAGTTCCCAAGCATGGATTGAGTTTCCTACTCCGCAGTCAGCTTCGACTACAGACCAAGTAAAGCAAACATTGTACCTACATCGAGTGAAAACAGAATTATTATAGTGTCAAGGACCGAGTACATAGTTTCCGTATCGTTGTATGCACCGAGACTCTGGCGGAGCAGGTGAAGGGATGCATGGCGATGGCTCAAGGCTGAAGGACTGTGGAGATGGTGGCCTGCCAGGGCCATGACGGCGTGCATTAGAAACTTTGGCTCGGGGTCCAGGTCATCACGATATCGGAACGGGTTTATACGAAGTCGAAGTGTTAGTGGTATTGTACAGAACTCTGCGTTGTCTGCAGGCAGTTAGTCAAACTCGGAGGTCGGAGGAAATGTCTATAAATGCCGTACACCTGGTGAGGATCGGTCTGAACCGCTCAAGGAGGGAATTACACTCTATGATGGATATATAAGGCGTGAAACTAGGAGAACAGGATCGGTAAGGAGCCAGCGACCCGGCACCATCGAACTGTGAACGGAAAATAACCTCTTCCTCAGCCCGGGGCGTGACAGAGAGCGAAACTTCGTCAGGGAAGTTTTCAAAATTGTTGACTGAGCTTTGACAACGTTGGCTTGTGTCGTTTATTTCCACAAATCCAGGTGATGCCTCGAAATCAGCCCAAAATTCATCTACCAATGTCCCATTGGATGGGTCTAGCGGAGGTTCATTTTCAATGACATCTTCAGTGTGAAGATGCTCCCTTTGTATGTCTACTGGGAAACCACTGTCCCCAGGAGCTTGAGAAAGAACCCTTGCTGTAGGCGGCGACTTGGGGCGACGCTGGTATTGCAAAGATGCCTGGGGCTGTTCAAGAACAAACTCAATCCGCTGCCCTCTCTTTCTGCGTACCGTTGGCCGTTTCTCGGGTTTCCTAGAAAGGGAAAATCCTTGTTTCCAGGAAATCTGTCTTTCGGGCATCGCCTTCCAGGATCTCGCACCCAACGGCTCGAAACAGGTAGGTCTACGACCACTATGTAGGAATAGAGATGGAGAAAAGCAAGCCCCATATTGAATATGCACACTCCACGCCCGTTCCGGCCTAATAATGATCCGTCGGTGTGCGACTCTGCCTCTCGACAGATTCACGACTACTCACTTGTCAGAATGCGAAACTCAACTGGGTATTATAAATGAAGTCCCGCTGCAGTCGGTCCTTTACGCAGCATATCATCTACGGTTTTCATACCCCGGAATGTTTTGGCCCTGGGGGTATTTGAGACCTTGTTCACGAACTCCGGGGTCGACATCCCTGGTCGGGTCCGAGATCCTAACCGCTCGACTTGAGTCTGCCTGGGTAGGCAAACCTATCCACAAGTAGGGATAATTTTCTATCGTCTCTTTCGGGGTCCTTACCAAATCCGGCTTGCACGATGCAGTAGCCAGGTGTATGCTTCAAGTGAAACTCTGCGGGAAAGCAACCATCCACAAACAGAGTAAGAGATGCGAATTGTTAAGAACTGTTGTAATCGTAAGGAACTTTTTGTTGAAGCTTAGCATAGTCCCGGGGCCATTGGAGCCTTGACACAAGTTGACAACGCATGGGTGGTCTCCTAATTCTGAAAGAATTGTGCTGACTACATGTATGGCCAACCCATGCCGTGCGACAAAATCCGAGAACATTGAATGCTGCCATCAGAAGTACCGTTTGAAAGGTCCTAGCCCACTAGGTTCGTTCTTTTGATATCTACATAGTAGTATTGATCGGCCGCTGTTTGTGAGCCTGTATCAGTTTTGATGATTCCTCTTAGTTATATATAGGTAATCTGCATGAGACAGCCACACTCTTGCTGCTCACTTCTTGGGCAGCCTGTATTTGCCTCCGGCCAGTTCTAGCTCGCCCGCAGCAATTTTCTCCTCAAGAAAGTCCTGCAACTCCTCGTTGCTCCATGAGCACCCGTCCGGGATCAGCATTTTCATCATCATCATCATTTGAGCAAGGGGCATGGCAGGGCTCGAGTTGGTGAGCATGCCCACAATGAACTGCCAGTATATGCCCCTCTGCTCCTGTTCCTTGGCGCTCATCCCCTTGGCCTTGCGCGGCGACGGCGGGCCGCCATCCATCTCTCCCGTAGCTTGCGCTGCGTCCGTGCCGGCATTTTCCACATCATCTTCGAGTTTCTCCAAGACGACGTATGTTTGTTCCCCAACATCTCGGATCACTCGTTGTGACACCCAGAAGGCTAGTGCTTCCTCGAGCAGATCTTCATCGATCATCAGCTTCTGCCAGAGGTCATTAAACGTTCTCTTAACAGGCCCTTGCTCTTCAGCAGCCTCGTCCTGTCCAAATGCGTAGATGACCGTTGCCTCGTAAGTCTTGCACTCGATTGTGAGTGTTCGATCCTCTAGCTCCAGGTGAACGGTCGCCAGTCCGAGATTGTCCAGCCAGTTGAGCTTACGCGACGATTTGAGGTGCTCAAAGGAAGCCTCGTACTGCCGTTGCATTTCTGCAACCGTCTCCGGCACTGTGAACGGTTCTTTCGGTAGGCTTGGCCAGAACAGGCGGGACAGGATCTTGGAATGGAAAGAAATGCTATTTCCATCTTGGTCTTGTTGTAACTCCAAGCTCTTGCCGATGGCAGCATCCACACGCTTGGAATCTTGTATATCTCTGAGCATGACATCGCAGTTCTGCAGGGCACTCTCGCCAAACCTCCGCTTGAGAAGGCTGAGCACCTTCACTTCCTGCTGAATGCTGGGCTGACCAGAGAGAAGTCTGGTGGCGATGATAGACTGGAACTCTTTGATGAAGATATCAGAAGAGCCCAGGGCACTAATCAATGTTCCAATGACATCCTCATTCTTGGGCCGCTTGTAATTTACGCCTGCATCTACGGGGTCTGGAAGCCAGTGCATGTCGTTCCAGTCCAGGTCATCATCATCCACATGGCGCCGTTGCTGCAGAGAGGCATCATTGAGGATGGCGGCCAACTCCACGAGCTTCCCTCTAGAATCTTCTGGAGTTGTTTCCTTGGGGTGTGATAATAGACCTGTGACCACAATGCGGATAGCGTCGTCTCGTTGGCATAGGTATAGTTGGAGTGCATGGACCACTCTGTCCAGCAAGACTTTGGAGTGATCTAACGCATGGAACGTCCGAATCATTGAAATATAAGTTTGCAAGATGTATAGTGTAGACCGACCAGGCTGCAGTAATCTCTTTTGCAATGCAGCTGAAAAAGTGTCGGTAAGCTGTAGTCGGCGCTGCGGCGTTGTCACGGCAGAGCGAAGGTCTTCTACGCCTCCCTTGCTCTCCGGCCAACTCAACACAATATCGAACAGCTCATGGATGCGAAGGGTAGAAAGACGGCCGATGGCCACATTTTTCCACATCTCCACATCGCTCCATTCGATTTTGGATCCCATGCGACTGAATACTTCCACAGTGAGGCGAGCATAGTGATTCTCGACCCAGTCGCCGAGGTGTGCTATGCATCCACCAAAGACCGTTGACACGGTGGAAGCTCCAAAGTCGTCCGAGCTGGTCCATACCCCAGCATAGTTTCTCTGAATAAAAGCATCCATGCATGAGTTCATGACCTCAGCGAATAGGGTCTGGAACTTCTCGCCTGCAAGTCCGACCTTGCTGAGGGATTCGAGAATGCCCAAAAGCTCGCCCCGGGAATCCGATGCCTCTGAGTCCTCCTCCTTATCTGGTTCAGGGCTTGAGGCTTGCATGTCTCCGGCCCTGAGCACATCCGTGGCAAGACGGTTGAAGACATCACGGAGGGCATCCAAGAGACCCTGTGTCCATGAATTGCCAATAACCGCGTGTAGGTCCCGCCGGAACTTGACAACTGAAGCATTTGCTGCATCTTCATCGCGGAAGGCTCGTAGGATGAGGGACAACCCGTACAGATACTGCCGGTTGGCTGCCTCGAGGGTGCGTATACTGGTCAGGAGGACCTGCGTATGGTCACCCTGGCTGGTACAGGCGGCCAGGAGAGGGAGAACATGATTCACAAAGTGCTGGCGCACCTGCTGGCTGTGCCAGGAGAGGATGTCCTCCGTATGGCTGGCGTTCGGGAGGGCAGAGGCGGGATTCAGGACCAGCAACAATGAGCTTCGAAATGCGTCATCGACGTCCTGGGACGAGTCCGGCGCCAGCGTGCCAAACGAGTCCTCGGCGGCAACGGAGGAGGGCAGCTGGATACGTGAGGTGACGACATGCCATGCCCGGTCCCAGCGCACCTGATCGTTTGCTGGGTGCGTCAAACGGGGCGTATTGGCCAGGAAAGCTGCCGAGGGGCCTCCAAAGGGCTGCCCAGGCTCGGTGGCTGGAAGCAAGGGCGTGGGCTGGGATATCCGGGTCTCGAAGACTGAGCGGAACACCTTTTGCCTGCGGGCATGCACCTTGGAGTTGGTGACGGTCATGGCCATGGCCTATGATGGGTACCACTTCATCTATCGCGCTCACGGGCACGCATAATCGGCATGTAGCAAGCTCCCACACTGATCCGGCCTGAAACTTTGGTTTCTGTTTTTCCCCCAATGAGTTTCCGACAACAGAGCACCCTGGAGCTGTGCCTCTGCGAAATGCGGTGCGTTGCAGCCGCGTCTGTCGTTCCGTGGCGGGTGGATGGGTTGTTTGTGTGCTGTTTGTTTGGATGTGTCAGCAAACGGTCAAGCGCCGCTGCCTGGTAACGGAGCTGCGCCTACAGGGTAGCATCGATGCTGCACAGACCAGCTCGTGCCACCAGCTTGCAGCCTTAAGCGGGCGGTGCGCTTAGAGCGGCTAAACCCAGCGGGCCAGCTGAAATGGCAAGGCAACAAGACCCCATGTTGCACTGCACCAAGCCATCATCCAGGTGACATTTGAAAGCTGAGATACTTGGAACTCATGCGTATTGCTTATTTTCGAGTTTGTAACCGGTACTATCAGACTATCGAGGCCCAATAATAAATACCAAAGTCCCAATGTATGCTACATGCTCTGCGGTGCTACCACATATGCTTGAGGTACAAGCTGAGATTGGACGCTGCGCGCACGCCCTTTCTGCGTTCGAGCTGCTTGCATTAGGGCTGCTTACGGCTGCAGCCAAGCTGCTGGGTGACAGAAGTCGCTGCATCGCATCGCAGCAACCTGCAAGCCCCCCTTGGGCGCTTCGGTAGCATTGTTCTCGAGTACGCCTTGTACGTAAGGGCCCTCCTCGGACCCGTTCACGCCAATACGCTCCCTCCCGCTCCAAAGAGCCGGTGGCTTGAGAAACTGCCCGACTCCAAAGTCCCCACCGAGGCACTGTCTGTTCGGGAAGTGAAGCACATGCGGCAACTTCTCTCTTATGCTCGGCTTGAGAAGGGCGCACAGCAAGTCCGCTGGTTGGCCCAAAAGACCCGACCGCGAGCGCCACGACGCAATTGCCGCGAGGCGAAAACTAGTTCTGGACATCATCTCTTCCATGTGAACAAAAGGCCTCCGGGTCGTACATTTCGCCCACACCTAGGCGCGGTGGTGGAACAACCCAAAACATCTCCATCCAGTTGTCCAGCTCATCGACCCGTCAGCCGCAGAAGGGTTGGTTGCCACCACCTTGCAGAGAGACAGACAGGAATAGGAGCTCTCCTCCGTGATGCCGTAGCGACATTCCAATACATGCCGGGGCGCCTGCCCTCATCACCACGTCACCGCTCATCTTGGCCTCTCTTGATTCGTATTCGACGTCAAGCAGAGGGACCGGAATAAGCGTGATCCATGCCCAGGCGAAGGGCCCCCAGAGCCGAAATAGCCCCCAACCCGACGCCGGAGCTTCAGACGTGCATCCGGTGGTGCATTTTCTTCAATCTGTGGGAAAGCGGCCGCTAGCAAAAAACCTGGCACGACAGCAGCAGGAGGGAGGCACGGGAAGGAGAGGTACGAGGCAGCCCGGTCGGCCGTTGCGCATATCATGTACTGGTGTATCTGCGGGCAGCTTGGTGTTCCTGGGTGGTCAGGCTGTGTAGATGTGCGTGCTTGTAATGTGTATACCCCTCCCCCATTTTGTCTCGTTCCCCCCCGGAACGAGGCCCAGTGATTGGCCTCTATTCTGGGAACTGGGAAATAAAGAGTGTGCGTGGAGCGCAGGCCAAAAAGGTATTGGCTGCCATGTACGAGCACGCGGACGAGCAGACGGGACCAACCCAGCCCGATGAGTGGGTGCAAGTGATGTGGACTCTTGCTGCGAGGGCCAAAATGTAACGCTGCCGGGGGGCGAGGAGGGTCGAGCAAGGAAAGACAAGAGTGTGCTAATTAATATAGGACGGCATCTTCCATTCAAGTATCTGCAGGTTCGGGCAAAATGCTCACATGCCCCGAGAATCGAGTGAGAACGCCCGCTGCAGAATATGCACCATGGGGCATCAGACCAACCATCTCCCATACCTTACTCCCCCATCCGTCTATCTGCACGTTGTTGCTGAGTCTCCCGTAAGGCGCGGCTCCGGCAACGCTTTTCACTGGCTCAGAGGGTATCATTCGCTGGGGGCTGGACGTTGGGGGCCGTATTGCGGGACGTGGTAAGGCAAAACCTCACTCTGGGTCGCAACCAAGACAGCTGAATGCGCTGGCCAGCAACGGAAACCATACCTTCTTGTCTCTCTCTCCATAGGAACTGGGGGAAATGCAATGTGATTGTGTATGCTCACACCTCTTTCCCCATAGCTACCACTAACACCGCCACGTTTCAGGCCAGAAATCACAGGACATCCATGTACCTTACCTTAAGAAGCGGCCAGAAAGGCCAAGCTGCTCAAGTTGCTTATTAGGAAAACAGTAACATAGGGCACTGCACTAGATTGAACACCATAACAAGTAGAGTAGTCGATGTACGTAGAAACAACCTATCGTAGTGCCCTCAAAGCGGTAAATGGTTCTTGAGCAAGTGACCTGCTCCCCGGTTTCGTCCCCACAAGCCAGCGAGCGATCAAGCACTGTGACACCGAGATCTGCGGCCCTCCCTCTAGGCAGCAGAATTAACTTTGCCCAGCCATCACCTGCATGGGGGAGCTGAGGAACAAGACCTCCCGGCAGAAGGGCCTCTAGAACACGCCAGATGCCACACCAATGCAGCGCTCGCCCTACAGCTATGTATGTGCTAATAATAAAAGAGCTGCAGTGCCATCACAAGCTCGCCTCGGCGCACAAGGTGAAACTCGCCAAAGCTGCGAGAAGGATATTAACTGCACACCTAGATTAGCCGTTAGACCAGAAGAAGAAAATGGGAATGGCCCTTTGGGTGCTCATTTTGGCCTGGTCCCCTCTTCGCGCCCGTAGCGTGCATCTTCCTCCGGCGTTGATGGGCTTGGGTTCCCAGCTAGCTTCCCCCTCCGCAGGAGAGATGGCGTCGCTACCTGCCGGCGACCCCGTCATCACCCAATTCCGGTCCAGTCTATCACAGAAAAGCAGCTAAGTAAGCAACTAGGCGGGATTAAGATAACAAGAAAGAAGAAGCAGCAGCAAGCAAACCGGGCTGCCGCTGCCAGTCCCCTTCAGGATAGAGCCGGACTATTTTCTGCCACAACAAAAGGTCGCGCTTCTCCGGCGGGGAAAACGCAGCGACTAGCCGTCATAATATTGCCGCATTAGGCCTGAATGTAGACGTCAGTTGCTCTACTTTGGGCGCTGGCGTTCTGATGGATAAAGGAAAGGGAAAGGCGCCATCGTGCTAACAAACGCTTGTGAAGACGTTTGACAAGCATGGACCACGGTTGGGGGGACGTTTCTTGGGACGGCTCGCTCCTTGACCATTAAACTCGCGCGCGCCTTGAACGTGACGGCACTAGACACATCAACTACGGCAGTAAACTCTAGGTGGTACAGATCGTCCCTGCCAGCAGACAGCAGGGCGGCCGCAGAGGCAAACTATTCCATAGTGCCCCCCCCCCCCCCTGGGCACCTCCCATTTCCATACATGCATGAGAATCAGGTGCTAATGAGGTAGAAGCTAACTTTCGGATCTCGCCAGCCAGGGCCTGGGTACATGCATGCACATACAGACATTATCTTCACGTCCATTTGCCAGACCGTTTGCCAGATCTGGCCTTGTGGCGGTCTGACCAAGTATTGCTTCCGTCTCCCCATCGGGCGGGGGCCCATTTATCTATGGCCTTGAACTGGATTCAGTATCATCCGAACATGTATCGGAGGCGATACATATGACCAAAGAAGTGTCTTACCTGTCTCATTTGGTGGCTGGCCTACCACAAGCAGACTCCAGTGGCTTACACCCTCTCTCGGCCATCAATGACGCTATCGCCACGAATTTATCCTCATGTACATAGCTCGTGTGTGAGGCCTATTGCGGTGGATGATGATCAGACCCACGGATGAGGCCGCCGTCAACTCGCCTTTGGTCATCGTTAGTCACATGCATAAGCATATTCACATCAACCACAACCAGCTCGACGTTTGGCCACGGACCACCCACCGTCCCCCAGAGATCCGACCCGGCCACAAGCCTGGGGGAAGGCATGCTGCCTGCGGTGCATATGTAATACAGAGGGGCTACATGGGGGACATTGACTGCCCAATTAGGCAAAACAGTGCGCCCCCCAAACCCATGAACGGCGGGCGGGCGTTCGCCCAGCAGTTTATTGCGTGCCAGATTAAACCAAAACTGGGCTAAATTTTCCCTCAAATCAACCGTTGAGTTTGCCCGACAGAGGCGCCGAAGCTTTCTCTTGTCTTGGGTTCGGGGTGGTTGGATTTCGCTTGGCCCAGCCTTGGGGGCTATGCTGAGCACTCTGGGCGCTCGTATCATACACACACATTGACGTCTATCTTGTTTTGTTTTTCGAACGGGTGCTCACACTGTAAGCAGTGAGCAGCCCTCCATCGAAGCAACGCTGTCCGTGCTGGATGTGCCTACCATCCACGCACCAGGATGACATCTAACCAGAAACGTGGACAGATGCGGGTGGCAGATCTAGGGGTTGCCCTCTGGCTCGCCATCGCCTCTCCGCGGCCTCGGTACTGGTCCCCCAGGTCGCCCTTCCCTCTTCCATTTCTCACATTCCCAATCTCCCGTCTCCGTAGGCGGTCTAGAGGTTCGAGCGATGATGATCATCCTGGCAAACGACCGCCGCCCCTCCACGCCCCTCCCTTCCTGTCCCCGCCCAATTCAATAATCTGCTCCTTCTCGTGATAACCTCGTTTCTGTCCAGGATTCTTCCCGTATCTTACTCCAGATTCGCCCTCGCTTACCCCTGCTCCCCTTTTCGCGAGCGCTGGATGGCTCACTCGCATCCTGTAGATAGACCACAGCCACCCATCCACATGGCCCCCTCCCCTCCCCGTCTCCCCACCCCCTCACCCCACGCCATTTGTATTCGTGCTTGCATTATCACCCCTCGACCTGGCCAATGGTCGCCCCCAGCTGTCTCGGCCCCGACGTCATTGTCGACTG